CGAACATTTAGTTGGTTACATGTTGAAGTATTATAAATGTGTTTTGTGCGTAAAAACGTACTTTTGATAACAGTTATAAATGTTTTATAAAAGAGTAATGCTGTTTAACTGTAAAATACAGGCAGAGTGCTAAAGTTTGCATGGACAGTGTTAGCGTTAGTAGCTGCAGAGCTAAGTTACATTCATTCAGAAAGGTTGATGTCCCTTTTTTTTTAGATATTATATCAGGAAGACATAGATATAATTCCATGGTGGTTTATAGACAGTCATATTTTTGTAGTCTTGTTTATAAAATATGTCAATGTGTTTAATGTTCAGGGAAACCAAAGAAATGTCAAGGTGAAATATTCAAAAGCACTTTGTCTTGTAAAGTTGTTTTTTAAATACAATTCTGGCTAGATCGACCAGGCGAACGGCAGCAAGTTTCCTCTCCTTCATTATTTCTCCTTTTTCTTACAGGAATATAATCTGTCCACATGCCTCAAGCCTGGGGCCTGTTACACTAACAGTGTATTGAAGATCTGGATGAACTGGCCCAGGTATACTGTGTTTTTCACATTAATTATTCTCAAAGAAGAATTTGTTGAATACTCTGCTGGGATTCAGATTTGCTATGGGAGAATGAAGCTTGTGTAGTCACCACTAGCCAATTTGCTTCTAACATGTTATAGTAGCCCCCTAAAAACATGTCTGTAATTCCCAAACGAAGGGAAATAAATCAGGCTCACCCGCATCATGACGCATGGCAGGTAGGTTAGCCAGCTGTGAATGTGATAGTGTGTATTGATGAAAAAAAAGACACAGCTGAAAGAGCACATCAGTACATCAGCATGTATTCATGTGTACTGAGTGTTTGTGTCTGATTGTATCAACAGCAGCCTTGTAAAGGTGAAAGTCTCTGAAAGCGGGAGGAAGAGTGGCAGGAAACATTTAACCGGCGCTGATAAAACAAGCAGTCTTGTTGCTGTCAAAGCATGTCACTCAGCAACCACACACACACACACACACACACACAGCTACATCCAACATAATAGATTCTCTCAGCATGTATGTTGCTGTAGGTATATGAACTTAATGTTTATTTGTGTGTGATTGCCTGGTGTGTATGTTTGTTACAGCACTTCCTGTGTTCATGGTGCTTTTACTATTGCCGTGATCCAAACTCCTGATAGCAAGTTAGAAAAAGATCCTCCACCCCTTAATTTGATAAACATAAAGGTAATATTGTGGCTGAGATAAATGATCTCAAATTCCATCGGCATGTTATTACACTTTTGTTTTCCTTTTCACTATCATGCACCAAATGAAATCCTATCCTACCACTAACAGCATTATCTGTTCCTGTTGATTAACAGTGTAATGGTATTAAAGTCCCCCATGGCTTTTCTCATTTACCCCTTGAAAATAAGAAATGCATCCTGTAACACAAAGTAAATGGTAAAAAAACGATTGTGTTCAGGTGGCACTTTTTCGAGTCTTTTGACCACTTTACAGCACTTTTTCATTACATGTCACCCTCAGTTGATGCAAAGCCCTCTGTTGATATTTACTACTCTCCTTCTTGCATTGCTGGTGCAAATTTAGGGGCAGTTTGGGGTTCATCATCTCTCAGTGGGACCTGTAACCTTCAAACCGATCGAATGAGAAATAAAAGCTTCAACCACAGAGCTACTGGCACCCCTAAAAAAAGACGGATATTGGAAAAACATGTTTCTCATGTGCTGGTTTTATAGTAAAAGCAGAAACCGTGACTGCATCTATTTCCAGCATATCCAGAACATACAGAAGTGTATAGAAAAACACATAGCAGAAAGACACACTAAACTGACAAAGACAAAAGGAGGGGTAAAGAGAAATGAATGAGGACCAAAAAGCTCTGGTTGAGAGGAAATTCTCAAATAAATGAGTGAAGAAACCCAGGAGAAATAAAACGATATGGGTTAAAGGTGGACTGGTACCCTCAAGGCTTAATCAGTCTGAGGCCTGCTATAGATCAATAAAGTTCAATTTACTGATCAAGTTTCATAGATCTGGCACACACCTGTTGGCCTCTGTGAGAAATGAGAGAGAAAGCCTTAAAGGGCCTTTTAAAAGAGCACAAAGAACCTTAAAAACGAGAAAGAGACAGCCTTTAAATAGAGCAGAGGGTAGAAAAATACCAATATGAAGCTAAAGAACGGCAAAGATGATAATGTCCAGTGAAATCCAACAAACTCAGGTGAAGAGGAAAACCCAGGGCGGAAGTGGTTATGGATCCGTAACATTAGCCAAAGCAAGGAAGAGGATCCATGTGTAGACTTTCAGACTATTAAATGACTCAAAGAAAAGTTACATACACAACTCTATAAATGAAAACACCTGAAACAATGAGGAAAAAACACAAGAACACATAGAGGGATTGACGAAAGTTAGACATGCTACAGGTTAATCATGCTGATTTTGGGTCTGATTCCTCTCTTCTCACGCCAGATTATCGGATGGTTCGAAGTTTTATCTTATCAGTGCAACTGCCCGGTCGAACAACATTTAACTCATTTTGCAGTTGCTCCACTTTCCCTCAATATTGTACCAATTTCAGAAACTGGTCTTCCCAACAGTCAAACATACACAAACACGTGGAAAAATAGGGCCCAGGTTGAAAAGTGCAGAAATTCCCCTCTACGTAAAACTAATTTCCTTGTTCCTTTTCTCTGTCTCTTCTTTTCCATATAGTGAATCCTGAAATTGAAGAGACAACATGAATGAAAAGATAGATAGATAGATAGATAGATAGATAGATAGATAGATAGACAGATAGATATTCCTTGCTTGATGACATGTCTCGTCTTGGGTGGCAAAACTGACAGGACATGGAAATCTAACACGTTTGATGAATCAAATGTTAGGATGTCATTACTCTAACACCATTTAGTGGACATCGTGGTCCTGGTCCATAATGAGTCATAATAGCTGACAAAAGCCCTTCCACTTTTAGCACAGTTTTACCAAATGAGAATCAGATGGCTTTCTTTCAGCACTGTAGGATTTTCTCACTTTGTCAAAACAACCACAGCATTAAAGCACATTGTGGGACTATCATTCATTAGAAGCTAAATCTGTTTAAAATTAGATTAATATTAAATGTCTGTCTGATGTATTGTTCTAGGTGCAGAGTGAGTGTGTGATGCGTTGCCTCAGAGTGAGCATGCCATCAACTCTTCCCTTCAGGTAAGCGTTTATTTAAGTCATCAGTCAGGTTTTGACGTTTTGTGGCTGAGCAACACACGCTGATGTGCGTCTGAGTGAAATCCTGCTCATGTTATTGTGATACCTGAGGAGAGAGGAAGAAATAACAAAATTACCGGTAAGCCTGCGGGATGACTTGCTCACTGCTTGTACACACCGATGGTGTTGTGACGTGAAAGTATTAGTCAAGTGGGGTGCAGTCACAAGCAGTGTTGGGGTATTAAAACCACATAGCCCTGAGCTACAACAATCCTGATATAAGTTAATATGCCATCCCCTCCATCTTCTGTTTTCTTACACTGTGTTTCAGCTGATTTTATATCATTTCATTTTGTGAAGAGACCTTAAAACATTCAGCCCGAGAAAGAGCCCAGGAAATGTGCATTTTGTGCCTGTTAGTAAAACTCCAAATTCCTTATTGTTGGATTTTGTTTTTCGTCCTTAAGAACAGAACGTACAGAACACACTCACTTTTGCCTCATTTATGGCTCTGATATCAGAACATGCACCTGCATGTTTTTCTTTTTCACATATTAAGAGGAGTCAACCAAGAGAAACCCAAAGACTAGAAGCACAAATCAGATCATTGAGAAAAGAGTTATGCATTTTTAAAACATTCAGGCTGCCAGTGTAAACAGCAACCTCCTCTGAGGAAACAAAGTTTACCACCTCAGCGAACGGGACAATCCGTCATCATTATGACTGCAGAGCTGTTGTCATGGAAATGCCATTTACCGCAAGGTGAGTGTGTGTGTATGAGTCTGGTGGGGTACACTTATGAAAGACCCTGAGTAAAGATAGTGAAATTTACAGACATAAAAAAAAGGACCAAAAAGGAAGACAGACCTTAAAAAAAGTTAGCTAGGCAAACATAATAGGTACATCACAACAGCATCTAAAGTAAATATCTCTATATTTGGTGCAAGGATCATCTGTATAGATGTCTTGTGGAGATGTAATGCACTGTGATTGCCTGTAGATGGTGCTGTGTCTGTTTAAGTATATCATTAGTGCTCATGATGACTTCCATCCAGGCCTCTCATTTATCACCACATCAAAATGGGAATATTCTTTTAAATCCTTTTATAACATACGTATCCAATTACTATCAAAAAAACATCTCTATCAGATTTCAAACTTCCTCTTCTTTTCTTCTCTTTATATCCTCCTCTGTCTGGACTGACAACCTCAAGGCAGAACTCATAAAACAGATGCTTTTGTTTGTCACCCACACCCGTGAATGTCCCTCACACCTTCTAGCATCACTCATTCAGTCACCTGAGGCTCATTCCTAATGCTACATACGACCATTTCCAGTGATAACACTCTGAGGGAAGCCCAAATGCTGTTTATGTTGTATTCCTGGTTAGGGGTGCTGGTAGCTCACCTTGTGACTGTTACAAGTCTCTTACTATGATAAATGTGCAACAGGAGTGACAACTGGAGGTGAAAACACAGAGAGGATCTTGAAGACAATAAGGAGATACACCAAACTAAAAAATGATGCTCATCTCCATCCTCTCTGTGGGTTGTTGGCACCACCATGTGGTTATGCAAGTGGATAACAATTTTTCTTATCTACTCTGAGACCCTACAGAAAACACGGCTCTATGAGGGAATAAAACCAATCGGTTTATTTTATTTCAACAGTTTATACAAATACTATATAATTACAAAATAAATATTTTTTCACAGTAGACAGATGCTTCACTTGTCATCGAGAGTCTTTAAGGTTAGTGCCAGTGTGGTTGTGTGTTGGGGTATAAACTTGTGGATTAGTCCGTGCTTTCCTTCTCTGTGTTGTCATTGGTGATGGGAAATTCAAGGGATGTCCTGAAACGAATCGGCACTTCGCTCTCCTCGCTGGTTTGTTGCTTGGCTGCAGGGGCGTGGATACAGAGCTGTCCATCATCCATCAAGGAGCAAGAGAGGCCGGACAGATCAAGGTGGGCTGGCAGATCAATCTTCTGGGCAAATCCCGTCTTTGATGAGGCAGAGGAGCAGAAGGAAGCACAGGAGGAAGAGGAGGAGCAGGACTGGGTCTCTTCTGCTCCAGCCTGCTTCATGGCAACCACTGCCAGGCTCCGCCCCTCCAGTTTGACTGTGATGTCATTTGGGGAATAACCACGGGCATCTAGGGTCACCAAGAGGTCATCTTTGTTTTCCTTTTGTAGTTCTGTGCAAGAAGCCCTCCTCTCCTGTTCACAGCTACCACGTCTGAAAGGGGAACAAGATCTGAGTCAGATTCATGACCTACATTGATGTGTCAAAGACTTTCACAGACTTGTTTAACTCAATGACCATCATGACTTAACATAGGAGTGTAATGGCACCAAGACATTTGGAGTCTTTTCTAATCTTGAATTGTAATTCTGCCCTTATTTTAGCATACCTAACACAATCTTTAGCTAAACAGCTTAATGTGCTTTATAGTCAGGGATGTGTATGATCAAAAAACATAAATGAAAGCTTAAGGTGGAAAAATAGAGGTCTGATCGTCGCTATTAACCATCCAACTTGGATCAAATTCACATCGACCGTGCTGTCTCTTTAACAGATATGTGTTAGAGCAAACCATACACTATCTGAGATCACCATAAAACAAAACAAACAAGATCTGCAGTTGCATTTTACATACCTGGCCAGAGAATTGGAAATAAAGGGCAGCTGGCAAAGCCCCAGAAGGTGAGGCCCATCATGGAGCTCCCTCAAGAGGCTGTTAGCCAGCTGGGTTCTCCGGTTGAAGAAGTCTTGCTGCAGTGAGGAGAGGCCCTCACGATGCAGTGGCCAAAGCAGCCGCTCCTGGCTGAAGAAAGGATCATCACCGAAGAGGCTAGTCAAGGCTGAGTGCTGGGACATCATGGCAAAATGGAAGAAAACCTTTTTAAAAGGGCAGCTTGTGAGGCCGTTAATTCTTATCCTCTTGGGTTTTTGGATGCGGATCAGGTCTGTAGGCTCTGGTGAACAGTGAGAGCTGAGGATTCCCAGAGTTTTTAGTCCCTTTGAGTTTTCTGCCTGGTGCTTTGTGACACTGGAAGGGGTTCCCTCCCTTATATATTGCAGCTGTCTTGATCCCCTCCCATGGTACTATTTTAGTCCCATGAGCTCACTGCTGTTTGTTAGCACGCGCCTACAAGGAATAACCTGCAACTCATCAAAAGACTAAAGACAGCTGGTGGTCATATCCTGTTTGGGTTTGTGTGCATGTGGTTGTTTTCACACCACAGTCGTAACACTGACTTTCATTTCCACATAGATGATGCAGGTGCTTTTTTCTGGCGTGTGAATAAGGGAAAATATATTGCTATCAATGCATCAGCAACTTTTGGTGTCATGGCTTGAAAATTTCTAAGGACATAATAGACATGACATTATTACTCCAGAAACTAGATTGTTGTTGAGCTTCTTAGCAGGGGAAGTAAAACCAACTTCCAACAGATGGAAGTTAGACATACGTTTATTTCGAAACCTTTGAGTTTGCACCCTCATGCTTGAAAGCAATAATGTTTTATTGAGAAAATAAGGGTTAAATATCAACCATGGACAATCCTAATAAGATACTGCTGTCAAAAATACTGCTAATGTTTCGTCAGAATGGTTAAAGTCAACTGTCTACAAGGAAAAAACATAGAGGATATTTTTAATCATACTCTAAGTTTATACGGGGAGGACAAAAGTTAAAGATCGGTGGTTAACGGCTGACCAGTTAGCCAGCTAGCAAAGAGAAGAAGTCGAGAAGTGGGAAACAGCTCAGAAACCAGTATTAGATGTTAAAACTCACAAGGAGCAACAGACCAACCAAAACAGACATAAAGAAACAACAAATCAGGGACTAGCTGGGTAAAAAACACACTAACAGATTTTAAAAGTAAAAAAAATTGAGTTTGCACATATGCTACTGTTGTTTTAGGCTTCTGTAATGGAAATATCAGTGTAAAGGTGATTTATTACAGTAAACTAGGCTCATATTTATCTTCAGTAAAACACTTATATTGTAGAAGGACAATGGGATAAAGTGGTAACATGTTGATTTCCTTGTAAAGGTATTTACTGAATGCCAGGAATCACAGCTGTTCATAAAAAGGCGTGTTGACCAGCAGTAGCAGCGCTGGCCTTGTCTCGGGTTACAATGCTTCACTGCTGCTTCTTTGAGGGATGAGCTCAGGCTGCCAGCATTTCCCAGAGCAGATCTAGATGTGTGCAATGAAACTAGCTCAGATTACAAGGAGCCTGTGTCATAACTATTTGTGTCATAACTACTTGTGGCTGTCAAGAGGTAGTACTGCAAAACCGCCTTTACATCATTTACTCAAGCTGTAATTTTAAGCGTCTTTGTCATTGAATCAATCACAGTATTCATCTTTATTAATATTTGTTTGACAGCAAATTACTGTATTCTGCTCTAACTCTGCTTAAAACATTAACATGTATCTGCTGACTTTTCCAAGTGTTATATTAAGGTCTTGTGCGTTTTCTTGTTATAATTTAAAAGGGTTATATTTGATTAGCATCAAAGTAGTGAACAGGAGTAACTTTATGGTGTTTAAGAATCATACTCTTGAATAGTAGTGTGATAGATGAAGACACTAAAAAAAAAAGATGGTAAACAGTAGGCCGTGGTCAGAGCTGTTGGAAAAAATAGAGATGTGTGTCACTGAACCAAGGGATGTCAGAGACAGAAATAGAAAGGGAGATACAAGATGGCTGCTGATACTGCAGCTGTTATTAATGGGTTATTAGTACTCCACCTAAAAAAAGTATTGTCTCATTTATAGTTGTATGAGACTGTTTATTTCAAATAACTGCTGATGTCGACACAATGCACAAAAACTGAACTGAAACACAATATGCAAAGCTGGGTAGGAGTTTATTTCAGCAACTTAAAAGTTTATAAAAGTAAAGTATAACACTTAAAATCTGTTTCAAGATGAGGCACATTTATAAAAAAACAGACAGAGTTTTATCTCCAGTACATAACAAACATAGCAAACAATCCAAAAGTGCAAAGTCACAGTAGAGTTAGTAATGCTGAGACAAGGTGGCACAGGCCGTTCAGCTTTTACCGAAATTAAATTGTCAGGACCACATATGTCAAGGTCAAGGATAATTATTTACACACAAAAGTTATAATGGGTATCACTAAAATCAGGCAACTATTATCGATAAAACACATCAGTATCAGCTGATAGGCCTTCAGCTGTCATGCTAAAATTTAATGTCTGTTTAATTCTCCTAAGGCAGCAGAAGAACAAAGCACAATTTTACAGGCATTTCTTTTTTTCTTTTTTTAAGCTTTACCTTCAGGCTTTTTATTTCAAGTAGAGTGACATGCAGTAAAACAAAACTTGACCCTATTATCATTTCAATCAGCTGACACTTTAATCACCACTCATACACTTGATAAAATTATTTAACTTGGGTCAAAGGTTAAGCGCTTTAAGTGTGACCAGCGGCAGTTGAGAAGAGCGCATCTGTGAAGTTTTGGTAAATGTTGTCTTCATGAATGTCATCAGCTAACCCAGTAAATGGCACTTTGTCATTTTTATAGTCATATTCTTTATTGCTGGTTTCTTGTTTATTTTGTTCCTCTTTTTTGTTTTCAGCTGCTCAGGAATAGACCTTTTTCCTTTTTTAGATTATCAAATCTTTGATCACGACATCCCTCTGGTACCTCCTATTCACAGTCTTCGTCCCCACCTTCTGTTTCCGTTTTGAAGTTCTTCTCAGTTTTGATAAAATCAAGATTCTCATACTCCAAGTCTTCAACTTCTTCAACTTTGTCGTAGTTCACCGCTCTCACAGCCACTAAAACAGAAGTATAAGGACAATATGTTAGTATTTATGAAAGATCTCAGGGGGAGCTGTGTATTTTATATTGTTATTGTGGTAAGTACATTGGGTTTGGTCCAGGGTTTCAGGCTGCTTGGCTTGCTTACTCCTTTTGCAAATTATGCAGACCACCATCAACACCATGAACACCATGAACAGCAACAGCAACAGCAATAGCAACAGCAACAGCAAAGTCCCAGCATCAGCCAAAAACACCACTGGTACTGGACACACTGAATGGATAAAACAATCAATTAGTTTATCCAAAAATTACATAGTTCCCTTTCAGCCATATCTGCCTTTTTTGCTTAACTCTATGAACAGTTTCAACAATTTGTAACCTCTTATTTCCCGATGACCAACTCTACCACTGAGCCTAGGTTGCCTCACAGACAAGCATAAACATACAATTAGTTAACACACAGGTAATGAGTATCTAAGAGGCAAGCTTTTCTTTTCATTTTCAAAGCATGCTACTGGGTTGCAGTGCCCTTTTTGTTAAATCCTGACAGCTCTTCTTACAAGTTACACAGACAATGAAAAAACAGAATAGCTGATTAACATTAAGATTGGTGTTCTTACCTGAGCAGACCACACCAGCATCCTCACCATGTCCACAGTTTTCTGTCCCAAATCCTGGATGCCGACAATCACTTAGATAGCTTTCACTTCCTGAACATGCCACATCATCCAGAAAAATTGGTCCACTCCCTTGACCGAAATGGGCACTCTGTGGAGCATTTACAGCTGGCCCACAGCCCAATTGTCTGCAGACCACTTGAGCATCATTCATGTCCCAGCTGTCATCACAGACTGTTCCCCATTGATTGCCAGAAAAGATTTCAACCCTTCCAGAGCACAGAGCAGACCCAAGACCACTCAGTCTGATCGGATTACCTTGGAATCAAACAATTAAAAAAAAAACCAAACAAACAGAAAAACATTGCTGTATAGAACATGTACCCGTCTTTATTTTTTTCAATTTGATGTTATGTCTTTGAATCATGTCATATAAAAACTGCAGTAACACTTTACTCGACACCCATCTCTATTTTCCATTATAAATATATGTATAATGCCTTTTAATCATGTAATAGCACTGTATAACTATAGTTACAAACACTCATATGATCATTATGCTTCCTAGCAGTTGTCATAACACATTATAAAGCATTCTGTCATGACTTACAAGGTCAGGTATTATAATGTGTTTTGCTTATTGTTACAAAGTTGTATGATAATTAATTAGTGTTTATAATGATAGTTATACAGGTTTGTAAGCAATTATAACACATCATAAATATATGTATAATGCACTAACTAAGTGGGCATTGTCAGTGAGTTGTTAACAGTTATAACACATTATAATACCTGCCCTTGTAAGTCATGATATAGTGAATATAATGTGTTGTGATTATTGCTATAAAGCATTATGATCATTTATGAGTGTTTGTAACTAAAGTTATACAGTGCTTTAACATGATTATAAAGCATTATACATCTATTTATAATGCGTTATAGAGATAGGCGTCAAGTAAAGTGTTACCATAACGGCCTTTTAAGACTCCTTTGGGATAATGTCACGATTAATTTTCACACAGAGAAATGTGTCAGAGTTATTCTGATTGTTACTTTTCAAAGAATTTAGAGAAAGTACATTTGATACTGAAACTGGTATTTTCTTCATAACTTTGTTATTCAGGAATTTAAAATGAAACATAAAATTAAATGGACTGACCTGCTGCACATGAAGAAAAGGTCAAGGACAGGCAGACTGGAGGAGAGAGGAAAATGACATTTAGGACTCTGAGAAGTGCAGCAGAGGAATTGTCCTGTTTTTCTTCAATCAATCAGACTTAATTTGTATAGCACTGAATATATAGTGTACTCTGGCATACATGTTCTGGTTCTGCAACAAACTTCATAGATTTTGGTGTGAAGTTTTCCACTTTTACTGTAAGGCTCTGTCAGTACAGTACAGACAGTTATTGCTAAGTAAATTATTCTCCAAGTCTGGAACAAAGATATATCACCAAGTTTTGAAGCCTGGCTCACAGAGCTCTCAAATAGGCAACCTTATGGGGAAACAAAGGACAGCAGAGAGGAACCTTGTGACACCTCAATGTCCTGATTGTTTGAATCTTCATCTATCTGTAATTTTTTAAAGCATAATTTCATTACAGTCATGGATGAAAATGAAAAAATATTTTTAATCATGTAAACTAGAAAGGTAGGTCTGAAGTTTGCTTTTAAAAATACAGAGAATCTGTGCCCACAGATGTAGGCCATAACGATAAAGAAATGACTTCGCCATGGATCTTTGTTCTGACTTTTGGCACCTTTAAAGGACCGCTTCCTAAAGACCCGAGGGCTCTCACAAGCTTATACGGTAAAAGCAAATCTGATTAATGAGTTGGTGCGACCCTTAAGAGCTTTAAAAACCAATAAAAGAACCTTCAAAACAATTCTAAAACACACTGAAGGCCAATGCAGAGACTTTATAATGGATGTTATGTGGGCTCTCTCTGGTCTTTGTCAGCTGAGTTATGGAGCTGCTGAGGCTGTGAAGTTTTCTATTTAGGAAGACCAGAGAAAAGAGCGTTACAATAGTCAATTTTGCAAGAAGCACAAGTGTCTTCACTGACTTGAGAGAGAAACTGTCCCTTACTGGCAACATTTTTAGGTGATTAAAAACGTTCTTTGTGATGTCTCTAATGTGTGTTTTTAAATGGAGATTTTGGTCAAATATCACACCTAGATTTTTCCCTCGCCTTGGTTACATGGAGTAAAAACAGCATCAGGAGATTTGCATCCAGTTTGTCTCTCTGACCTCCAGTACCAATGACTGAAAACTGAGTTTTGTCCTGAGTGAGCTTCTTCTATAGCTGTCTTTGTTTACTGTAAGAGTGTTACAAAATGAATTAATTGCTTGTTAAAAGTGCACTTAAAAATAAAAATTTTGTAAATCTTTCTTACCCAGGATGAAGTGAAGGTTTTTCTGCTGAATGTCCATCACGGCTGATGCATAGGGAGCCATCATCATCAGTGAGGGAAATGGAGTGACTTGATACTCACCAAAATGCACAATACTTCCTCTTTAATTTGCCAGTAACTTTTAATTAAAAGTACTTTGCATAAGTCAGCAGCCTAAGACTTAACCTTTATAACCCATACCCATTTCTTCTAAGAGGAAAGTCACATGGGACATAAAACAGACAGAATATTTGAGCCTTCGTTTTGAAATATCATCCCTTGTGTCAAAGATCACATTGGGTGTTCAGGTTGTTCTACATTTTTTATTACTTCAGCTGGACAGTCTTTTTGTATTGTCTACATTTTTTTTTCTCTGTAAGGATGCCTAGCCCATGTTCACACTTTAAAGCATGAAAGGTCCACACAAATGATAACTTTGACAAGCTTTAGTGGTTGCAAATCTGGGTTACAACATCATGCCACAAGTGTAACAAATACTGGTCTGGGACTGTTAAGGTATAGATGACCATCCATGTTACCAAACATTCTGCTTACATCTTGTTGACCTGAAGCAGAGTCTATGTACGGTAATAACAAAGCACAACATATTTTGGGAGCCTGAGTGATGTTAAACATGGCTACAAGGTCCTTGATGAGAATGGTTGTTGAAGGCCCATGGGTTCAGAAATGTAGCAGCAAAGTATTCAAGGTGTTTGAGTAACACAGCTCCACCACCCTCAAGGATGACCTGACTAGCTAAAGGAAATGTATATATATATATATACATATATATAAGGCATCAAAACTATGAATGAACACATGGAATTTTGTACTTATAAAAAAAGTGTGAAATAACTGAAAACATGTTTCATATTCTAGATTCTTTAAAATAGCCACCCCTTTGCTCTTGATGACAGAAGTACTTAGTGACTGACTGTCAGTCATGAACAAACCCTGACAAGGCACACCTGTAAAGTGAAAACCATTTCAGGTGACTACCTCATGAAGCTCATTGAGAGAACAGCAAAAGTTTGCAGCGCTATCAAAAAAGCAGAGGGTGGCTACTTAGAGCAATCTAAAATATAAAACATGTTTTCAGTTATTTCACACTTTTTTTGTAAGCACATGATTCCACGTGTTCATTCATAGTTTTGATGCCTTCACTGAGAATCTACAATGTAAATAGCAATGAACAAATTCAATTTAGCCCAAGCTAAGTAACAACAGGAAGAAATTTACAGTAAGTTGCTGGTGTTGTTATAAAAAAAAAAAAAAAAAAAAAAAAAAAAAACAGACTTAAATACTCATCCCTAGGGCTTTCTGGTAATCGAAGCTGAACAGAAACTTATTCTTCAATTAGCATTATCAGCTCAGCATACAATTTGAGACAAAAAGTGCTGGAGTTCACACATCTGACTCGGTACTTCCTTTCACTTCTATTCAAGTGAAAGGGAGTACCAAATTGTGGCGATTTGACCAGCTGTAGCAGCGCTGGCCTTGTCTCGAGTTACAATGCTTCACTGCTGCTTCTTTGAGGGACGAGCTCAGGCTGCCAGCATTTCCCAGAGCAGATCTGGATGTGTTCAATGAAACTAGCTCAGATTACAAGGAGCCTGTGTCATAACTATTTGTGTCATAACTATTTGTGGCTGTCAAGAGGTAGTACTGCAAAACCGCCTTTACATCATTTACTCAAGCTGTAATTTTAAGCATCTTTGTCACTGAATCAATCACAATATTCATCTTCACTAATATTTGTTTGACAGCAAATTACCGTATTCTGCTCCAACTCTGCTTAAAACATTAACATGTATCTGCTGACTTTTCCAAGTGTTGTATTAAAGGTCTCATATGTTTTCTTGTTATAATTTAAAAGGGTTGTATTTGATTAGCATCAAAGTAGTGAACAGGAGTAACTTTATGGTATTTAAGAATCATACTCTTGAATAGTAGTGTGATAGATGAAGACACTAAAAGGGAAAGATGGTAAACAGTAGGTCGTGGTCAATAGAGATGTGTGTCAGTGAACCAAGGGATGCCAGAGACAGAAATAGAGAGGGAGATACAAGATGGCTGCTGATACTGCAGCTGTTATTAATGGGTTATTAGTACTCCACCCAAGAAAAGTCTTGTCTCATTTATAGTTGGATGAGACTGTCTATTTCAAATAACTGCTGATGTCGACACAATGCACAAAAACTGAACTGAAACACAAAATGCAAAGCTGGGTAGGAGTTTATTTCAGCAACTTAAAAGTTTATAAAAGTAAAGTATAACACTTAAAATCTGTTTCAAGATGAGGCACATTTATAAAAAAACAGACAGAGTTTTATCTCCAGTACATAACCTGTACTTAGATGATTGGTCAAACAAAGCAAACAATCCAAAAGTGCAAAGTCACAGTAGAGGGAATTATCTGACATTGGTAACTTTAGTAATGCTGAGACACAGTGGCACAGGTCTGTCAGCTTTTACTGAAACATAATTACGTCAGGACCACGTATGTCAAGATTAAGTATTTGCACACAATAGTTTTAAAGGGAATCACTTAAATCAGGCAACTGTTTTTGATAAATACATCAGTATCAGCTGACAGGCTGCCATTGCTTTTTCTGAATGTGTGTTTTCACAGAAATGTAAATGTGTGTTACAAAGTGCTTCAAACTCTAGAAAGCAAAAATCCCTGATTTTGGTCGTTCAACCAATAACATTTTCATGACCAACAGTAGTTTGAATAATTTAATTACATTGACAGCAGATTACAATAAAAATGTAAATAATTAAAAGTGTGTTTAATTCTCCCGAGGCAGCAAAAGAACAAAGCACAATTTTACAGGCATTTGTTTTTTTTTTAAAGATAATTTCAGGTTTTTTATCTCAGACAGAGTGATATGCCATAAACCAAAACCTGATCCTCTTAAAAGCATTCTGTATCATTTCAATCAGCTGGCACTTAAATATTTCACCACTCATACACTTAATTAAATTATTTAACTTAGGTCAAAGGTTAAGCGCTTCAAGTGTGACCAGCAGCAGTTGAGAAGAGCCCATCTGTGAAGTTCTGGTAAATGTTGTCTTCATGAATGTCATCAGCTGACCCAGTAAATGGCCTTTTGAAATTTTTATAGTCATCTTCTTCATCGCTGGTTTCTTCTTTGTCTCGTTCCTCTTTTTTGTTTTCAGCTGCTTGGGAAAAGACCTTGGCCTTCCTTAGATTATCATATCTTTGATCACGACATCCCTCTGGTACCTCATATTCACAGTCTTCATCCCCATCTTTTGTTTCTGCTTTGACGTTCTTCTTAATTCTGACAAAATCAAGATTCTCATACTCAAAGTCCTCTTCATCGTTGTAGCAATTCACCGCTCTTACAGCCACTAAAACAGAAGTATAAGGACAACATGTGAGTATTTATGAAAGATCTTAAGAGGAGCTGTGTATTTTACATTGTTATCGTGGTAAGTACATTGGGTTTGGTCCAGGGTTTCAGGCTGCTTGGCTTGCTGACTCCTTTTGCAAATTATGCAGACCACCATGAACCCCATTAACAACAGCAACAGCAAAGTCCCAGCAGCGGACAAGGACACCAATGGTACCAGAGACGCTAAAGGGAAAAAACAATAATGTTATCCTTATATAATATAGTTCCATTCCAGCCAAATCTGCCTTTTTTCCTCAACCCTATGAACAGTTTAAAGAGTTTTTGTCCGTAGTTCAGTCTACTTACGTTTGATTATAACCTGGAGTAGAGCTGACTCAGTAGAATTAAATCTTTGTGTGGACAGTTCCAGCTCATACACACAGCTGTAGTTGCCTATGTGTTGGTAATCTGCCACAGGGAATTCAAAGGAGGCAGAGTGGTTGACTGCTGGCTTGGTGAGAGTGATGTTGGAGCTGGATGACATAAGAAAGAACTGTCCTTCAGGGTAACTGCAGTTTATGGAGCAGACAAAGAAGAAGGTGTAACCTCTGATGACCTCTGCCCCTTCAGGACTCCAGATCAGCCCTCCATTCGGAGAGGTTAAGAAGATGGTTGGCTGCTGCAGTGTAACTGAAACATAATATTGAAATACACTTGTGTTTTTAAAATTTATATTTAAATACAGTGTGTAGACATAGTAATACAAAGTGATATTTAGAGGCCATATTTTGGATGGAACCACTCCTTTCAGCTTTACAGTTGTTGATTTAAATACTCAAATCAAGTTTTGCAGCTGATCTGATTTGATTTTTCATCCTTACCTGTAATGGAGACTGTGACAGGGTCACTTAAGGCAGAGCTGTAAGATTGACTTAAAATGGTTTTCTCATACTGGCATTGATAGGACCCCTCATCATCAAAGTCCACTGAAGTGATGCTGAAGGTGGAAGGGTTAGTATTTGATGTTTGAGTGATTTTGAGAGAGCTTGAGGTTTTCTTGAGAATAAATGTGCCACCCAACAGATCAGTTGTGATAGAACAAATGATGTTGACCTCCTGACCCCAGGACATCTCACCAACAGGTATCATAGAAATGCTTGGTTTTGGGAGGCTCACTGTAAATATAAAACCAAAGCACAGTAGTTTATGAAAAAGCTGTAATATCACACATCCACCTCTCTCTACTTTCTGCCTCTCCCTCTATCCCCTCCTTTAACCCAATGCAGCAAAAGCACCAGATGACTGTTTTGAAACATCATGAGTCTGGTCAAGTCTTACACTGGATTTGTCCTTACAAGAGTAGGCTCACATCTTTGTGTTGGGTCTCTGTAAATAGAGTAAAGCCTAGACCAGCTTTTGTCAAAAAAATATTTTTTTTACTATGGTTTCTATGTGAAAATAATCACATAAGCAATCATAAACATGGCTTACCTGAGCAGACCACACCAGCATCCTTACTATGTCCACAGTAATGAGTCCCAAAACCTGCATGCCGACAAAAACTCAGACTTCCTTCACTTCCTGAACATGCCACATCATCTAGAAAAATTGGTCCACTTCCTTGTCCGAAACTAGCACCCAGAGTAGCCTTCAAAGCTGTCCCACACTTCAGTTGTCTGCAGACCACCTGAGCATCATTCATGTCCCAGTTGTCATGACAGACTGTTCCCCATTCACTGCCAGAAAAGATTTCAACCCTTCCAGAGCACCTAGAAGGCTCAAGACCACTGACTCTGATTGGAGCACCTGGGAATAAAACATGACATGAAGGACCTATCAGTAATTTGGAAACCTCAAACAAACCGCTGGTTCAGCAATCAGGACAGTTTGGGGTTAGATGTCTAGTTCAAGGACACTGCAGCATTTAAACAACAAACATACAAAGCCTCCAAACCTCTAATTTTTCAAAAACCAAATCTACCAATGAGCCTTAGCTGCCTCACAAACAAAAACAAAGTTTCGTTTGTGAACACACTCTTTATGAGTATCTAAGAGGCAAGCTTTTCTTTTCATTTAAAGCATGCTACAGCATTGCAGTGACCTTTGTTGCATCCTGACAGCTCTCCTTACAAGTTACACAGACAATAAGAAAAACAGAAAAGCTGATTGACATTAAGATTGGAATTCTTACCTGAGCAGACCACACCAGCATCCTTACTATGTCCACAGTTATGTGTACCAAATCCTGCATGCCGGCAAAAACTCAAGCCTCCTTCACTTCCTGAACATGTCACATCATCCAAAAATATTTGTCCACTTCCTTGTCCGAAATGGGCACTCCGAGGAGCCTTCAAAGCTGTCCCACACTTCAGTTGCCTGCAGACCACCTGAGCGTCATTAATGTCCCAGTTGTCATCACAGACTGTTCCCCATTCACTGCCAGAGAAGATTTCCACCCTTCCAGAACATGGAGTAGACCCTTGGCCTCCCAGTCTGATTGGAGCACCTGATAATTTAAAATAATATTAAAGTCCTATTAGTATTAAGGAAACCTCAAACAAACTTCTGGCTCAGCACTCAGGACAGTTTGGGGTTGGATGTCTAGTTCAAGGATTTGTAGCATTTGAACAACAAACATGCATGAGGAAACTAAGGGTGTGGAAAATAATCGATATCAATCGATGCATCGATGCGCATGTGCGCGATGCGACTGCGTCGGCTCATTCACTGGGTATCGATGCAATTGACGGGTTAAATCTAGATTCATCTAGATGCGTTTGTGGGTATTGGTAAAATCCGATGCAAGCGCCGTTTTATTCATGTTAAACTTCACCCAATCTGCTGTTTCCCAGGCGCATTGAATGCACCATCATTTTTTCACGTTTTGTATTGAATACGGACGGAAGCCGTGAGGGACATACAATGCACTACTACTAAAACAGCATGGACCACATTCAAGTGAGCAGCAGCGAGAAAGAGTTTATATGTAATGCACCCGCTACGTTTAAATCATATGTTTGGAAACACTACGGATTTGCAAAGAAAGACGGAAAGCTCGACAAAACGTCCGTCATTTGCAAAGAATGCCGCGTTAAGAAGCCGTACAACGGCGGCACGACAAACATGCAGACCCACTTAAAAAGAGAACACCACATCACCGACAAGTCTAACGCCACCTCCCCTCCCTTAACATTGATTGCACTGATGAAAGTGTCACTTTAGGTTACTCATTGAGAGTGTTTTGTTGTTGCTGTTTACTGTACTTTTTACAGAAGTAATTATTGTGTAATTGTTTTACTCTTTTATTATTGCAGAACTCACTCAAATCACTGATTTTGTGGCCAGTTAGAAAGTCAACTCTAGCACATTGGTTTGGCAGACAGTAGTATGGCCATTGAATGGTTTATTTGCACCATGTTAGGCAGTGCATTAGTTGTTTAATAATGTGTACTGTAATATTACCCAACAAGTATAGAGCACTTGTGTGATGTAGGGTTGGGGTTGGAATCCTTTTTTTTTTTTTTTTTTTTTTTGATTTTATTGATTCAGATTCCTTAACAGTTGCAGGAGGTCTGTCTAATCTGTGTAACTGTACAAAATGAAGGAGCATAGAAAAAAGACAAAAAGCACTTTTGTTGAATTAACTGCTAAGTGCCTTTAAGGAATAAAGCCAAATCCTTTTTGTAGTACCATACTGAATTCCATCTTTTATTTTTATTTCTTTTTTTTTCTTTGCTTATTTGCATCATGTTGAATTGCATCATATCGCAACAAATTGCATCATATCGTATCGGTTCGCATTGATTTGAACTAAATGATTATTGTATCGTATCGCATCGTGAAGAGGGTGAATCGTATCGCATCGTATCGCCAGAAAATTCCATGTATCGTTAAAGTATCGTATCGCTGGCAGTGCATCGAGATGCGTATCGAATCGTCCTCAGTGCTGAGATTCACATCCCTAGAGGAAACCTCCAAACTTCTGATTTCCCAATAACCAGCTCTACCACTGAGCCCAAGCTGCCCCCACAAATAAGCATAAAGTTATGATATGTGAACACACTCTTTATCAGTATCTAAGAGGTGAGCTTTTCTTTTTATTCAAAGCAAGCTAAAGGCTTGTGGTGACCTTTGTTGTACCCTGACAGGTCTTCTTACAAGTTACACAGACAATGAAAAAAGGGGCCACTGATGAATATCAAGATTGGAATTCTTACCTGAACAGACCACACCAGCATCCTTACTATGTCCACAGTTATTTGTCCCAAATACTGCATGCCGGCAAAAACTCAAGCCTCCTTCACTTCCTGAACATGCCACATCATCCAGAAAAATTGGTCCACTTCCTTGTCCAAAATGGGCACTCCGAGGAGCATTCACAGCTGTCCCACAGTTCAGTTGCCTGCAGACCACCTGAGCATCATTCATGTCCCAGTTGTCATGACAGACTGTTCCCCATTCACTGCCAGAGAAGATTTCAACCCTTCCAGAGCACGGAGTAGACCCTTGGCCTCCCAGTCTGATTGGAGCACCTGGTAATTTGACATAATATGAAGGACCCATCAGTATTTAGGAAGCCTCAAACAAACCACATTGGCTTAGCTCTCGAGACGGTTTGGGGTTAGATGTCTAGTTCAAGGATCTGTAGCATTTGAACAACAAACATGCATGAGGAAACCTCCAAACTTCTAATTTTCCAATAACCAACTCTACCACTGAGCCTAAGCTGCCCTGCACACAAACAAACATTAAGTTATGATATGTTAACACACTTTTTAACAACATCTAAAAAGTGAGCTTTTCTTTTTATTCAAAGCAAGCTAAAGGCTTGTGGTGACCTTTGTTGTACCCTGACAGGTCTTCTTAAAAGTTACACAGACAATGAGATACAGCGCCACTGATGAATATCAAGATTGGAATTCTTACCTGAGCAGACCACACTAGCATCCTTACTATGTCCACAGTTATGTGTCCCAAATCCTGCATGCCGGCAAAAACTCAAGCCTCCTTCACTTCCTGAACATGCCACATCATCCAGAAAAATTGGTCCACTTCCTTCTCCAAAATGGGCACTCCGAGGAGCATTCACAGCTGTCCCACAGTTCAGTTGCCTGCAGACCACCTGAGCATCATTCGTGTCCCAGTTGTCATGACAGACTGTTCCCCATTCACTGCCAGAGAAGATTTCAACCCTTCCAGAGCATGGAGTAGACCCTTGGCCTCCCAGTCTGATTGGAGCACCTGGTAATTTGACATAATATGAAGGACCCATATTTAGGAAGCCTCAAACAAACCACATTGGCTTAGCTCTCGAGACGGTTTGGGGTTAGATGTCTAGTTCAAGGATCTGTAGCATTTGAACAACAAACATGCATGAGGAAACCTCCAAACTTCTAATTTCCCAATAACCAACTCTACCGCTGAGCCTAAGCTGCCCCACACACAAACACACATTAAGTTATGATATGTTAACACACTCTTTTACAGTGTCTAAAAAGTGAGCTTTTCTTTTTATTCAAAGCATGCTACAGTGTTGCAGTGACCTTTGTTGCATTCTGACAGCTCTCCTTACAAGTTACACAGACAATGAAAAAACAGAAAAGCTGATTGACATTAAGATTGGAATTCTTACCTGAGCAGACCACACCAGCATCCTTACTATGTCCACAGTTATTTGTCCCAAATCCTGCATGCCGGCAAAAACTCAAGCCTCCTTCACTTCCTGAACATGCCACATCATCCAGAAAAATTGGTCCACTTCCTTGTCCAAAATGGGCACTCCGAGTAGCCTCCACAGCTGTCCCACACTTCAGTTGCCTGCAGACCACTTGAGCATCATTCATGTCCCAATTATCATCACAGACCGTTCCCCATTCACTGCCAGAAAAGATTTCCACCCCTCCAGAGCATGGAGTAGACCCTTGACCTCCCAGTCTGATTGGAGCGCCTGGTAATTTGACATAATATGAAGGACCTATCAGTCTTTCGGAAGCCTCAAACAAACCACATTGGCTTAGCTCTCGGGACAGTTTGGGGTTAGATGTCTAGTTCAAGGATCTGAAGCATTTGAACAACAAACATACAAGAGAAAACCTCCAAACTTCTTATTTTCTAATAACCAACTGCACCATTGAGCATAAGCTGCCCCCAAAAATAAGCATTAAGTTATGATATGATAACAAACTCTTTATCAATACCAAAGAGGCAATCTTTTCTTTTCATTTTAAGCATGCTCCAGGGTTTCAGAAACCTTTGTTGCATCCTGACAGCTCTTCTTACAAGTTACACAGACAATGAAAAAACAGAAAAGCTGATTGACATTAAGATTGGTATTCTTACCTGAGCAGACCACACCAGCATCCTTACTATGTCCACAGTTATGTGTACCAAATCCTGCATGCCGACAAAAACTCAAGCCTCCTTCACTTCCTGAACATGCCACATCATCCAGAAAAATTGGTCCACTTCCTTCTCCAAAATGGGCACTCCGAGGAGCATTCACAGCATTCCCACAGTTCAGTTGCCTACAGACCACCTGAGCATCATTCATGTCCCAGTTGTCATCACAGACAGTTCCCCATTCACTGCCAGAAAAGATTTCAACTCTTCCAAAGCATGTGGTAGACCCTTGGCCTCCCAGTCTAATTGGAGCACCTTAAAATTTAAAATAATATTAAAGTCCTATCAGTATTTAGTGAACCTCAAACAAGCCTCTGGCTCAGCACTCAGGACAGTTTGGGGTTAGATGTCTGGTTCAAGGATCTGTAGCATATGAACAACAAACATGCATGAGGAAACCTCCAAACTTCTAATTTCTCAAGAACCAACTCTACCACTAAGCCTAAGCTGCCCCAACAAATAGGCATTAAGTTATGATATGTGAACACTCTTTATCAGTATCTAAGAGGTGAGCTTTCCTTTTCATTTAAAGCACGCTCCAGGGTTGCGGTGACCTTTGTTGTACCCTGACAAATCTTCTTACAAGTTACACAGACAATGAAAAAAAGGGGCCACTGATGAATATCAAGATTGGAATTCTTACCTGAGCAGACCACACCAGCATCCTTAGTATGTCCACAGTTATGTGTCCCAAATCCTGCATGTCGACAAAAACTTAGTCTTCCTTCACTTCCTGAACATGCCACATCATCCAGAAAAATTGGTCCACTTCCTTGTCCAAAATGGGCACTCCGAGGAGCATTCACAGCTGTCCCACAGTTCAGTTGCCTGCAGACCACCTGAGCATCATTCATGTCCCAGGTGTCATGACAGACTGTTCCCCATTCACTGCCAGAAAAGATTTCAACCCTTCCAGAGCACGGAGTAGACCCTTGACCTCCCAGTCTGATCGGAGCACCTGATAATTTTATATAATAAGAAGGACCCATCAGTATTTAGGAAGCCTCAAACAAACCACATTGGCTTAGCTCTCGAGACGGTTTAGGGTTAGATGTCTAGTTCAAGGATCTGAAGCATTTGAACAACAAACATACAGGAGAAAACCTCCAAACTTCTAATTTCCCAATAACCAACTCTACCACTGAGCATAAGCTGCCCCCACAAATAAGCATTAAGTAATGATATGATAACAAACTCTTCATCATTACCAAAGAGGGGAGATTTCTTTTTCATTTAAAGCATGCTCCAGGGTTGCGGTGACCTTTGTTGTACCCTGACAAGTCTTCTTTAAGTTTCACAGACAATAAAAAAACAGAAATGCTGATTTACATAGAGATTGGTATTCTTACCTGAGCAGACCACACCAGCATCCTTACTATGTCCACAGTTATGTGTACCAAATCCTGCATGCCGGCAAAAACTCAAGCCTCCTTCACTTCCTGAACATGCCACATCATCCAAAAATATTTGTCCACTTCCTTGTCCAAAATGGGCACTCTGAGGAGCATTCACAGCTGTCCCACAGTTCAGTTGCCTGCAGACCACCTTAGCATCATTCATGTCCCAGTTGTCATGACAGACTGTTCCCCATTCACTGCCAGAAAAGATTTCAACTCTTCCAGAGCATGGAGTAGACCCTTGGCCTCCCAGTCTGATTTGAGCACCTGATAATTTAAAATAATATTAAAGTCACATAAGTATTTAGGAAACCTCAAACAAACCTCTTGCTCAGCACTCAGGACAGTTTGGGGTTAGATGTCTGGTTCAAGGATCAGTAGCATTTGAACAACAAATATGCATGAGGAAACTTCCAAACTTCTTATTTCCCAATAACCAACTCTACCACTAAGCCTAAGCTGCCCCCCAAAATAAGCAAAAGTTATGATATGTTACCAAACTCTTTATCACTACCAAAGAGGCAAGCTTTTCTTTTCATTTAAAGCATGCTACAGGGTTGAGGTGACCTTTGTTGTACCCTGACAGGTCTTCTTACAAGTTACACAGACAATGAAAAAACAAAAACGCTGATTAACATTAAGATTGGTATTCTTACCTGAGCAGACCACACCAGCATCCTTACTATGTCCACAGTTATGTGTACCAAATCCTGCATGCCGGCAAAAACTCAAGCCTCCTTCACTTCCTGAACATGCCACATCATCCAGAAAAATTGGTCCACTTCCTTGTCCAAAATGGGCACTCCGAGGAGCATTCACAGCTGTCCCACAGTTCAGTTGCCTGCAGACCACCTGAGCATCATTCATGTCCCAGTTGTCATCACAGACTGTTCCCCATTCACTGCCAGAAAAGATTTCCACCCTTCCAGAGCATGGAGTAGACCCTTGGCCTCCCAGTCTGATTGGAGCACCTGGTAATTTGACATAATATGAAGGACCCATCAGTATTTAGGAAACCTCAAACAAACCACATTGGCTTAGCTCTCGAGACGGTTTGGGGTTAGATGTCTAGTTCAAGGATCAGTAGCATTTGAACAACAAATATGCATGAGGAAACTTCCAAACTTCTTATTTCCCAATAACCAACTCTACCACTAAGCCTAAGCTGCCCCCCAAAATAAGCAAAAGTTATGATATGTTACCAAACTCTTTATCACTACCAAAGAGGCAAGCTTTTCTTTTCATTTAAAGCATGCTACAGGGTTGAGGTGACCTTTGTTGTACCCTGACAGGTCTTCTTACAAGTTACACAGACAATGAAAAAACAAAAACGCTGATTAACATTAAGATTGGTATTCTTACCTGAGCAGACCACACCAGCATCCTTACTATGTCCACAGTTATGTGTACCAAATCCTGCATGCCGGCAAAAACTCAAGCCCCCTTCACTTCCTGAACATGCCACATCATCCAAAAATATTTGTCCACTTCCTTGTCCAAAATGGGCACTCTGAGGAGCATTCACAGCTGTCCCACAGTTCAGTTGCCTGCAGACCACCTTAGCATCATTCATGTCCCAGTTGTCATGACAGACTGTTCCCCATTCACTGCCAGAAAAGATTTCAACTCTTCCAGAGCATGGAGTAGACCCTTGGCCTCCCAGTCTGATTTGAGCACCTGATAATTTAAAATAATATTAAAGTCACATAAGTATTTAGGAAACCTCAAACAAACCTCTTGCTCAGCACTCAGGACAGTTTGGGGTTAGATGTCTGGTTCAAGGATCAGTAGCATTTGAACAACAAATATGCATGAGGAAACCTCCAAACTTCTTATTTCCCAATAACCAACTCTACCACTAAGCCTAAGCTGCCCCCCAAAATAAGCAAAAGTTATGGTATGTTACCAAACTCTTTATCACTACCAAAGAGGCAAGCTTTTCTTTTCATTTAAAGCATGCTACAGGGTTGAGGTGACCTTTGTTGTACCCTGACAGGTCTTCTTACAAGTTACACAGACAATGAAAAAACAAAAACACTGATTAACATTAAGATTGGTATTCGTACCTGAGCAGACCACACCAGCATCCTTACTATGTCCACAGTTATGTGTACCAAATCCTGCATGCCGGCAAAAACTCAAGCCTCCTTCACTTCCTGAACATGCCACATCATCCAGAAAAATTGGTCCACTTCCTTGTCCAAAATGGGCACTCCGAGGAGCATTCACAGCTGTCCCACAATTCAGTTGCCTGCAGACCACCTGAGCATCATTCATGTCCCAGTTGTCATCACAGACTGTTCCCCATTCACTGCCAGAAAAGATTTCCACCCTTCCAGAGCATGGAGTAGACCCTTGGCCTCCCAGTCTGATTGGAGCACCTGGTAATTTGACATAATATGAAGGACCCATCAGTATTTAGGAAACCTCAAACAAACCACATTGGCTTAGCTCTCGAGACGGTTTGGGGTTAGATGTCTAGTTCAAGGATCTGTAGCATTTGAACAACAAACATACATGAGGAAACCTCCAAACTTCTAATTTTCCAATAACCAACTCTACCGCTGAGCCTAAGCTGCCCCACACACAAACAAACATTAAGTTATATGTTAACACACTCTTTAACAATATCTAAAAGGCAAGCTAACGTTTTAATTAACAAAGCATGCTACAGGGTTGCTGTGATATTTTTTTTTGCACCCTGACAGCTCTTCTTACAAGTTTCACAGAAAATGAAAAAACAGGGCCACTGATGAATGACAAGATTGGAATTCTTACCTGAGCAGACCACACCAGCATCCTTACTATGTCCACAGTTATGTGTACCAAATACTGCATGCCGGCAAAAACTCAAGCCTCCTTCACTTCCTGAACATGCCACATCATCCAGAAAAATTGGTCCACTTCCCTGTCCGAAATGGGCACTCCGAGGAGCATTCACAGCTGTCCCACAGCTCAGTTGCCTGCAGACCACCTGAGCATCATTCATGTCCCAATTGTCATCACAGACCGTTCCCCATTCACTGCCAGAAAAGATTTCCACCCTTCCAGAGCATGGAGTAGACCCTTGGCCTCCCAGTCTGATTGGAGCACCTGGTAATTTGACATATTATGAAGGACCCATCAGTATTTAGGAAGCCTCAAACGAACCACTGGCTAAGCTCTTAGGACAGCTCGGGGTTCGATGTCTACTTCAAGGATCTGTAGCATTTGAACATCAAACATGCATGAGGAAACCTCCAAACTTCTAATTTTCCAATAACCAAATCTACCACTGAGCATAAGCTGCCCCCACACATAAACAAGCTTAAGGTTATGATATGTTCACACACTCTTTAACAATATCTAAAAGGCAAGCTCACATTTTAATTAACAAAGCATGCTACAGGGTTGCTGTGACATTTATTTTGCATCCTGACAGGTCTTTTTACAAGTTACACAGACAATGAAAAAACAAAAACGCTGATTGACATCAAGATTGGAATTCTTACCTGAGCAGACCACACCAGCATCCTTACTATGTCCACAGTTATGTGTTCCAAATCCTGCATGTCGACAAAAACTTAGTCTTCCTTCACTTCCTGAACATGCCACATCATCCAGAAAAATTGGTCCACTTCCCTGTCCAAAATGGGCACTCCGAGGAGCATTCACAGCTGTCCCACAGTTCAGTTGCCTGCAGACCACCTGAGCATCATTCATGTCCCAATTGTCATGACAGACTGTTCCCCATTCACTGCCAGAAAAGATTTCAACCCTTCCAGAGCATGGAGTAGACCCTTGGCCTCCCAGTCTGATTTGAGCACCTGGTAATTTAACATAATGGTAAACTCCTATTATTATTTAGGAAACCTCAATCAAACCACTGGCTAAGCTCTCAGTACAGTTCGGGTTAGATGTCAAGTTCAAGGAAACTGTAGCATCTGAACAATAAACATGCATGAAAAATACCAACAAACCAATAATTTTCCGATAACAAACTCTGCCACTGAGCCTAAGCTGCCCCACACACAAAATTTGTTAATACACCTTTTTATTAGTATTTAAGAGGCAAGCTTTTCCTTTTATTTTCGAAGTATGCTACAGGGTTCTAATGACATTTTTTTGCACCCTGACAGCTCTTCTTACAAGTTACACAGACAATGAAAAAATGGAGCAGCTGATAAACATTAAGATTAGTATTCTTACCTGAGCAGACCACACCAGCATCCTCACCATGTCCACAGTTATGTGTCCCAAATCCTTGATGCTGACAATCAGTCAGAAAGCTTTCACTTCCTGAACATGCCACATCATCCAAAAAAATTGGTCCACTTCCTTCACCAAAATGGGCACTCGGAGGAGCAGTCACAGCTGTCCCACAGTTCAGTTGCCTGCAGACCACCTTAGCATCATTCATGTCCCAGTTGTCATCACAGACCGTTCCCCATTCACTGCCAGAAAAGATTTCCACCCTTCCAGAGCACGGAGTAGACCCAAGTCCCCCTAGTTTGATACGAGTACCTGGACAAGGTATATAGCAGAAAAATAAATTGCTATGCTTTTGTACAAATCCAATTTAACTGAAGTCAGGATATTGTTTTTCACATATATTAAAACAGAATACAATTATCTAAAAAAAATTTCTAATTTATATTCAATTAAATAAATCACAGAGACAAGATAGCGAGTGGTCAAACTGATAAACTTTGTGTTTTGTTTTGTTTTGTTTTTTCACAAAAATTCACTAATTTCTCAGGCCCAGAGAAACCAGAGTTGTTTCTAGATGTTGTTGATGTCTGGCTTCTGCTTTGCATGGTAGAGTTTAAACATCTACTTATAGATTTGGAGACAAAATGTGGTCACTGACCATGTTTTTCTGAAGTGGTCCTGATCCCATGTTGTAAAATCCTTTACAGAATGATGCAAGTTTTTAATGCAGTGTTACCTGAGGGGTCAAAGGTCACAGGCATTCAATGTTGGTTTTGGGCCTTGCTGTTTACATGCAGAGATTTCTGTGGATTCTCTGAATGATATGTTTCAGTGAATTCTCAGAATTGTATGTTGTGAAACATTGTTCTTAAACTGTTGGACTATTAGCTCACGCAGTTGTTCACAAAGCGGCAAACCAGTTGAAGGTGCTTCTTTTTACCCTGTCACGACACTCACTTGTTTTCCAATGAAGCTGTTTACTGAGGAGTGATCCAAACAGGTGTTTTTGGAGCAGTCCTTAATTTTCAGTTTTTTGTTGCTCATTTTCCAGCTTTTTCGGAAGATGTTGCAGGCACCAACTTCAAAATGAGTTAAAATTTGCAATCAACACAATAAAGTTCATCAGCTTAAATGTTAGATATCTTGCCTCTGTATTTAATTGAATATAGGTGGAAAGAATTTTTAAGTCATTGAATTCTGTATTCTTTAATGTGTTACACAACATTTCAACCTAACTGGAATTAAGGTTAGAGATGTACGTAAGTATTTTTCAGAGTGCGTGTTTGTTTGTCTGTGGATTTTACTGAATAGTGGACATATTTACATCTTGACAGATCCTACAAGTTACACAGACATTAACAAAATGGAACAGCTGATTAAAGGGATATTCCAGTGGAAAATTAATTTAGGGTCAAACACATTGCAACACCGAGTTAGACACCCCGTCAAGAGATGAATGTTACCGACAGGTTGCTTCTCTAGTTATACCAACTGTCGTAACGACCGCGCGATAGCAATACACAGCAGTCTACGTCCCCATGCGCAATCCTCAACCAAAACGCCACTCTATAGCCACAAATAATGCTCAGAACAGCACCTAACTTTATCAACAGTACATATAGAGTCCCAGCCAGAGTACTAGCCACCAAAAATCTTTTTAACTTTGCCTAATTTAGGCAAAAAAGGGACTAAACACAACTCACCCACTCTCCTCAAGCAGCCACATCTTTGTAGGGAGACCTCTGATGAATCCATCACTGAGTGCAGCAGGTTTACGCAGCTCAAGGAAGAACATTTATGATCATTACTTCATAATTTTCTTGAAGTTATGATGATCATATTAATCATTTTGCATTGCAGATGCAGTAGTTCTTCTGCCTTAGCGTCTCAGTCTGATTGCATTTCCACAAAGGAACTCAGTGTTACGGTGTGTTTGACCCTAACTTTACTTTACATCGGAATATCCCTTTAATATCAAGATTGTATTCTTACCTGAACAGACCACACCGGCATCCTCACCATGTCCACAGTTATGGGTCCCAAATCCTGCATGCCGGCAATCACTTAGAAATCTTTCACTTCCTGAACATGCCACATCATCCAAGAAAATTGGTCCACTTCCTTCACCAAAATGGGCACTCTGAGGAGCATTCACAGCTGTCCCACAGCTCAGTTGCCTGCAGACCACTTGAGCATCATTCATGTCCCAGCCATCATCACAGACTGTTCCCCATTCACTGCCAGAAAAGATTTCAACCCTTCCAGAGCACCGAGTAGACCCAAGACCACTCAGTCTGATCTGATTACCTAGGAATATTTAACAGTTTAGGATAACGTCATGATTGATTTTCACACTTGGAAACGTATCAGGGTTATTCAGTTTTTTCTGTTTTCAAAGCGTTTACTGTAGCAAGAATTTAGAGGAAGTACAACTGAAACTACAAATGAACTGGTATTTCCTTTATTTTTTTGTTTGTCAGGAATTTAAAATGAAACATAAAATTAAATGGACTGACCTGCTGCACATGAAGAAAAGGTCAAGGACAGGCAGACTGGAGGAGAGAGGAAAATGACATTTAGGACTGAGAAGTGCAGGAAAGAAATTGTCCTGTTTTCGTCAATCAGTCTGATTGATTGATGTTTGAATATTCATCAATCTGTAATTTTTTTGAGGTATAATTTTATTACGTTCATGGATGAAAATGAAAAAAAGAGTGTTTAAAAAAAAAATAAAATAGAAAGGTAGGTCTTAAGTTTGCTTTTTAAATATGGAAAATCTGTGCCCACAGATGTGGGCCGTAACAATAAAAGTTGCCTCACCGTGGGCCTTTGTTCTGACTTTGGGCACCTTTGAAGGACCACTAACTAAAGACCCGAGGGCTCTCACAAGCTTATACGGTAAAAGCAAATCTGATTAATAAGTTGGTGCGACCCTTAAGAGCTTTAAAAACCAATGAAGGAACCTTCAAAACAATTCTAAAACACACTGTTATGTGGGCTCTCTGTTGTCTTCGTCAGTTGAGTTTTGGAGCAGCTGCGGCTGTGAAGTTTTCTATTTATTTATTTATTTTTTATAATTTATTTATTTATTTGGAACATTATTTAAACAGATAAGACAGTAAAATACAAATCAGGAAGAAAAAGAAAACCAACAACAATGTCCGAAAAGGAGTAGGATGAAGTTTAAAACTTATTGAGCTCCTACCCCCCTTTTGCCAACACACACATCTTTACTGCATATACAATAGCTTAAATGACTGCAGTAGTATCAGGAGTATCAGGGATAAAATTATTAAGACCAACCCATTTAAAGCTGAAAACAGGTCTGTGTTGACTCAATAGGTCAACACAGACCCTCCTCATCCGAATACCTGTTGGATGCTTCGAAAATAAAAGGAAAAGCTTGCCTCTTAAATACTAATAAAAAGGTGTATTAACAAATTTTGTGTGTGGGGCAGCTTAGGCTCAGTGGCAGAGTTTGTTATCGGAAAGTTATTGGTTTGTTGGTATTTTTCATGCATGTTTATTGTTCAGATGCTACAGTTTCCTTGAACTTGACATCTAACCCGAACTGTACTGAGAGCTTAGCCAGTGGTTTGATTGAGGTTTCCTAAATAATAATAGGAGTTTACCATTATGTTAAATTACCAGGTGCTCAAATCAGACTGGGAGGTATATAAATTATACCTACCTCCTTTTGCCAACACACACATCTTTACTGCATATACAATAGCTTAAATGACTGCAGTAGTATCAGGAGTATCAGGGATAAAATTATTAAGACCAACCCATTTAAAGCTGAAAACAGGTCTGTGTTGACTCAATAGGTCAACACAGACCCTCCTCATCCGAATACCTCTTGAAAATAATATTTTTATATACCTTCTTGAAATTATTCAGGTTTGGATTTTGCTGAACCTCCATGCTCAGTCCATTCCACAAACTCACTCCACAAACTGAAATGCACATCGTTTTCAATGTTGAACCAGCAAAATGTACCTTGAAATTAAGCTCTCGTCTCAAATTGTAACCCCCCTCTTTATCACTGAACATCTTTTGTATGTTACCTGGCAAAAGCCCATGTCTTGCTCTGAACATAATCAGTGTAGTTTTGTATTCAACAAGGTCCATCAGTTTCATGACGTGATTGTAAAAACAGTATATTTTTGTACTGTCCTGAGTTGTACTTGTCCTGAGTTGTACTGTAATACTAATGGCTCTTTTTTTTGGAATCAACATAATGGTTTTAGATTACTTTTATAAGTGTTACCCCAAATTTCTAGACAGTAGTTGATATATGGCAGTACAAGTGAGTAAGATAATATATGAAGTGCTTTATGGTCCAAAATGTGTTTTGCTTTTCCCAGAACTGCGATGCTCCGTGCAAACTTTGTTCTTACATAGTTTATATGGGGTTTCTAGCAGATTCTGTGGTTCAGTATTACACCCAGAAATTTATTTTCATATACTCTTTTAATGTCAACATTATCTATCATCATTTGTACTGGTGTGTCTGTTTTACGGTTCCCAAATAACATGAGCTTGGTTTTATTCAAATTCAATAATTTGTTTATATCAAACCAATGTTTTAATTTACTCATTTCTGTGGTGGTGACCTCCAAAAGCTGCTGGAGATTTTCCCCTGAACATAATACATTTGTATCATCCGCAAATAAAACAAATTTCAACACATTTGACCCACTACAGATGTCATTGATGTGTAGAATAAACAATATTGGGCCTAATACTGACCCCTGTGGAACACCACAAGTAATGTCAGCCAATGATGATTTATAGTCACCCATCTGTACAAACTGCTGCCTTTCATGCATGTAACTTTTCAACCAGTTTAATCCAACTCCCCTTATTCCGTACCTTTCGATTTTGTTAAACAATATTTCATGATTAATGGTATCAAAGGCTTTTTTCAAATCTATAAATACTCCTATGACATTTTATTTAGGGAGACCAAAAAAAAGAGCATTACAATAGTCAATTTTGCAAGAAGCACAAGTGTCTTCACTGACTTTAGAGAGAAACTGTCGCTCTCTGGCAACATTTTCAGGTGATTAAAAACTTTCTTTTTGACATCTCTAATGGAGATTTTAGTCAAATATCACACCTAGATTGTTCTCTCTTCTTGGTTACATGGATTAAAAACAGTGTTTGGAGTTTTGCATCCAGTTTGTCTCTCTGAGCTCCAGTACCAATGACTGAAACCTGAGTTTTGTCCTTCTTCTATAGATGTCTTTGTTTACTTTAAATAACTGCTTGTTAAAAGTGCGCTTAAAAATAAAAAATTGGTAAATCTTTCTTACCCAGGATAAAGTGAAGGTTTTTCTGCTGAATGTTCATCATGGCTGATGCATAGGGAACCATCATCGTCAGTGAGGGAAATGGAATGAAGTGACTTGATACTCACCAAAATGCACAATACTTCCTCTTTAATCTGCCTGTAACTTCAAAGTACAAGTACTTTGCATAAGTCAGCGGCCTAAGACTTAACCTTTTTAACCCATACCCATTTCTTCTTCACATGGGACATAAAACAGACAGAATATTTGAGCCTTTGTTTTGAAATATCATCCCTTGTGTCAAAGATCACATTGGGTGTTTCATTCAAGTTTTTCTACATTTTTTATTAATTCAGCTTGACAGTCTTTTTGTACTGTCTACATTTTTTTTCTCATTTGTTGTTGTAACAGCTGACCTGGTCTCTTGTTATTGGCATCAGTATGAGACTGAAAAAACTGTTATAATTCATTAGTCAGAACTGCCGTTATTAAAAGCCTTTATAGCATTCCTAAGACAAAGGGTCACATTTGACATAACTTCCCACCTCAGTGAGGTCAAGATGTAGCCTACAATACATTTCTCACAGGTAGTGGTGGTTGCACTGATTTTTCAATGACCATGCTTGTCTTATTTCACAGGCCAGTGTGCAACCTGGTCTAATATATTTAAAAAAGGTGATCTGAAAGACTTTAAGGATTTTGAATCTTTCGAGGCGCAGCAAAGGAGAACCGGGCTGACAAACAAATTCAACGGAGGTCAAGCTAAGTAACAACAGGAAGAAATTAACATCAAGTTGCTGGTGCTGTGAAAAAAAACTCAGCCTTAGGGCTTTCTGGTAATCGAAGCTGAACTGAAACTTATTCTTTGAAAAAAGTGTTATGTTCAGCTCAGCACACATCTTGAGACAAAAAGGGCTGTAGTTCACACATCTGACTCGGTACTCCCCTTCACTTCTGTTAAAAAAAAAAGGCGTGTTGACCAGCAATAGCGTCACTGGCCTTGTCCTGAGTTACAATGCTTCACTGCTATCTAGAAAGCAAAAATTTCAGATTTTGGTCGTTCAATCAATAAAATTTTCATTAACAACAGTCGACTGAATGATTTATTTACATGCACATTGGATTACATTAAAAATGTACATAATTAAAAATCTGTTTGATTTTCCTGAGGCAGCAAAAGAACAAAGCACAATTTTACAGGCATTTCTTTTAAAAAAAAAAGATAATTTCAGGCTTTTTTATCTGACATGCCATCAACCAAAACCCGATCCTCTTAAAAGCATTCTGTATCATTTCAATCAGGTGGCACTTCAATATTTCACCACTCATACACTTAATGAAATTATTTAACTTAGGTCAAAGGTTAAGCGCTTCAAGTGTGACCAGCAGCAGTTGAGAAGCGCGCATCTGTAAAGTTCTGGTAAATGTTGTCTTCATGACTGTCAGCAGCTGACCCAGTAAATGGTGCTTTGTCATTTTCATAGTCATCTTCTTCATCGCTGGTTTCTTCTTCATCTCGTTCCTCTTTTTTGTTTTCAGCTGCTCGGGAACAGACCTTGGCCATTCTTAGATTATCATATCTTTGGTCACGACATCCCTCTGGTATGTCATATTCACAGTCTTCGTCTCCACCTTTTGTTTCCACTTCGAAGTTCGTAGTTTTGACAAAATCAAGATTCTCATACTCCAAGTCGTCTTCATCGTTGTAGCAGTTCATCGCTCTTACAGCCACTGAAACAAAAGTATAAGGACAACCTGTGAGTATTTATGAAAGATCTTAGGAGGAGCTGTGTATTTTACACTGTTGAGGTCCTCAAACACTTGAAGCGAATTTGCGAGGTGAAAAAGCGACTGTTATTTATTCTCTCTCATGTCGAATTTTGCTTAGGCGAAAAGGCAAACGTCCAGACCTCTGACCAATCAAAATAATGTTGGTATGTCGATAACGTCACATCCAAACTCTATTGGCAGCATCAGCCCTAGTCTGCATTCATTCATCATGACTGATTGCTTTATCATGACTGTGCAAGAGCGCCCTGCTTTATGGGACAAGTCCCTTTAAATATTCCACAACACTCTCCACTAAGAAAATATATGGCAGGAAATAGAAGAAGACCTCAACTTACCTGGTGAGTATATGGATGTTATATCAATCCTGAAACATAGATGTGTAGCGTAGCTAGCATAATATCAAGCTAAGCTATCTAACTAACCAGCTTGGGGCAACTTTTTCAAAGTCTGGTAAACGTTTGTATGGAGTTTTATAGATATATATATTATAGAAGTGCCAAACTTAATTCACCGAGCAGATTTTATTTGCATAATCGCATTGTTCCCGGTGTGTGCGGAAAAAATTCACCGGCGAAACACATCGCCTTGTCACGTTGGTAATTCGAGTCGCTTCGCCTTTGGTGTGTAAGGACCTTGATTGTGGTAAGTACATTGAGTTTGGTCCAGGGTCTCAGGCTGCTTGGCTTGTCGACTCCTCTTGAGAATTATGCAGACCACCACAAACACCATGAACAGCAACAGCAAAGTCCCAGCTGTGAGCAAGGACACCAATGGTACCAGAGACGCTGAAGGGAAAAAACAAGCAATTAGTTTCCTTATATAATATAGTTCCATTCCAGCCATATCTGCCTTTTTCAACTCTATAAACAGTTTCAGCAATTTTTAAGGGGTTTTTGTCTGTAGTCCAGTCTGCTTACGTGTGATCATAACCTGGAGTAGAGCTGACTCAGTAGAACTGAATCTCTGTGTGGACAGTTCCAGCTCATACACACAGCTGTAGTTGCCTATGTGTTGGTAATCTGCCACAGGGAATTCAAAGGAGGCCGAGTGGTTGACTGCTGGCATGGCGAGAGTGATGTTGGAGCCGGATGACATGAGAAAGAACTGTCCTTCAGGGTAACTGCAGTTTATGGAGCAGACAAAGACAAAGGTGTAACCTCTGGTGACCTCTGCCCCTTCAGGACTCCAGATCAGCCCTCCATTTGGAGAGGTTAAGGAGATGTTTGGCTGCTGCAGTGTCACTGAAACATAATATTAAATTGCACTTGTTTTCTTTAAATGTATATTAAACTACAGTGTGTAGACATAGAAATATAAAGTGATATTTAGAGGCCATTTTTTAGATGGAACCACTGCTTGCATCTTTACGGTTGTTGATTTAAATACTCAAATCAAGTTTAAGTAGCTGATCTGATTTGATTTTTTCATCCTTACCTGTAATGGAGACTGTGACAGGGTCACTTAAGGCAGAGCTGTAAGATTGACTTAAAATGGTTTTCTCATACTGGCATTGATAGGACCCCTCATCATCAAAGTCCACTGAAGTGATGCTGAAGGTTGAAGGGTTAGTATTTGATGTTTGGGTGATTTTGAGAGAGCTTGAGGTTTTCTTGAAAATTAATGCGCCACCCAACAGATCAGTTGTGATAGAACAAATGATGTTGACCTCCTGACCCCAGGACATCTCACCAACAGGAATCATAGAAATGTTGGGTTTTTTGAGGCTCACTGTAAATATAAAACCAAAGCACAATAGTTTATGGGAAAAAAAAGCTGTAATGTCACACATCCACCTCTCTTTACTTTCTGCCTGTCCCTCTATCCCCTCCTTGAACCCAATGCAGCAGCACCACCAGTTGACTGTTTTGGGTCATTATGAGTCTGGTCAACTGTTAAACTTGGTTTGACCTCACAAGGGTAGGCTGTGTTGGGTCTTTGTAAATAGAGTACAGCCTAGACAAGCTTTTGTTGAGCATCTGTTTTTTTTTTTTCTATGGTTTCTAAGTGACAATAATCACATAAGCAATCATAAACATGGCTTACCTGAGCAGACCACACCAGCATCCTTACTATGTCCACAGTTATGGGTCCCAAATCCTGCATGCCTACAAAAACTTAAGCCTCCTTCACTTCCTGAACACGCCACATCATCCAGAAAAATTGGTCCACTTCCTTGACCGAAACTAGCACCCAGAGTAGCCTTCAAAGCTGTCCCACAGTTCAGTTGCCTGCAGACCACTTGAGCATCCTTAATGTCCCAGTTGTCATGACAGACTGTTCCCCATTCTCTGCCAGAAAAGATTTCAACCCTTCCAGAGCACCGAGAAGGCTCAAGACCACTGAGTCTGATTGGAGCACCTGGGAATAAAACATGACATTAAAGTCCTATCAGTATCTAGGAAACCTCAAACAAACTACTGGCCCAGCACTTACGTCAGTTTTGAGTTAGATGTCTTGTTCAAGGACACCTTAGCATTTGAACAACACACATACGTGAGAAAACCTCCAAACTTCTAATTTCCCAATAACCAACTCAACCACTGAGCCTAAGCTCCTCCCACAAATAAGCATGAAGTTAAGATTTGTTAACACACTCTTTATTAGTAACTAAGAGGCATTCTTTTCATTTTCAAAGTATGCTTCAGGGTTGTAATGAATTTTTTTTTTGCATTCTGACAGCTCTTCTTACAAGCTACACAGACAATGAAAAAACAGAAAAGCTGTATAACATTAAGATTGGTATTCTTACCTGAGCAGACCACACCAGCATCCTCATTATGTCCACAGTCATGTGTCCCAAATCCTCGATGCTGACAATCAGTCAGAAAGCTTTCACTTCCTGAACATGCCACCTCATCCAGAAATATTTGTCCACTTCCTTGACCAAAATGGGCACTCTGAGGAGCATTTACAGCTGTCCCACAGTTCAGTTCTCTGCAGACGACCTGAGCATCATTCATGTCCCAACTGTCATCACAGACTGTTCCCCATTCACTGCCAGAAAAGATTTCCACCCTTCCAGAGCACGGAGTAGATCCTTGACCTCCCAGTCTGATTTGAGCACCTGAACAAAGTATACAGCAGAAAAATAAACTGCTCTTTTGAACATACTTTTCAACTGCAATTCAACTGAAGTCAGGATATTGTGTTTAACATGAATTAAAACAGAACACAAATGTGTTTTTCTTTTTTTGCAAATATTTACTCATTATAAATGTGATGCCTGTGACATGTTCCTTAAAAGCTTTGGACGTGAAATTTTTCCCCATTTTTGTTTGATGTAGGACTTCAGTTGCTCAACAGTCCGGGATCTCTGCTGTAGTATTTTGTGCATCATAATGCTCCACCTCGAATTTTGTACCCACGCTCTTTTACTCTGAAGTTACACTGTTGTAATATGTGTTGAATGTGTCTTAGCAGTGTCTTTCTAAAATAAACGGGGACGTCCCTGAAAAAGACGTGGCTTGGATGGCAGCATATGTTGCTCTAAAACCTGTATGGACCTTTCAGCATTAATGGAGCCTTCATAGATGTGACAGATACCCATGACCATGAATACTGACACACCCACATACCATCACAGACACAGGCTTTGAACTTTAAACCGATAACAGTGTGGATGGTTTTCCTCTTTTGCTTGGACGTCACCATGTCCATGATTTCCAAAAACTATGAGAAATGTGGACTCATCAGACCACAGCACACTTTTCCACTTTGCATCAGTCCATCTCAGATGAGCTCAGGCCCAGAGAAACCAGAGTTGTTTCTAGATGTTGTTGATGTCTGGCTTTGGCTTTGCATGGTAGAGTTTAAACATCTACTTATAGATTTGGAGAAAAAATGTGGTCACTGACCATGGTTTTCTCAAGTGATCCTAATTCCACATTGTAAAAATCCTTTACAAAATCATTGAAGTTATGATGATCATATTAATCATTTTGCATTGCAGATGCGGTAGTTCTTCTGCCTTAGCGTCTCAGTCTGATAGTCTGATAACTTTACTTTACATCGGAATATCCCTTTAACATTAAGATTGATGTTCTTACCTGAGCAGACCACACCGGCATCCTCACCATGTCCACAGTTATGGGTCGCAAATCCTGCATGCCGGCAATCACTTAGAAATCTTTCACTTCCTGAACATGCCACATCATCCAAGAAAATTTGTCCACTTCCTTGACCGAAATGGGCACTCTGAGGAGCATTCACAGCTGTCCCACAGCTCAATTGCCTGCAGACCACCTGAGCATCATTCATGTCCCAGTCATCATCACAGACTGTTCCCCATTTACTGCCAGAAAAGATTTCAACCCTTCCAGAGCACCGCGTAGACCCAACACCACTCAATCTGATCCGATTACCTAGGGATATTTAACAGTTTAGGATAACGTCATGATTGATTTTCACACTTGGAAACGTATCAGGGTTATTCAGTTTTTTCTGTTTTCAAAGCGTTTACTGTAGCAAGAATTTAGAGGAAGTACATTTGGTACAGAAACTGTTATTTCCTTTATTTTTTTGTTTGTCAGGAATTTAAAATGAAACATAAAATTAAATGGACTGACCTGCTGCACATGAAGAAAATGTCAAGGACAGGCAGACTGGAGGAGAGAGGAAAATGACATTTAGGACTGAGAAGTGCAGGAAATCAGATTGATTGATTGTTTCAATATTCATCAATCTGTAATTTTTTTAAAGCATAATTTTATTATGTTCATGGATGAAAATGAAAATAAGATTGTTAAGAAAAGCTGTAATAGAAAGGTAGGTCTTAAGTTTGCTTTTTAAATAAGGAGAATCTGTGCCCACAGATGTGGGCCGTTATGATAAAAAAATTACCTTTGTTCTGACCTTGGGCACCTTTGAAGGACCACTAACTGAAGACCCGAGGGCTCTCACAAGCTTATATGGTAAAAGCAAATCTGATTAATAAGTTGATGCGACCCTTAAGAGCTTTAAAAACCTATGAAAGAACCTTCAAAACAATTCTTAAACACACTGAAAGCCAATGCAGAGACTTTCAAATGGTTATGCGGGCTCTCTGTGGTCTTCGTCGGCTGAGTTTTGGAGCAGCTAAGGCTGTAAAGAGCGTTACAATAGTCAATTTTGCAAGAAGCACAAGTGTCTTTACTGACTTGAGAGAGAAACTGTCCCTTACTGGCAACATTTTCAGGTGGTAAAAAGCTTTCTTTTTAAAATCTCTAATGTGTGTTTTAGAATGGAGATTTTGGTCAAATATCACACCTAGACTTTTCCCTCGCCTTGGTTACATGGATTAAAAACAGTGTCAGGAGTTTTGCATCCAGTTTGTCTCTCTGAGCTCCAGTACCAATGACTGAAACCTGAGTTTTGTCCTGGTTGAGCTTCTTCCATAGCTGTCTTTGTTTACTTTAAATAACTGCTTGTTAAAAGTGCACTTAAAAATAAAAATTTGGTAAATCTTTCTTACCCAGGATAAAGTGAAGGTTTTTCTGCTGAATGTTCATCACGGCTAATGCGTAGGTAACCATCATCGTCAGTGTGGGAAATGGAGTGAAGTGACTTGATACTCAAAAAAAAAAAAATGCCCAATACTTCCTCTTTAATTTGCCTGTAACTTCAAAGTAAAAGTACTTTGCATATGTCAGCTGCCTAAGACTTAACCTTTTTAACCCACACCCATTTCTTCTTAGAGGAAAGTCACATGGGACATAAAACAGACAGAATATTTGAGCCTTTGTTTTGAAACATCATCCCTTGCATTTTTTTTCTCATTTGTTGTTAGAACAGCTGACCTGGTCTCTTGTGTTTGGTATCAGTATCAGCCTGAAAAAACTGTTATTATAATTCATTAATTGGAACTGCCGTTATTAAGAGCCTTTATGGCATTCCTAGAACAAAGAGTTCACCTCACTGAGGTCAAGATGTAGCCTACAATACTTTTCTCACAGGTAGTGGTGGTTGCAGTGATTTTTCAAGACCATGCTTGTCTTATTTCACAGACCAGGGTGTAACCTTGTCTAATATATTTAAAAAAGGTGGTCTGAAAGACTTCAAGGATTTTGAATCTTTCGAGGCGCAGCAAAGGAGAACCTTGGCTGACAAACAAATTCTACTGAGGTCAAGCTAAGTAACAACAGGAAGAAATTAACATCAAGTTGCTGGTGCTGTGAAAAAAAAATAAAGTATACTCAGCCTTAGGGCTTTCTGCTAATCGAAGCAGAACTGACACTTATTCTTTGAAGAATGTTATCACCTTAGCATACAACTTGAGACCAAAAAGGGCTGTGGTTCACACATCCGACTCGGTACTCTCTTTCACTTCCTCTTTTCCAGTCTACTCTGTGGTGAAGATCTTTTGGGTAGTTCTCTTATTTATCACTTTCGCACAAAAGGCATCTTAAAAAGTTTAACAAACATCTTCATCTGTCTTGTAATTGTTATTAACTTCTGATGCTGAACTCAGAGCTTTAAAGATGTCAGTTGACAAACTACTGTAAGTAGTCTGTTTGGTAAAAACAGTTCTGCTGTTGTTCAGGCATACCCACACAGAGGTAGTTCACTGTTTGCTCACTGTGTACTTGAAGTTGCACTAACCCCAACCTAACCCAGCTATCTTGCCAAATCTTAACTTTTTTTTTTCAGTTCTCTGTTTTCTTTAAGACACAAAAAACACTTGTTCCCCTTCAGATGTTAAAATGTACGTGTGAAACAAACACTTTTTCCTTTCTTACATTTCAACCTGTGTCTACATCAAACAAACACGCACTACTTTAAGATTAAGACCTATTGAAGCTTGAGAAATTTAGCAGAAATGGCAGAAACAAATAATGTACGGAGATCATGTTGGTCTCATAGCATGTTGCTGCTGTCGTTGCTTAAGGATGAGGTAGTTTGAAATGACCTCTTACAAGTTAGGTCAAATGCTAATAAAGAGCCACTTGTGCCTCCTTGTGGATGAGCTGTGTTACTGGACATCAGTCTTGTCTAGGCATTCACAGCGAAAGGAGACCACTTTGCTTTTATTTTTGAATTAACATAACCTATAATTAGATTTCCCTTAAAACATACAGAAATCAGTGTCTATCCGTACCCTGATGGTCATTTTTACTTCATATCTGTTCTTTCTTTTGTGAAATGCACAACACTTACCTAAACAAGTGTGGAGCAGTTTTAAATTTTATCACTAAGGGAGGTAAACTTGTTGGAATTACATTTCTTTTGTCAATGTCTTCAAAACAGAAAAGATTACTGTGATCACAAACAATACTTTACCCTGCGCTTTCCCATCTTGCCAACAATCCTATGCTTAAGTCCATAATAATGTTTTTTATGACCTTTAATGTTCTATTTAAAAATGTGTTAAATAATCAGTTATTAAGATATGTTTAGGCTCAGGGCATTACAGACTACATGCAAAAGGGTTGTGAAGTACCTTTACTGTGTACTTTGAGCAAGCCTTTGCTGAAGTCCATAACAATGGTATTTTTTAAAACTTGATTATAAACATTCTTATAAATACAAACTAAACATAGATATTTTTTGGTAAAAATTACGCATTATTTGTTAAGTAAATATGTATTACTTGTCAAAACTTTGCATAATTGTCAGGAAACTAACATTTTTTGCTTAGAAAACTTGGCATTGTTATAACTCTGAACTCCCTTCATGAAGAACTTGCACACATAAAACACAGCTTACAAACATATGTTTATTTCAACAGTGATGACCATACAGCATACTTTCAAATGATGTGGCATTCCTGATACTAATCAACAGCTGTGTCTTGGCAACAACCTTTAAAAAAGTGGTTTTATCATCAGTATTTGACACAGTTATTGTGTAATTTCTTATTAACTGGGCATTTGTGACATGCAGTTGCATTGCTTTACATTTGGAATGATCTCTGGCAGACAGCGTAAGCAGACTCTTAACAAAGAGTCCAGTATTTAAGAAATACATCTGTGCATTCATTTATAATATAAATATTAGAGCGATTTCAGTGCAGTAAAAACAGATTTGTTATATTCTTCAAAATCTTTGATTGCACAAAATCTGACATGAACTGTTGTAAATGATGAGGCAATATTTGTGAAGGAAAGGCCTTTAACTCTTCAGGAGGCTGTTGGTAAAGCAGAGACTGAAGTTTTAATGAACAAACTGTGACCTTTGGCTTTTTCTGTTAGTCCCTCCCGGACCTTATCCTGCAGAAAAGAATCATGGAGACAGCCATGGCACAGATCTGAAAGGTAGGCAAAAAGTGGTAGTTAATAACTCCTAAAGGACACAAATAGGACTTTTCATTAATAACATGACGTGTTTAAGAGAGAGAGAGAGAGAGAGAGAGAGAGAGAGAGAGGACTGGTTTCTTCTGTTCCATTCAGCACATAAATAAGATGATCTTTCATTCACACTAACTAGGATTTGTCTCCATTTTTGCCACAATCTATGAGTAGTTGTTAGAGTGTACATTTGATTTGCACACTCTTGTATGAGACAATCATGCTGCCATTGTACTTTTGAAAAATGTGCAGTGACACATATATGAACCGCCATCTTATAATGCATATGAAGCCTGATAAATGCATCTTTAAGGTGTATTAACGGCAATTATGAGCGATTTTATATATAATATATTCATAACAGCTGCAGAAAACAGGAAGTGTAATTGGAGCATCTTCTAGACACACTTTTATGGTCTCAGATTGATTATTCACAGTGATGAAATCTCTGTTCTCCTTCAGCCATGAGGAGGTACTTGTCTTACCTCCAGTGCTGCAATCCCCAAGGCCACTCCCACAATGACAACTGTGTTGTCATCAATTAGCTGTTTGATCTTGGGAAAGCAGCCAGTGATGCTCTGAGGAAAACAAAGAGTACAGGGTACCAGTGTTGATTCAAAGTGATTCTGGGAGGGTTGTGTTTAGGATTTTTCTGCCTCTCACAGAGGTCATACCGTTGCATGGTCAGCCACAGTCTGGTTGCACGGGCTCTCCATGCCAGGACAGCACTGCGGTGGTAAAAGCTTGTTGTGGTCCACATAATATGGAGAACCCACAAAGTCTGAAGAGTTGTAGAATCCACAACATTTTAACTAATGTGGGCACAAAAAGAGTTCATTTTACACATAGAATCAGTAAAACTGTGGGATCAGATTTTTTATTTCCTCAGCAGTAACTCATACTGTGCTCATTGTCGTATTCCACAGTCCTGTGACATCAGCATTTTTCCCATAATCCTTCTTGATGTTCTGGACCGCTGCTGTGCCAATCTTGACAAACAGCTCATCTGCCTTGAATATGAGCATACAATACATTTAGCACAAGAACCTTAAGGTAGAAGTTGTCAGTTTATGAATATATACCATGGGAAAGTTTGCTCATAATTTACCAAGGGTCTGAACACCAAGATCACCACTGCTCCAGCAACCTCTGCGATGAAGACCACCAGGACTATGATAAAAAACTAAAGGGCCAAAGACAAGCATGCTGTTAAAATGTGATTTCTAAGACCAGCATTTAAGAAAACATGTAAAATTCATTTAATCAATAAATCCATAAAGCTAGTTTGATAAAATCATCATGCTACTAAAGGCAGAACATTAACATAACAACATCCTACCAGCAGCAGCATGCACTTGCTCTCTCTGACTGCTCCACAGCAGCCCAGAAAGCCGATCACCAGCAGCAGCGCTCCTATAGCGATCAGCAGGTAGCCCACATTGAGCACTTGACTGAGCTCTTCTGGTGCGCCTTCAATTTTCCCAAGTAAACCCAGGATGGAGCCGCTGTCTACTTTTACCCAGATCCCGACACCCAGGATGGCAGCGCCAGCCAACTGAGGAAGAGTAATTAAGAGGAGACAAGGCAAGGAGAGGTGGTGAAAGGGTTGAGGGTTAAAGGAGAACTTTGACAGTCTGTAAGTGCAATTAAAGGATGTAATCAGCTTGTAAAAACAGATGAATGATGACATTAATCATAGGGATAGTTGGATCCAGCATTTTGGGACTAAAAGCCACTAAATATTGGCTACTAATCATGCTCTTACAACAATATTTTCAGCCAACAAAGCAGAATATTGCTTTTTTCCACTAAGAAAAGTAAGCCAATCACTTCTGATATTTGCTTTAGACGTAGTAACACAGGCATTTACCAATATACTTAACACCAGTCACAGGAATTAAGAATAAATATAAAAATAAGTATATAGATCATGTCATCATCGTTGAAAATGGTCTCATTTGCTTTTTTCCCCATCATAGAAATGTATTACTGCTAATTTCAGCGTGTTTCTTTACCTATCAAAAACTCCTCACAGGAGCTTTAAGTTTTGAAATGACTGTCAGTATGTGACTAGTACTGTATCTAGCAACAGTACTGGTATTATTTTACCCTCAGTTTCTACTTAAAGGATAATTCAGTAACTCTTGAATCTGAACCAAACAGTTAAAGAAATTAAAAATACTCAGATTTTAAATCAAGTTCACAGAAGTTCCCGGAAACCTCTACTGTTAATGCACACCTAAAATAAAACATCAAAGTAGCACTGTTTCCTACAAAGGAAAAAACACCTGAAATACTTAAAATCAAACATGAAAACTTACAAATATGATGCCATTGAAAGCGACCATCATGGCTTTGAGGAATCCAAAGCATCCCATTTTCACTGCCTGTTAGTACACCTTGAAGAAAAACAACAGAAACACAGTTACGGGTCATTTGCATGCACAGTGTTCATTGTTTTAGTTTCACCATGTCATTGCGTATTGCCACTTTGGTGACAAATTAACAGTGGGATTGTTCTGTTTCCTGTGTGAGGTGGACACAGGAGAGTGAGGTAGGGAGAACACCTGCCTCTTTCCCAACTCCTAACCCCTTACCTTTTGTTAGCTTTGTGTCATATTCAAACACTCATGAGCCTTTCTTTTCCACTCCTACATTTGCTGTCATATTACATGGAGTGTGGGTTAGGGTTGTTTGTTAGAATGAAAGAGGAATAACTCATTCACAACAACATCATAGTTAAATTATAGTTTTCTTCGCATTTTAAACAGCAATTTGAAATATTATACTATGATGCTTTAGACTTACACATTTACAGCCAATGAAACAGACACAAATGCAGTAGGCGATACTAAAAATACTAAAAAAAACAAATGCTGCTGTCTTGTTTTTGTATTTGCATAGAAAAGCTGATACCAAGCTGTCACACCCAGGACTTAGGGATCGCTCCATGATGCTAATCCTACAGCAAAACAGCTGCTTAAATATCTTTATATCTTTTAATACATGCACAATATTTTCTTTCAGTGTGTTAAACCTCAAGATTGATCTTTTTCACAGTCTACAGGCACACACACACACACAAACATCACTGTATCCTATCTCCAAATCTCTCCTTCCCACCCCCGTTTACAACCCCACTGTTCTGGAGTCACTTCAAGATTGTCACTACCAAATGTGTGTGTTTGTGTGTGTGGGCCAGTTGGGGAACAGTCCCCTTTGTGTGATGTGACAAAACAGGCAAATTGTTATCCACAACAAGAATGACTGAGCTCTCTGAGAATCGGGATATCCTTTGTGACCTCTTCTTGCAAGTATCCCAAATGTTACGACCCGTCCACAGAAGAGCGGTTACAGTTATCATTAACACAAAACAGGAAGTGGCTCATGCGCTGTTTTGCCTGCCTTCACTATGAAAGCTGGTCAACATCAAGTTAATCATACATTTTAGCGCCTGGATGCCTTCAGGAACAGCACGAGACGTTGCCTTGACTCCCAAAACTCCCTCGATCCTTTCACTCCTCCGTGGTTTTCTCACTTCCTCATGGTCAGTGATTACACTCTGTAACTGAGGAGTCAGCCTCGTGATGTATTAAACACCGAAAGTCGCATAAATTTCCCAGAAGTGTCAAAAAAACAAAACGACTTGTACTTGAGTTATAATTTAGAGCTGATTTATGGAAGACTGTGCTGTGTATGTTAAAAGAAAAGAGATAAACAGTCTGTTCCTGGAGCAACGAAACCTCTGAACTGTCTCTGCCTTTCACCTTCCATCAAAAACTGACAAATCTCAAAGGACACCATTGAGAGGGATAATAACAGGCAGGTCTCAGGAGACAAAAGGATTATTGTTAGCTGGATCTCTCCCTGTGTTGGTACGGCTGTTGAAAATAAACCATCAGATCTAAAACTCTCATGTAGAGGCTAAAACAAAAGTTTCTGAGTGAAGAATCCGGCTCACCTTTCAGAGGAAATATCCAGGGATGTGCTCTGACGCTGAAAGTCCCTACCTGCACTCTGGTGGTGGAGGCTGTTGCTGTGGGAGCAGAGCGGCTGCGAGATAACAGAAGTACAGGGATGTATTCTTCTTCTTCTTCTGCACTCTTGTGTGGAAAAAAAACTTCACACAATGAACTCCTGTCTCCCACTTGTAGCGCTGTTGCTTTGTTTGGTAGTAGGAGCTTCTGGGGGACTTTTTCAGCTTTCTGCTTTAATGTTCATGTTACCAGCTGGTTATAAAAGCTGGAGAGGGAGGAGGGGAACGGGTGGGTGTGACCAGGAAGGCTCAGTGATAACACAAATCACCATGGAGTCATACTGGTCACTCCTGAGGGAGGGAAAGCGAGAGAGATCACCTGTTTGAGGTCACATTTCCCTTTTACTTACATTTAAAATATAGTCAAATTGTTTTTGGACAGAAAGGAAGAGTTTTTTTCTGACTTGCATGAAAACATACTGTATAAATACAAGGCGACACATTAAGATTATCGAGATGTTTTCTGGTAACTGGGATAAAAGCTGATTTATGGATAATTTTTCTTTGTACATGGGACTCTGTAGATCTGTCCCAAAGGCAGTGGTGATATAATGGTTGTTTAAAATGCTCTGGCTGATACAACAGACTGTCTGTTCACAGTGAGTTGACATGTATTCTTCTGGAAGGCAACATGCAAATTATTTGGATCCATTTTTTACATGACCAATGTTTCAAATGTGACTCTCATTGAGGTGAAAGCAAAGGAAAATATCACCTGAGTGCAGCTGCCCTCAGCTGTATAGTGTCTCATTTTAGGATCCTGTAGCTCATTGGACTTAAATTTCATGAAAATTCAGGCAATTACGCTACAAAGCATTTTATCTTATTTTTCTACACATTTGATAGTAGAAAAAACTAAAAGCTGGTTGTGCTGAAAGTTGAGAGAGTTGTTTATCTTGATGTATGGAGGGGTGTGGACTGGTGCAAACAACAGGCGAGTGAAAAGCTGCAGCTCATTCAAACGCTGCACAGGCCCCTGGAATACATGCAAATGCTTTGATTGTATTCAAATCTCCTCCAAGAGAAGCGACAGAGTGGGACAAAAGATGACAGGGTGTGGGGGTTGACCCTTTAGATGGAGAAGACAACAAACTTACTTCTTTCTGCAGATTCATGCTCTTGTTCTTCAGAATTGATATCCGATGTTATGGGATTGGACCGATAAGACAACACTGGGCTATTAGCAAGAAAGATGGGTAATAATAGAGGTAATACCTTAAAGAGATATTCCAGCGTGAAATTAATGTAGGGTCAAACACACTGCCACCAAACATCTTTTTAACTTTGCCTAATTTCTTTAGTGAAGAGACTAAACACAACTCACCTACTCTCTTCCAGCAGCCCCCTTTTTGTAGCCAGACCTCGGGCCAGTCCATTTCGGACTGGTGTGGGGTGACGCAGCTCAAGGAAGAACATTTATTATCATTTCTTTATAATTTTCTAGAAGTATTAATCATCATATTAACCATTTTCCACTGCAGACGTGGTAGTTCTTTTGCCTTAGTGTCTCCGTCTGATCGTATTTCCATGAAGAAATTATCATAAATGTTCTTCCTTGAGCTGCGACACTCCACAGCAGTCCGTAATGGACTGGCCTGAGGTCTCGCTACAAACAAGCGGCTGCTGGAAGAGAGTAGGTGAGTTGTGTTTAGTCTCTTTGCTAAAGAAATTAGGCAAAGCTTAAAAGATGTTTGGTAGCTAGTTCTTTGGCTAGGACCCTATATGTACAGTTGATGAAGTTAGGTGCTGTTCTGAGCATTATTTGTGGCTATAGAGTGGCGTTTTGGTTGAGGTTTGTTTATGGCTCCTCAGACCGCTGTGTATTGCTATCATGCGGTCGTTACTAAAGTTAATATAACTAGGGAAGCAAGCGGTCGGCAACATTCATCACTCGAGGGGGTGTCTAACTCAGTGTTATGGTGTGTTTGACCCTAACTTAATTTTACACCGGAATATCCCTTTAAAGCTCCTGTCAGGAATTTATTTTAAGTTTATCTAAAATTCATATTGATAATTTCTTATGATATGCAGAAGTGAACAAGACCGCCAGCTTGTCACTTTGACTATTTTTGTTTAATAATTTTTGCTATATGAAACCAATCAGAGGGAGCAGGCGGCATCTCTGTTTTTACTATAACCTTACAAAATATTCACATAAATGAAACATCTGACTTTGAGGATAAGATTATTTTCAGATGGTGTTTTTTAAATATGTTGATGACAAGATAAGCAAAGACTGCTGTGTCCACAAGAGGGCACCAAAACTGACATAAACCAAAAGTTCCTCACAGGAGCTTTAAGTTGTTATAGCCAGAGAAGGCTGATATTAAAAATGTGTTAATAGAAAATAATTTTGTAGATATCTCACTTCATAGTTTAACCCCTCCCTTATTCCTCACATGAAGCCTAGTTAAAAGCTCTCAGAGTCAAACCTCTACACAAACATTCAGACTATTTACACACCCAGTGCTTTGAAAGGCTGCAGTGAGGGCATTCGATGACTGGGTCTCATAACACTTTCATGCCTTTTCTAACTACTTATGCATGCCCACTCCTTTTCACCAACACAACACCCTTGAATGATTTACGTAAGAGTCATGTACACACTGCATAATATTAAACATTTGTATTACACAAACGTTCTTTGGAAAACACATACAAGACAATTAGTCATGTTCACGTATTTGAGTGATTCATGAGCAAACAGAAGTGACATAAGAAAGAAAAAAGAGCATTTGCTGACAGACTCGAGGGTACAACGAAACATAGGACTCAAGAGGACTGAAGTAAACTTTCCTGAGAAATCCTCTCATAGGGTTTTTCATAGACATCAGGACTCTGGGACGGTGAAAACAGAGAACAGGAAAACTGAACACCAAGAGTGCTATTTTTGCTCAGCTACATTTTTAACAATTTTAAATAAATGGACCAACATAGAAAAAAAAATCAATAAATAAAGATGTAAATTTAACAGTCTTCATTCAAAGTATCCTGACACCTCTAATAACAACATGTTTAACTGACCATTACTTAAGGAACATCAGTTTTACTTTTACCGTCAACCAGACTCGCCTCGGAGGAAGCAAAACACGCCAATAACCTTCATCGCTACATAAAAGATTGGTGCAAGAAAAAAACTAAGAACAGAATTAAATCTTGTTGTAATGTCAAAGCTTTTTAGCTTACACACTCGGGTAAGAAATATCAAGTATAGCAAGAAGCAGAAATGCTAAAATTCATGTACGCTTCTACTGTAGCGTTATGGTCAGGCTCTGAATGACACTACTGAATAAGTGAGCTCTCTTTGTCGTAACACTATAAAGCTGAGTGGTCTGAAACACCAGTGGAAGTGATATCAGATTGTTAATTTCTGATGTTAGAGTGTAATCCCTCCTAATGTTTCTCTCCTGTGAAGTGGGTTTATTGAATGTTTATTGAAAGTTTTTCCTCTCTTGCTCTTCGCTGTGTATAAAAATCCAAACCTACTTATGGTTGGATAAGATGTTTGGTTGAAAGGTTTAAAAAACAGTCTTGTATCTTAAATCAACAGTGGACTGAGATTCTCCTTCTGTCTGTATCAAATACAGTGTGTAAAAATACGTGTTTCCGACTCAAAACAGCTGGTGTCCTGCACAGCTGTTCGACAGTGCCATTTATGCTTGTATACCCACAAGTGATGTTCAAGCGAACCACACGCAGCATAAAGTCTCTCTGTTGGATGTTGTCCCAGTTTCTGAGGGACAACCTGTTCTTGTTTAAGCTCCTATTACCAGAGTCTTAATGCCTCAGGTGGCCTGCTTGTCTGGATGGCTCTTGAGCTTGTGGAATTTAACACTGTCCAGCTTCTCAAACCTCTTCTCGCAGAACTCGCAGGTGAAGTTGTAGTGGGCCTCTGGAGTGTGCTTCTTCATGTGCCAGTTCAGGGAGGCCCGCTGACGACACTGGTAGCCACAAATCTCACATCTGATGGGTGACAGGAAGACAAAGTAATAGAACAAGGAGAATGGACCATTATGTGGGATATCTTGTTGTATTCATGCACACAGAGATCAGTTCAGGTCGCTTACTGGAGTGGCGTCTCTCCCGTGTGGGTCCGTCTGTGAACCTCCAGGTGGTTCTTACGCTTAAAAGACTTTCCACATGTCTCACAGATAAAATCTCGCACCCCTGTAAACAGACTTTGTTACCTTTAAGGTTTATTCAAATGAGATTTTCACATGATATCTGTGTTCTTGTGAGCAGAACACCTGAGTGGATGATCATATGGCGCTGCAAGTGGTTTGAAAGGTAGAACTTTTTCCCACAGCCTGGATGTGGGCAAACTTTGGTCCTCCCTTTCCTGTGGACTAGGTTGACGTGATTCTGCAGAGAGAGACGGAGCAGAATCACATTAATATTTTTTCAGTCTTAAAAAAAAACTGAAAGACGAGGTATGACAAGCTGTTGTTTTACCTGAAAGCTACTAATGGCTACATAGACTTGACTGCAGCCCTCATACGGACAGTGGAACATCTTGAGCATCCCGTCTGCCTCGATGACGGGGCCTCGCCTGTTCCTCTTGGATCTGACACTGGACAAACAAACACGAGCGTTCAGTATCAAGAGGATGTCAAAAGAGACGACATTGTAGCAGCATCTTTACTCGACACCAAGACAAATTCAGCCGTCTCTACAGTCCAAGGTATTCTCTAAAGGCCTGAACTTAGCATTAACTGCAGTCAACTTTAACTTACTGGCTGATTTAAACCCTTGATTAGTCCTGCAAGTGCTCATCAAAATCCTGAGCTTGCATTTAGGCACAAGACCTGCCATGTAAGATCCCACCTAGACAGGGTACTTGGGTTTAGTTACCATCCTGCTCTCTGCATGCTCACAAAATAACTGAAGCCTCATTATTATGCTTGGACCATGCAAACATTTAAGCAAAGTTGCAACCCTAAGATCATATGCAAAAGTGAAGCAGAGCATTGCATTGGGCATCAGTTACCCCCAATTTCCACCGCATCCGGAACGACTACGAAAAGGCTGTACCCCCTGATCGTAATGTTAGTGTTACGATCGTTAATGTGTCAATTTCCACCATCTTCTTTCCGTTCCACTGCAGATCACCGGACTCCGCAGCCAATCGCAAGAGTTCTATTTTTTCCGGACACCGGAGCATGCCGGATAAATTCAACACAGATTAACCCGTGCTGGAAAGGAAGTCGGGCACAGACACAAAATAAAACATCCGGCTTTCTTTCAAAGTAAAACACTCTGTTTCAGGCGGATCGTATTTTACACCATGCAAACAGGCGGGGACGAACAAGTGAAAGGTTTATAGAGAGCATTTCATCGCCTCACAAACGGATCTGGTAGGAATTGGCGAACGGCAAAAATTGCTGCCGTTCCGGATCGGAGCAGTTTCAGATGCGGTGGAAATCCTGGGCACCAGACCTCAAAGGAACTGCCATGAAAGGCTGATCGGTTTATATTTACACTGTAGGAGTTTTGTGAGAAGGTAGAAAAATGGTCAAAGCTTTATATTGAAAAGTAAAACCCAATCTGACTAAAATATGTGGAGTTGGATGAATCCCCAGAATTCACCATGTGGGTTACACAGCCCACCCACCTGTTTAAACTCTGCTGCAGCTCTCTGTTACTTCCCAGCTCCAAAACACCAACAGCAGGCTGCAGCAGCTGTTTGTCACTCAAACCTGCAGAGAAACAGGGTGAAGACAAGTTACATATTGACCCACGCAGGCGTTGGCTCAATCACAGCTTCCCCCTCTGAAGGTGAGGACAAAGATTTCACCATCATGTCTTTCAGACGGACTTGCAAAGAAGTCTGGCTTATGATTTGTATAATAAGATGTAGGCATGGCACATAACTACATGACGAAACAGGTTTTTATTACAACAACATCCATAATCAAGTGTTCAATGCTTTCAGTGTGAAGTGTTGTAGCAACTGCTTTCCTTCAACAAAAAGCCCGCTGGTGTTTAGGCTCGCTTGCATCTGTGACTCGTTCAGTTATCAGTCTGGTTTGAGTGTTAAAAGGTGATTTATTGTTCCAAAAAAGAACAGAAAACACACTGATCCAGGTCAAAAACTTTTGCCTTCGAATGAAAAAGTGATATGATGAAATGAGGTTAAAACAGGATGAGAGAAACAGTGAAAAATGGTCAACAGAAAATTATTTGATCTTACCACAACCCATGTCTGACTACACCGGTGAGATTTAAATAACCCGCCAAACATCCCAAAACCACACCCCTCAGTGACGATCCCCGGAAGTGACATACCTAATAATCATATCCTAAACGAATATATTTTGGCTCCTACAAGTGTAATATAAATAGTCCTGATGGCCATGGTTGGAGCCCAGCAGCTACTTTTGTAAATCGTGTAAAACAGCGGCTCTGGCTTCAGCTCACCTGTCATGAAGTCTTCATCCTCTGCTGACCTGAGTTTCGAATCCGACCCACAAACCTGGTTGTAGGTAACACCTCCAATGACAGTGCAAGTGACTTCCTCCACATTTCCACCACCCATATTGAGCTGGAAGCCCTCTGACGTCAAGGCTTCATAGTTGGGGCCGGTGATGATGATCAACTAGGGATAGAGTTGACTGTCACTTTCAAGAAAACAAATGTTTTAATAACTCGGTGTCTCTGCACCGGAACAAAGTACTCCCTCACCTACCTGTGAGCCCTCTAAAGCCGGCCTCTGATCAGGAATATCACAGCTGGTCACCACAGTCTGAAGAGTTTGTGGGTCAAACAGCTCACTCTGCTCTTGTGTCTGTGCAGATGGAGGCACTGTTAGCCCTGGCTGAGCACCCACTTTGACTGAGTCACTAAAGCTCCTCGACAGCACTGAGTTCTCCGCTGTCTTCTCCGGCTTATCATTCAAAGCAACACACCCATAGCTGTGCGGTATAGTCCTCATCCCTTCATTTTCTTCTTTTCCCTCATATCTGCCTTGCCTTAGATCCTGGGCCTCTTCAGCCTCCTCCTCCTCCTCCTCCTCTTCCTCCTCCTCTGAGGGGACAGAGTGAAGTTCTGTCGCAGGAGAGCCTTGCTCTGGTTCCATGACCATCTCCATCTCCCAGACGGGCTGTCCTGTATGTGCATCATCCTTGGCGGAAACCTCTATACTGGGATGGTGGTTCAGAGTTGCAGCCTGCTCTACTGGGCTGATGGTTGCAAGCTGTAACTCGGTATCATCCACATTTTTTTCCACATCTACAGAGAAACAGATGAATCAAAAACACATTTTACATCATAATTAAAGGTACAATAAACAAAGCTCAAAGAATAAAAGAACAATAGTGTTATCCTCTACCTTTAAACCGATAGTTAGACCCTTTTCTTCTTCTGTTCACATAGCGAGTAACCATGGGTACATCTGCTTTCCCTGTTCCCTCATTACCACCTTCTCCATTCACTTCTTCCTCATGTTCGGAGTCACTTGCCTCTCTAAGTGGAGAGAAAAGATATTGCACAAACGAATGGTCAGAGTCACACTGCCAGATGGCAGCAGTGGAGGAGGTGTTTTGGGGCTCCAGGGCTCGGAGCTTGGGCTCATGAGGGCAGGAGTGTGAGTGCTCCTGGTACCAACACACCAGACTCCGCAAGCTGGACACACGCTCCTTCCTGCCTGCAGAAAAGAATGAAACAAAAGTCAGACAAAAAGATCATCTGAACCAAATATTCTTCTCAATATTTTCAGATTTTTTGCCAGCATTAAAAATTATTATTAAGCAAGAGGAGAAAATCTGGCATATTTTGTATTTCTGCTGAAGGCACCCCTCACCTTTTTTCTGTTTTCGTGAGATTTCTGTAACAATCTTCTTCCTGTAATGCAACAAAAATATTATATTTGGTCTGTAATCACAGCAGTTAAAGAAATAAACACCTGCAAAGTGGACTGAAATAATACTGTTCGGTTCGAGGAAATATTACAAAGCCTTTTCAAAACGTGCAAACCCTGATAAGAGGACTTTTAACCCTAGAACCCTATCGCTGGGTGATTTTCACCAAACATGTTTATGTGATTTTCATGATGTTGCGTTTGTCTGAGTATCATGGGTCCCTGGGTAGCAATAGTGATAGAGGATAAAGTAGGTTTGGATGGATTTGATAGCTGCATGTGGGGAATAAGGTCAGTAAGAGTGGTCCTGGAATTTGCATGCTATCTTTATTTAGCGCAGTAGTTATGATTAACTATCACAAAGTATAATCTTGAGGGAATTAATATAGTGATGAGAAATATTTTAGTCAACTGGTCATTTTGACTCACTCAAAATATACCATATTTTTGTTCTTTCTCCTGCAGCTGTTATTGTGCTAAGGACCCTGAGTCTTCACCAGGGAAAAATCACATGCCCCAGGAATGGGTGAAAAAGAAACTAGGTTAACAGTTTATTCATAAATATATTGTTTTGGAATTTTTTGTTCATGAATGCCTAATTTCAGGCACTTTTTTTCCTCCCTTTGGATATTACACAATTATAAATATAAGAAACAAAAAATACTTTAATTCGTCATGAATTGTCCTATTTTTATATATTTTGATGACAAGTACTTCTTCTTGGGTATATTATTTCGGGTAAAAATCACCCGGCGATAGTGATGGTGTTACTAATTTTAGCGATAGTGTTCTAGGGTTAGAAATAAATGTCTCATTTCTCAAACTGGACTCACCCGCAGCTTTCCTGCTGGTATTTCTCTCCATAGGTGGAATTGAGCAGGATCAGATACTCTGCAAGTCCAGCATCACTCAGGCTGGTCCGCCTGCGGAGCTCACTCCAAAGCTTGTGTGACTCTCCCAGGTACACCCTCCTCACGTCGTACTTCTTTCGGGACTCGAGCCGTCTTTTGGCCCGGTCAGAGTCCGTCAGCCTGGGTCGTCCTCTGCACCGCCTCAAAACACTCTTACCCCCGTGGTCACTGCTTCGCTCCGAGTCCAGAGGAACTTCCAGCTCTGCCAGGCTCTGCGCCATCTTGGCCCGAACAGCTGATGTTGTGATTGTCGCTACCTGATCCGTCCCGGAAACATGATTTCTACTACGCATGTGCGAAATGTACGTCACTTCCTCTACTAGTCATCTGCTGCATAGACGCTGGAAACTCCTCTTTGAGTGGAACTACCTCTGTAAAAACTCGTTAGGGGTCTCTAGTTATGAATCTTTAACATTCGACCATTTGTTTATTAAAGAGGAGTCTCCATTTATCTCCAGAGCTTCACTCTCAGTCTCTGCCAGTCAGTGAAAAGATATGGGGAGAGAGTTGTCTCAAAATTATGCACGAATACATATCCACAATTCCCACATGTGATTATCTGATCCACACATATATATTTCCAAGATTTTCACATGAGGTTTTTAATTGTGTGTGTGTGTGTGTGTGTGTGTGTGTGTGTGTGTGTGTGTGTGTGTGTGTGTGTGTGTGTGTGTGTGTGTGTGTGTGTGTGCATTTATCATGACTTTTCATTTGTAAATCTTCAATTCTACTTGTGTTAGTGGATAAACCGGCACGTATATTTATTTTGAGACAAACATTACATAGTTTTCAAGATACGCACACACACAAGTTGAGGATTTTCACGTGTGGAGAACACCCCCTCTCCCACCCACTGGGCGGCAGTGTTGCTCCCTCTGTTGAGAGCATAGACCATAGACTCTATATACTATAGTATGATAAAAATATGACAGTAAAGTATGATAAAAAATGTCATAGTACGGTAACAACATCATAGTATAGTATGATAAAAAATATCAGTCTAGTATGATAAAAAATGTCATAGTGTAGTATGATAAAAATATAATATTATAGTTTGATTAAAAATGTCATAGTATATTAAAAGTAGTCAGCTACAATGTGCAGACTGCTATTTAAGTTACTATGCCCAATCCTCAATATTGTTATCATTACTTGCTCTTTCCTATCAAATCCTTTATTTCTTCATGGTCTTACTTTGTTTTGTATGGAATACAAATGCCTTCCTTTTGTTTTAGTGTCTCAGTTTTGCTGCCACATCTGGGTCACCTTGCCCAGCGCAATACTTTCAGGTGTTTTTTGTTTGTTTGTTTGTTTGTTTGTTTGTACTTTTAAAGGCATTTATATATCTCCATGGCAACAGTGATTAACCGGCTCCCCGGAAGTCGTAAGAAGCACTCACACAGACGCATTTTTTTTTGCAAAATTGTCAAAGCATAACACTTAGTTTAATCCGTGTCTTAAAGTGTCTTGCTCTGTATCCATTTAAATCTGGGGAATATATAGGACAAAATCCACTAAGAACTGCAGCGGAACTACACTAAACACAACGTGTGTTTTGTACGGACTGCAATAGTATGAACGCTGCCGCGCTACATGTAAACAGACTCGGTCAACGCTGTTGCGGGAACATCAGATAGTTATAAAAACAGCCATAAAGCGCCTATATACCGCGGTGCCTGTCATGGCGGATATCTTAACACATGTGTTCAGGACTTTTATGTCAAAAACTTTTACAAACAATAACTTAAGAGTCACTCCTCCATCGCAGACCACCTGTGGCGGGACGCTGCTCATCGGAGAGCCGAGCATCAGCCGCCCTCTGCTGCTTCTCGCGGCCGTCGCTGCTGCTGAAACAGGAATGAAAGTGATTTTCTTCACCCAGACGCAAATACAAAGTCTCCCAGTGTCTCTGCAGAAATGTGTTCCCAGTCTGAGCCCAGAGAGTCTGAAGGTAAATGTCTCATGAAGGTTGTGTTTGACCCTTAAAAAGTTCCACATCGAAAGGACATTTTATTCTTTAATGGTTGTTAATTTATTAAGATGAAATGATCAGGTGCCTTAAGTTATAATGAAAGACAGAGTGGGTAGTGGTGTACTTAATATATTGATCTTCTACTACTGGTATGTTTCTCTTCTTTTTTGTCTTTTTCAGAAAATAAAGTTTTGCTATCCCTGTAGAGTGGAGGACCTTCTACAGCAGGTGGCCAGTCTCCATGAGTCCATTAACTTGTATCCCACACCTCCCTCACTGATCATAATTGACAGGCTGGAAAGTTATCTCTGCAGTCCTGGTGGTAGCAGCACATGGGGATTCTATCCGGGAGAGCAGTCCTTGGCTGCGCACCTGTCTGCTTTGCTGTGTGATACCGCTGCTTTCCTCACACAGCTCCTGAAACAGCGCTCCTCCAGCTCAGGCCCCTGCCGTTTAATCACATCCTTTCGTTCTGAAGTTGACACCAGGCAAACAGTTGGAAAAGGCCCCACCACTGATCCCATCCTTGAAGTCCTTGATCGCTATTTCCAGGTTCGTTGCACTCTTGACAGAGATGGTAGCTATGAAGCCGCAGCAGCTGGTCTACAGGAAGTTTGGCACGTCTACTTTTCTGGGGCAGGCATCACACAGACCTCATGTAACAAAGACACTGAGGACAGTCCAAGCATTGACCAGGAGTGGAAGCTGTTGATTTTTCCTGATGGTTTAATGGAGTTTAAACTAGTTTGAAAAAAAAGAACAGCAAGATCATTTTTGAAGGTCGTTTTGTTCACTCAGGGTCCATTTTTTTCTAAGAAGGTGCTGTTTTGTCGTTCTTGATTTCATTAAATGCCTTTCAGCCCATAATACAGAGTTATCTCTTCATTTTCTGTCCGTGACTCCTCTTGCAAATCAATATTTAATCTTGGTGTATTATTATCTTGCAGATATAGTATGTTTACTCAGCTGTGTTTCCTTTTTAGAAATCCTTTAATAGAACCACAGTGATTTTATATGTACAACATTTGATCATTTGAAATATTAAATTTCATAAGAGAAAACCCTTCTTTTTTTGAACCTCAGGAATCAATTTCAACTTCTTGCAAAAAAATAGCAAAGGCAAACAGTAGAAACTCTCAATTTAATGATGGCTTTTAAAGAAATTGACTAATTGACATGTAGGGAAAAAAACTGTACATGTTTATTGTGATATAATAACTTAGTGTTTGATTTATTTGTATTCATCCATGCTGGTTGTATAGCCATAGTGTTTTAAAGTTTTGTAACATAATATACTGCATGGTACCCAGATTTTTATCGCATCAATCATCAGACTGAATAATTAATTTGTTCCAGTCTTTGGTCAAATAACTACAAGAGACATGTTCATTAACAGTCATTTGCATATTAACACTGTGAACTGTGATGTTTAAAGCTCACATCCAGGACTTGATCAGCACCACACTTCATGCACCTCGCATTTATCTGCCAAACAGAGCTGAGTCGCTAATATGTCACATAGATAGTAAATCTGCCGCCATCATGTCATATAGTGACTACAGAGTTGGCTATGGGTGCAATAATCCAATCTCATGGATTCTCGTAACACTGCAATGCCGATGGTACCAAGCTCTTCCTGTCATTCCCTCAAAATGACACACCCACTGAAGTCGAACATCAACATGCCTCAGTGATATCTCGAAATGGACTAAGGAACTCCACCTATAGCGCACCCTGTCTAAAACTGAGCTTCTCATCATTCCAGCCGGCCCCTCTCTTGAAACCACGTTTGAATCTGGGTGTCCTGACTGATGACCAACTAATCATTAAGGTTCATGTGCCAGGCCTCCCCGTGTGCACTGTATAACCTCTCCAGATGATCCAAAATGCAACAATTTCAACGAACCCAAAACGACAGCTTGATCTGCTGTTCATCTCTCTTCACTGGCCACCGGTAGCAGCTTGCAACAAACATAAAATCTTATTTCTTGTCTCCAAAACTGCAACCAAATCGGCTCCTGTCTACCTGCAGTCCCTCATGCCCGTTACGCACTGCCACTGAAAGGAGCCTGGTTCTCCCATCCAGACAAGGCATCCAAGTCACAAGCCAGACTCTTCTACTCTGTTGTCCCTCAGAGTTGTTTTACACCTTTAAGAAAATCTCAGGACTCAGATCTTCAGAGAACACTTATGTACTAAAGCTCAGCTCTTCTTCTCTGTTGTCCCCAGAGATAGAATGACTGAAACAAATGTTCCTTTCCTCCTCCTCAACATACTCTGCCCAACTTGTTGTGAACATTTCTGCACTTGGTGCACCTGACGATAGATGATGACAATGATGACAGTGTCATTGTGACTTTATTTGGTTTGTGGTTCCCTTTGGTTGATGGATTGATGGAGTCTATACATCAATTTAAAAAAAGAAACAAAATGCATTCCCTTATTTACTTTATGACAGCACTATGTCCATTTGTACTTACAGCAGTTTTTTGCACTTCCTGGAGTTGTTGTTTTTTCTATCTAGATCTTTGCTTGTGTTGCATTTGCTCCCAAATGCACGTCACCTTAGACAAATGACATTGTCACATTGAAATGAACACTGAATCTCTTGACCTACAGTTTTGGCTTGACTCATCAGCACTATGTTTTCAGAAACTATAAAGTATGTCGGTAGAATGCCAAATTCAATATACTAACAGTCTCAGGAAATGCAGTACCTAAGTCGGATCTAAAAATGAAAGTGGAGTTGACAATATTTACAAGTCAGAAGCTCACAGTTCAGATCATTCTGAAATTACATTTACACAACGATAGTATAGCCTCACACAGGTGCTAACAAAGCTGTAGACAGGAAAAAGAGGTCTACAGTATTTTTACAAATAAGCTGTATCAGAATTTTCTTTTGCTTTTTTGAGATTTTTTTTTAAAAACTAACAATATAGAGTGTCCCGAGCTCCATCCTCTAAGCTCTTACCTGAATTCTTGAAATACTTTTCTTAACAGTTGACAGAAGTTAATGTAGCTTTGGTTTTAGTTCAGAGGCCCATAACAGAGCCTGCTATAAAGCATAGTCCATGTCCATAATGTCCAGCTGTCCTCCTCAGCTGTCATCCTCGTGTACAGGGCGCTGCCGAGGAAGGAACGGCCTCCTGTGAGCAGGGATCTCGTTTTTGTAGTCATTGGCGTAGATAACCATTTTTCCAATGTCATCAGCTCTGCTCATGGGGCTGTAATCCATGGAAACTCCAGAGTCTGCTACAGCCATATAGGTGTATCCTGGGCCTTTGGGCACCCAGGCATGGTTTGGGTACTCAAAGCTGGACTGAGATGATAGTCGACCTGAACCGGAGCTCTGCTGAACAGATCCCAGGTCAGAATGTGATTCACAGGATACTGTCTTTCTAGAGGCAAAGAGCACCCCTAGTGGTGACGTCTCCTCCAGAATGTCATTCAGGTGATCATCGTTGCTGTAGTTATTGGCATTGAGGGTGACATAAGCATCTTGAGACTCCAGAAGAGAGGACTGGGAGCTATCCTGGTGGAGTGCCCGTAAGCAGCCCATCAGCCATTGGTCATGTTGTGGAGCTCTCCATCCCTCTGTCGGAGCTGAATCACCTTTTTCCAACTGTTGTCTCCCGTTCATTCCTTTCTTTCCATTCCTATCATTCTCTCTGCCTGAGATCAAAGCTCTAGAGGCCTTTGGTGGCAGAGGGGGAGAAGACAGTAAGAGGCTAAACTCTGAGAGGACTTCCAGGGAGGAAGGGCTTTCTTCAGAGCTTAACACAGCTGTAATCAACCTCAAACCTCCATTGGACTGTCCCAACCACTCCTGAAAAACACGACAAAGAATGATTAAAGCATTGTGACCTGTTAGGAAAACAAAGCTTTTGTAATGTTGTATGGAAGGTTTCCACACAGAGAGGATGGATTTTAAAATACACTTCAATAAGGTGCATTTGTCTTATCCTTACCTCAAAGTCCCCACCATAGACTGAAAAAAGTCCTTGGAACTTGCCGTCAGGCGTCGGTATATTTGGCCAAATCTTCTTTACGAGAAACCTGCAAAGAACAAAGTTGTAAATGTTTGAACATTACCAAAAGATTCTGACAGGCAACTAAAACAGTGTGCCTTTTGTTTCTTGGTGGACTTACCTGCGATGGTACAGGAGTAAAGTGAGCGACAGCACAACGAGGATTAAAGAGATGATGATAGTCAGCGACACGATGAGTAGGTCGAGCTCTGGAGGACACGTCACGATAACAGTCATTGAAAAACAGTGGGAACAAACCAAACAAGAGAAGTCAAATCAGTGCCTGCTGGTGAATATTGGTCTGCATATTATCTACAAAAGATGTCAGGACATGCCTGTGCAGGTATGTCACATTTTGTATCCAATGTCTAAATCAGTATTTACCTTCAGGCAGCGTTTCCATGTACACAGGGTCACTCCAGGCGCTCCAATAGCCGTTGTAGCTGATCCCATCCAGCTTCACGCGAACTCTCACTTTGTAATTTGTACCTGACTGCAGGCCTCTGAGGATCATTTTTGAGCTGGCTTTTGCTACTTCAACCTAAAAAAACAGAGCAGTGCTCAGTGCTGACCAATGGATCACAAGAAAATGTAACCTGTTGTGTTATTCAGGGATCCTACCTGCCACATGTGGCTGTCTGCAGTAGCATAGCTGACCTCGTACATCATGCTGTCATCCATGTATTTGAGAGGGGGAGGCACCCAGCTGACATTGAGCTGGCCTTGCTGACCTGGGCGGCTCACTGTCACATTAGCTGGAGGGTCCAGAAGAACTGTCATTTGGAGAAACAAGTGTCAGCTTGTTGGTGAGGAATTTTCCACAGCTGAAGAGAACATTTGTTTTCACACTTAAAGTTTAATACACATGGAAATACCCTGGTATCACGTCCATCTTTGACTAACTTTTGTTAGATCTGTACTTGCAATTTCTCTCAACCACAATGGCCAACAAAACATGACGCAAAGACATCTATCTAGCAATTCCAGAGTCAGATTAGCGTTATGCTTGTTTCAATTTGATAAAGTCAAACAGTCACCTTGTTTTGAACAGTAGTTCAATTGTGAGATGCTCTGTTATTTTCATCAAATGGGTGCCAATAGTACATGACTCTACAGTTAGAACCAAGTTTGCCTTTGGGGATACCAAGTTTGAAGCCCATTTCCATCTAAGTTGTGCTTTACCCAGTTGTTGAAATCCATACAAATATTTTGGTGGTTTAAGGGAATATAATTTAGAACTGCATATGCCATCAAAGTGAGGGTAAAACTCATTATTTCTAAATCTTTGTTAAACTACTCTTGTATCTGTGCTCTTGAATGAGGTTTTGTTTTAGCCACTCAATAACTCACAGACAAGCTCTACGAGAAGGCTGCGGTTAAAGATGAGCATCTCCTCCCGGTGAACTTGTATGTCCATTTGGACGAACATCTGGGTTCTGTTCAGATGGCACACGAACAGCCTCTTCCCGCCTACTGCACGGAGGGTCCTCAGTGGGCACCTGTTGCTCTTTTCATTTCTGCTCAAGGAAGAGAAGAACAGAAACTCATCAGATAGGAGGAAGGGAGGACTTGAATGTTTTTCTTCTTTAATTTTTTAAAGTGAGATCATTATTTGCAACAAGATACTGTCTTGACTGAATGTTTAATTTAACTTTTATTTAATTCTCTACTCCTAAAATTGACCCTTAAACTCATTATTAAATGGGGAATTAACCTTGATAGATTTTCTTTATGGCCAAAAAGAAATGAACACAAATAAGGACCATAGCTTTGAACTACTGAATCATTGGTCTCCATGTATTTTTTTTCAGCCCTGTATATTTTGAAAGTGACTTACTGGTAGGTATAAGTGAAAGAGTACTGATCCACAGATCCGGCCCTCTCCTCATCTTCTTCCCAGAAGCACGTGAAGTCTTTCCTCTCCTCAGCGAAGCACTTGGGATTTTCTGGCACATCTTTCAACAGCATAGACACTGGAGATGTGAAGTTAGGGGGGAACAGATATATGTGAGAGCAACCAAAAGTTTTCAAGCACTCAAATGTTTCCCTTGATACATAAACCAATCACATTTCATATGGTAAACTAAGAGTAAAAAGAGGGCATTCCGAGGTTATTTTTATATAGTAATATTTTTCACACATCAGACTCTTACACTTTCCAATTTATGCCACTTACTTATTCAAGTCAAAAACGACAGCCGCGCAGACTGTGTCTTACCCTTTTTCTCGAAATACTGTGCGCTCTGCACGATCGAAGCTGATAGCATGGCGCAGACAATCACGTTAAACCTCCAATACCGGCTCAGGTGACTGTATATCATCCTGTCTGTGTTCCCTGTGAATTAAAAGACTCTTGCTTTCTGTTGTCCACCTGCATATCTGGAGAACAAACACGCCACGAACGCTCCTGGCTCAGCTCTCGCCCGCGGCTTATTTGTTAGATACCATGGATAGCGCAACGTGGTCACGCGTCTGCTGGAGAGCGATAAGGTGAGTAGAGCCGTGCTGTTTACTTTCTCCAAAAAGTGAAGGGGAGGAGGAGCAGAGGGGGGGTCTTTCGAAAGTTTTTACTCTTCGGCAAATGGGCGGGAATCGAGTCTTCATTGATACCTACGATTTGTAGAAGAACATGTGCCATGCGTAAAAACGCACGTAGGTAGTCAAACAGCCAGCCAGACAGATTGACACAGAAAGACAGAAAAAACAGATAGATAGATAGATAGATAGATAGATAGATAGATAGATAGATAGATAGATAGATAGATAGAAAATCGCACTTGATGCACAGTTCTTCTACGATTTGTAGAACATGTGCCATGCGTAAAAACACACCAAGGTAGTAAAACAGCCAGCCAGATAGAAAGACACACAAAGACAGTAAAAACAGTCAGATAGATAGATAGATAGATAGATAGATAGATAGATAGATAGATAGATAGATAGATAGATAGATAGAAAGAAAATCGCAGTTGAAAGTACAAATACACGGATAAAATAAATCATAATTATATTTTAATGGCGTGTTGCACATGTCTTATTGGTCACCTGTAGCTTTCAGTCAAGAAGTGAGAAAGGTGACACCTTACACTATACAATGTCAGAGGGTTCGAGTGCAGCCTCTTGTTGGCCCTAAGCCAATTTAATCCGTGCGTGCGCCAAACAAACGGAAACCGCAGAGTGTTCACACGTAAAAGCAGCAGACCCAAACGGTTTCTTATCTTTTAAGAGCACCAGCATGTTCTCTTCGTTTGGCCTGTGTTATCGGAGCAGCAGCCACCCCTGCGTCTTCAACTCTGATAAGTAGCTCGGGGGGCGTAGCGGCCCATCCCCATCAGCCTGAGTGCAATTAAACCCTTATTTGCATCACATGGGGAGAAGACAGCCCACCATAGTGAAAACCATGCTGGTGTAAATAGCTGCATTTCATCTGGACTCTAGATTGGTTCTGTTTAAAATATGAAGAGGCCCTGTGAATAAGGGTCTGTGTTTACTCCCCGCTGGAGCAGGATGATGGGGAAACCCGCATTGTTGTGGAGGACAAAGGCAGAGTGTGGTTTCTGCTTCTTCAGATAAAACGTGTAAAAGACGTGACCTGATGTGATGGGGTTGGGAGGACGGGTAGTCATAAGTTGAGCTGCGGATGGGCTGTCACCCCAAACATGACCCAGTTATGATGAACCCAGAAAGCATGTGAGGGCAAAGGTAGACAACTAAGATCTCCTTTTTATAATGATTGCAATCTTTAATGTCTCAAACACATTTCAAGCTATCCAGTTAATATCATGCATTTTCTCCTAGAACTTTCCTTTTTTTCATTTTAACACAGTTGAAGCCTAAAAGATGGGATCTGGGTATAGGAATCGGATCACCCCACTATTTGAGAAAGCAACCACTCAGAAATGTAACATGTGAAAACAAATAGACCATAACATTAAAAATGAACAGACACATCCCAGACAAACAGATCCAGATGCTACAGGTTTAATAGTCCAAAAGCATAACAGTTATATGTAGCAGATACCAAATTAATAAAAGTGTACAATAGCAGCTGCCAATATAAGCTCCAATATGCAATCTGTTTAAATGCAGTGCAAACCTGCCTTGTGCAATATACATACATATATACTGTTGTTATAAAAGTGAAGTGTCAGAAATTTTGAACCCTCTAATCACATTACAGTGCAGATGAAATGGGCACAAAGTGTTTGCAAAAGCAGGGGGTCAACTGACCACCAGCGGTGATTCGACCCCAGTGAGCGGTGTAGTCCAGCAGTGGCTCTGAGCTGCCAATGCAAGCCTGCTATCAAGATGCTGAAGTCTTTTTTTTTTACACTAACTGACAGTCAATGGCCATCACGTGGTCAAATGGCGCTATGAGTGACCAACAGCAGAAAGGAGAGGAGTTTGCCTATGCAATACTGAACGTCAAAAACAAAAGAACAGGAGATTTGTTAAATATTTCGTCTAACAAAGAGCATTCAGGTCATTAAAAGGATGAGAATTTACAGTACAAGGGGATATGACAGGATCAACATGTGACACCAGCTCCTTGTTTTTCCTGATAGTGACAACAACACAGTTAAGGCCTACATCTATCTCTCTACGAGATCAATGTTCTTTCCTGTCTGAGTACACACACACACACACCCAACACAAAGTCATCATGCCATTAAAACGACAGACAATATAACCGTGATAATACTCAGTTATTAAGAACTCGTTTTTCACCCTACAGTTTTATGGAGCTGTGTGTGTTCGAGTGTGCGTTTTAGTGGTCTCGGTTAAAGCAGAGAGAGCGTGTCGCAGAAGAGTGGCACAGAAGGGTGAGTGAGGACATGGTGGCAGGAGCCAGGTCATGTGACAAACGCCAGTGTTATCGTTCACAAACAACTTCCTCGCACAGTCACTTTCACATTTGAAGACGGCACAGCTTAACATTTACCTTACCATTATCCTGCTGTCTCAGCTGTTCAACACAAACAACAGGCTGCAGATTAGAGTCAACGTTAAGGTGAGGATAAGGTTCATGAACGCATTTAAGGTCACGATAACAAAGACAAAGATTAGCTGAAGAAAAACTAAACTACACTTACATGTTACCTGCACTTTAATCATGAAATTTGTGAGTTATAAAAACTTTATCATTGTTATATCTGACTTGTTTAAATCCACACAAAACAGCCTTCATGGTACACAAGCCATTCAGCCTGAACACAATTTTCACCTTCTCATTCAACAGTTTCCAAACTGTGCTGCATGTACTTCTCATGGTAGAGGAGCTTTACCTGGTGATACCCAAATAACCCAAATCCAAAACAAAAATCCATCCAGCCATTTTCTACCTCTTATTCCCATTTCCGGGGTCATGGGAGGGCTGGAGCCTATCCCAGCATCTTTGGGCCAAGGCAGGGGACACCCTGGACAAGTCGCAAGTCCCACACCTAAGGGCAATTTGAAAGTGGCCAGTTAACCTAACCCCACTTAAGCATGTTTTTGGGATGTGGGAGGAAACCGGAGTACCCGGAGAAAACCACGCAGACACAGGGAGAACATGCAAACTCCACACAGAAACGCCCTGAGCTGGATTTGAACCCAGGACCTTCTTGCTGTGAGGCGACAGTGTTAACCACTACACCACTGCGCCACCACCAAAAATCTATCATCACAAATAAATCATGCAGAAATTAGCTCATTAGAAATTCATTCTTATTGAAAATTTACCTGTACGCTTAACATGTTGGATATTAGGGCTGGGCGATAAACCGAAAATTTACAGATACTGAAATTTACAACAATAACCGACATCATTTTGCCCATATTGGTATATTCTGTGTCAAATAGATAAATAAATAAAAGTTGGTTTTGGATGTGTGTAGATAGGCTATGGTCTCATGTCCTTAAAGACGCTGTCCTACGTCAGAGCCGAGACTCCACCCCATGCAGTTCATAACAAAGAGGAAAAGACAGGTGAGGAGACGGAGGACGGTTTAAAAGTTGTAGCAGCTGAAGGAGATAAGGGGGTGAATGTGGGAGGGGGTGAGCAGTTTGTGGAGTAGTTACCGTCCATTTATCGTTATCGAGGTGAACTGATCAATATATCGTGATATAGATTTGAGGCCATATTGCCCAGCCCTATTGGATATGCATGATGGGATATTCGACAAAGCATTTGAAAACCACAATTTCCAGCTGACGCAACTGACAACTCTGACCCTGTCATTCAATTGTTCCCTCATGTGATATATACTTAATATTAAAGAAGTACAACACCGGTGCATTCTTGTGTCCTTATTTCAGCCATAAGCAATAAGCAATCTGAATGATCTACAAGGGAATCATAATGTCTGTCATAACACTTCAATTGTTTTAAAAAAGATGTTCTGTTGCAGATCCTGCAGAAGGCCAGAAAGCAAAAACAATTAAAAAGCTGAAGTTGCAGATTGAAAAGTTATTTTTTTATGCCAGGAATTCAATAACAGCTGCAATAAAGTTTAATGCATGTCTTATAGTCAAAACTGAGTTTGCATAATGTCGTTATCAGTTTTATCTGTTACAGTATAGTTGACTTTATCTAGAGTATCTGCTAAACTAATGTAAACCGTGCACATGCTGTGTGAACTGCATTTAATACAATAAACACCAAATATAAAGCCTTCTACAGACACCGCCATGCCTCGAAGCCACAGAAAAAATGCTTCATACACAGCGGATTTCGAAGGCTAATGGGACAGCAGTGGTCTAGGCGGTTGACGTGAAAGGTGGACAGAGCACAAGGCAGGCTTTATGGTACTATCAGCTCATCACAGAGCTGATGGGTCAAGACCGCAGAAGCACAGTGGGCCTCTTTACATGACAACAGAACAGGAGGCCCAGGGAGGAGAAGGGCCTGACAGGACTGATGAAGGTTATCTCAGCTAGCTGTCCTTTGGTTTGTGTTATGTTGGAGGCCAAAACAGAGCAGGGCGCGGCCAGAGTCAAGACAAAGGAAGAGGCACTCTTCATGGTTTAGGCACAGAGAAGGAGTTGGTCTTTATTTATGGCTATTAGTGTGTGTGTGTGTGTGTGTGTGTGTGTGTGTGTGTGTGTGTGTGTGTGTGTGTGTGTGTGTGTTTATATGTGTATGTGTGTGTGTTGGGGGCTTTGGTAAGAAGGTAAGCAGCTTAGCAGGAGCAGCCCCCCTGGCTCTCTGTAGGTGAGTCTTTGAGGGTCTGGTTCCCATTGTTGGACATGAGGTTAACGTCCCCGTCCATGCTCTCATTCATCTTCTCACAGATGACGTCCACTAACCGCTCAAACACCTGTTTCACGTTGATGTTGTCCTTCGCACTGGCTTCAAAGAAGTGGAAGCCTGAGGGTAGATGAGAGGGCAGTGAAAATATGCCTCCATACACCAAAGACACCGAACTTTAGATATGTAAAAGCCAACAGTGGAAGTGGAAGAGTTCTCACCTAGCTCCTCTGCTAGTCTCTGACCATCCTCTGTGGGTATGAGCCTGTCGTCCTCCAGGTCACACTTGTTGCCAACCAGGATCACTTGAGCATTGTCCCATGAGTATGTCTTGATTTGTGTTGCCCTGTAGAACAAACATTAAAGGGATATTCCGGCATAAAATTAATTTAGGGTCAAACACACTGTAACTCAGCAAATCAGATGCCCACGAGCATAGATAGCATAATAAGTCAAATTAAAGGATGGTTAGAAGTTATATTAAAGTAATTAAAATGATAAATGCTGCAATTTTGATGCCCAACTCACCAGTCCTGAACTGCGTTAAAGGAGTCCTGGTTAGAGATGTCATATATTAGCAGGAAGCCCATAGCCCCTCTGTAGTAAGCTGTGGTGATCGTACGATAGCGCTCTTGCCCTGCTGTGTCCTGTATTCACACACACACACACACACACACACACACACACACACACACACACACACACACACACACACACACACACACACACATCAGATATTGAGACCAACTTTGATATGATCAACGTCACACCCTACAAATATACATGCATCAAATGTTACATCCATGGTGACTCTATAAGTATTGATGGCATCCAAAAATCTACTTCCTGTTGTATGGCGGACAACAGGTTACTATGGCAAGTGTATGGTTTATACCCATCAGGAGGCGAGGGAAAGATCTTTAAATGTAACAGAAGGATATTCAAGATTGTTTATTTGATCAAATATACATACTGTTCAATTTTAGACAAGAAATTCCCTATTTTTTGGAGATTGAAAAGGAGTAGGTTGAAGCTTAGAAGGATGGACCAAAAGGATGTTGAGGGAAGTTTGTTAAACCAGACAGGACTTGGCTGTGGATCACATGGACACAGTAACTCCCTGTTGCAAAAAAGTGGCGCTGAGTTCTTTACAAACTTTCAGAGATGATGGGTCCAGGCTGGGACCCCTCAGCAGATTTGAGGCTATCGTGCAGATATGTTGATGTACTTTATGGTCATTGTTTTTGTTCTTTCTCTTTTATGTATTTGTTTGTTTGTTTCGTACCATTGTTTTGTTTCATTCCTTCTTTCTTTCTTTTTGTTGCCTCTTTGCTTGATATCTTTGATAAGTATGCTGTCTCTTTTTTCTTTCACCTCCTTTCTTTGCTCCTCTCTTTCAGTCTTTCCTTCCTTTTTTTCCTTTCATTCTCTCCTTTTCCCTCTTTTTTGCCTCTATTTTCTTCACCTCTAGCCTCCTTCCTTTAGTTTTTCCCCCCTCTCATTATTTTTTCACATTGTTTCTGCATTTGTTTTGATTGTTTATTTCACTTTTCAACCTTTCATTCTTAATTCTTTTTAATAATATCAATAGATACTTAAAGTAAGGATATCTATTATCTTTATCAATTAGTTATTGATTGATTTAAACTTGATATAAATGGCAAACCAGCCATTGGTGATAATTTAATACACATTTAAACCACATGGGGGCAGTATTTTCAAAACTATGACCTGTTGCTGTGTTCAGACCCTACGCTATGAAACATCTGTCCACCACTGTCCACCAGGAAACATTCAGCAGAGTTCAGATGGGTTGTTATTTCAGATTACTTCAGTACAGTTGTTAACCATGTGCCTATTTTTCAGACCATATGTGGGTTTCAGAGATCTGTGTCTAACAAGGTGGGAATCTTGACTGAAAATGATCATTTTGTTCTGTTTGTTGGTGGAAAACACTTTTCACATCAGGGTACTTCACAGCAATTTAAAAACATCTGAATAAACAGTACTAAAGAAGCACACACACAGTTATTGATCCTGCTGTATATTCAGCATGTGCATTATTGCGCCCTACTCTCTCTCCTTTCAACCCCCTTGGCTGAGTAATCATATCAAAATGTCACATGACGCTCTTCACAGTCTATCAGGAGATGACATTTAGATAGCAGCACCTGCCTCCATTATTCCTCATGAAACCCGGGACCTCTGGTCTGCATCAATACATGACCAGAGAGAAGAAGCAGAGAGATAAGAGAAATGCAGGTCTGACAGATAATCTTAGGGGGCGGGGTCGCTGGACACACGCAGTTTATCAGAAGCATCTCCTAATTAAACGGAGACTGTGTGTGATGACACAGATGACAGCTCAAAGCAGCAAGATCAAACAGGTTGTTGGGAGAGTGACTACCCCCCACTCTTAAAGTCCTCAGTGTTACTTGGTAACCTGCCTGAGTCCGTTTTTTATACGGGGAGCCTGTGTGTTTTTTGTGTTTGTCTAATTTTCCCCTCACAGTTTGGGGGAGGGGAAGGTTGTCCAGGTAACTGGAGGCCAATGAGGGTCATGAATGTTCCATTACAGCTTGGACAGCTCTGCCCCATGTTATCTTTTCAACAAGAGCAGGATGCAGCTTAAACCCCTCAGTTTCGAGACATCAGAGAGAAAATGAAGTGTTTAACTTCCCGCAGCAGATTATCTAACTCAGACTTTGCTTCATGTCTGGTGTATCACTTTGTTTTAACAAGGCATGAAATCCTCCAGTTCCATTTTATCTCACCCATACAGAGAAGAACAAATATTTAGCAGCGTAATGGGACATGAAACCAAACAGACAGCCTCCAGGGTTGCTATAATAAACCCCATCCAGTAAACAAAAGCTGCTCCCTTATGTGCATATCTATGAAACGCGATAAGGAGGGATTTAAATCAGGCCTCTCCCCCATCAGAGACGTCAGTGGGACCCTGCTTTCTAAACATGCGTCACCTGCTGACACAAAGCAGTGGTGTACCCACAGCAGGACATCTCACTGTGTGTGTGGATGTTTTTTTTTGTTAAGTGTACTAAAGGTGTGTGTTTGTACAAACAAGAGAAACACTTTTCCATGACAGTGACAGGAGAGATGTAAACAAAACACGTTCACAGTGCGAACACACTGTACATACGCTCAAGCTCTGCATGTTCACTGTGGAGGGGTTGGATAGCTCGGATAGCTTGTTTCCATGACACAGACAGGGAGGCCAGCAGCAGGTAGGAAGGAATCACCAATAACACCCTCTGTCTGAAACCTGGTGAACCCTCCTACTGTGGGAGCTCACATAAATCTAAAAGCCTGAATTGTTCTGCATTAATTATTAACACTGGATCATCATGAAGAGCTCAAAGAAGGACATGCTTGTTGGTCCCACACCCCTTAAATACACTGCCACACAAGCGCAGTGGTAAATCCACATTATGTCTCAGTCAGAAGCAGATAAGGAACTTCCTCCTCTTCCTGTGTTTAGGAAATACCAGGTCGCTTTGTCATCCAACAGTACCACCAGGAGTTGCCTCAAGGCCACTTCAGAAACCAGCGTTATAAACATATTTTATACAGTCGGTATTAAAATATCTTCCCCTATAAGGATATTTGACACCTCTACCTTTGCATGTAAAATACTAGATACACATGTACTCGGGTTGGAAGGTGAATGTGTGTTTTGGTGTAGACTCTACTGCTGATTCATTCATCAAACAGTGCCTCACACACTGTTGGCTCACAAAAACGCTCTGTTTGAACAGCCTGAATGATGTGCTTCAATAGGATTTGTAGTGTGTGAATGTAGTGACAGTGGGATGGAGGGAAATTAAGGAAACACGTTACAGTAGCATGCAAAAGCCTCGTCAAGAGCACCGGGGTTAAATGTTTCAATGGGATGGTTCAAAGTGTGAATCCTTGAAGCTCGCGTCCTCTGCAGAGTTTGGACTGTGTCTATCAAGTGCAGCCAGCAGCGGCAGTTTAAGGGTTAAGTATGGCTGGGCGATAAACCGAAAATGTACCGATACGGATATTTATGACAATAACCAACATCATTTTGCCAATAACAGTATATTCTGTATTAAAAAAATGAATAAATAAAAGCTAGTTTTGGATGTGTGTAGGTAGGCTATGATCTCATGTCCCTTTAAGACGCTGTCCTATGTCGGAGACGTGACTCCATCCCATCCAGTCCGTAACAAAAAGGGAAAGACAGGTGAGGAGATGGAGGAAAGTTCAAAAGTTGTAGCAGCTGGAGCAGCAGCTGATGTAAACTAAGTTAATGTGGGAGGGGGTGAGCAGCTTGTGGAGTAGTTTTAAAAATATGTTTATGATGCTGCTTACTTTCTAAACTGTATTATAATCATTTTAACTAACACCTGCAGAAGTCTGCAAGTAGAGTTTTGATTATATGAGAATCCGACAGGGAAAAAAATCACACTGACGTTCAAGCCAATAAACAGCAAGTCAGCAAAATCATAAACTAAAGTTTACTATGTGTAATATTTCATATTCAAAGTGCCACATTAAAACAGAGATGTTCAGGTTTTATAACATATCTGATGGATGTTGGAGTAGTTTGTGAGCTGTAATAATGATATGGGAGGTAAGTGTTGACATCTATTCTTCACAGTGGACACAAAAGTAAGAGTTAAAGACCCACTCCAATAAAAAATAATGTTTTTCTCATTTTCTTCATGTTTATATGACATTTTTCTGATGCTATAGGACGTATCATTTAAAGACCACTGATAAGATTTGAAGTGGTAAAAAAATGATCGGAGTGGGACTTTAAGGGGTAAGAAAAGGTGCTTGGACAGTTAAAAAAAATCATTAAAAACCGATATTCAGAAACTTTCGAGTGTTGTAATCTCGCCCATGAAGAAATCTCAACAATTAACTATGAGGGGAGAAATCAAAAACCAAAGCAAACAAAATAAATGAACAATAGATTTTTGTAACTGAGGGAAAACATTCGGTTAACAGGAATATTGTGTCGAGGCCACATCCCTGAGTACAAAGTAGTGTAGCCATGATCTGTTCAGCTATATGATTCACAGATCGATGACACTTCACCCCCACAGTGCACAAAAACAAGTTACTACAAGCTTTTGCTGTTTCCTCAAGTACTTCATCAGTATGCATCAGTATGAGTCTGAGAAAGACGACTAAAGACAGCTGTCTGTGTGAACCCCGCCCCGTACGCTCTGAGCGGGTAAGTGTCCAGTGTTTGAAAGATGTTCACGTTGTAACTAAAACTTAAAATAGTGTCATTTTGCTGATTAAAGACTCGTCATTATGGTCTCTTTCTGAGATGTCAGAAAAATACTGCTGAGGTAATGAGACAGACAACTTTTCTGTCTTCTGATAGAAACATAGATGCTGATATTACAGCAGTGTAAGAATGGGAACACTTCACAGAAACACTGGAAACACATAGCAGATGAGTAGAAGTTGAACCCTGACTTAAGCCAAGTTATTCATCTACTTTGTTGAGTGCAACTTTCTAAATACTTGACTATTTACTTCCTCACAGCCCATGGGCTTAGCAGCATTACCTTAAACCTCAAAGTTTCTTCCATGTCGAGGTCAGTTTGCCCCTTTTTTACATTTGTGTTAAAAAAATACACAACAAGAAAGTATTTGATAAGCACAGGGAGCAAGAGTGTGCTTCGAAAGTATGAGGAAGTCATGCTGTGTGCGTTTGCACAATTCACAGGCTAAACTTTCACAAGAGCCAAACCCACAACTCTCAACATACTTTGGGTATAGAAAGGTTACATGGTGCGGTTTCAGAAATCACCTGTTTGTGTGGTTAACCTCCTACATACAAAGTGTTAAAACAATGTATTACCACAGATGAACAGCGGTGTATCCCATCTCTGATCGACTCACCCAAATCTGCAACTTGATCCTCTTGTCATTTCGGAAGACGGTCTTGACCTTGAAGTCTATGCCCACCGTGCTGACAAAAGCAGAGGTAAAGGAGTCGTCTGCGTAACGGAATAAAAAGGAGGTTTTGCCGACGCTGCTGTTACCGATGATCAGCAGCTTGAACATGTAATCAAAGTTCTGGTCAGCCGCATCCTTCTGAGACGGCTGCTGCTGGAGCCGGGAGTCACTTGATGCCATCTGAACGGGGAAGAGAGAAAAATAATCAAAAAGAAAATAAGACGCAATATTTTGTGAAAACAGCACCAGTCTTAAAGAGATATTCCAGCGTAAAATTAAGTTAGGGTCAAACCCACCGCAACACCGAGTTAGACACCCAGTCGAGAGATTAATGTTGCAGACCACTTGCTTCTCTAGCTATACCAACTTAAGTAACGACCGCAGATAGCAATACAGAGAGCCACGCGCTCAACCAAAACGCCACTTTGTATGCCATCTAATGCTCAGAACAGCACCTAACTTCATCAACAGTTCATATAGGGTCCCAGCCATAGTACTAGCCATTAAACATCTTCGCCTAATTTCTTTAGCAAAGAGACTAAATTCAACTCACCTACTCTCTTTCAGCAACCGCTTGTTTGTAGCGAGACCCCCGGGCGAGTCCATCAATTGCAGTGGGGGAAAGCAGCTCAAGGAAGAACATTTATGATCAATTCTTCATGGAAATGCAATCAGACCGAGACGCTACCACGTATTGATTAATGATTAATATAGTGATTATTACTTCAAGGAAATGTTAAAGTAATGATCATAAATGTTCTTCCTTGAGCTGCGTCACCCTGCTGCAGTAGATGGACACGCCAAGGGGTCTGTGTACAAACAAGCAGCTGCTGGAAGAGAGTGTGTGAGTTGTATTTAGTCTCTTTGCTAAAGAAATATGGCTAAAGTTAATAAGATGTTTAATGGCTGGTGCTGTAGCTGGGACCCTATATCTACTGTTGATGAAGTTAGGTGCTGTTCTGAGCATTATTTGTGGCTATTGAGTGGCTTTTTGGTTGAGCGCGTGGCTCTCTGTATTGCTATCTGTGGTTGTTACTAAAGTTGGTATAACTAGAGAAGCAAGCAGTAGACAACATTCATCTCCCGACTGGGTGTCTAACTCATTGTTATGGTGTGTTTGACCCAAACTTGATTTCATGCTGGTATATCCCTTTAAAATGTTGGGTTTTGTTCAACTATGAGTGTTTTTTATTGTTTACGGAGGAAATAAATCAATTATTTGACAGTGATTGAAACTAGAGCCACTTGCAAAATGGGGGTAGAAGAAATGTATATTAATGGAGATAAGTGAGGTCATCTAGGTTGCAAGAAATACTCCATCCACTCTTCTTCCCCACTCCTGAATATTGCTGAAGTCACAAAACAAAGCATCTTTATCTCTCTTTATCCAAAGATCATTCAAACGGTGGTTAAATCCATTATGATTAATGTGGTCCTGCTTGGCGCCAGTAAATATATAGGTATGACATTATCTGCCATTAAGCCTTTTAGCATCCAAACAACGTGAGGAGAGAGAGCAGCTGCAAAGCTTTTGTTATGAAAAGGAGAGCGGAGCACTAACTCTCTCTCCAAACACACAAAAATACACACACACAGCTGATCAATCAGTACGACTCAGCCCTGCCTATCTCTGCTTAGACCTGTCTCTGTGGAGACCAAACTAGGGATCAGCTGCCAGCGAGGCCCATTAGTTGCCAAAGCAGTCGGTCCACTCTGCTTTAAACTGTCCAGAGGTGGTCAAAGCAAGCGAAATATGTCCATAACACTGTAAAAACAGGCTCTGGAAACCTAAAAAAAGCATGGTAAACATTATTTTAATGCTGATAAAAATTATAGTGTGGGTATTCAGCCATGTATCACCTAAATGGTAGAGGACCATATGACTCAATATCCCTCTAAATTTTCAGTATCTATGTTCCTTTATGTCACAGGATTATGATATAGAGTTGCCAGATTTCAGTTTCCAAGGAAAATAAATGGCAGGTCAGTAAAAAGTTACTCTATCTATGGAAATACAAACAGTGTTGGTCTGTAACTGCAGTGTCACACATCTGCGTCTTTGATCGCTAAGACAAAAGGAGAAATTTCCTCACAGCCTGTGCAATCGAACATTCTGGTGGGTGTTGTAATGCGACGCTGTAGCTCAATGATGTTGTCGGCCAGTGTCACAACTTTACATAGAAATACATTCAGCTCTATCAACCAGAAAAGGGTTCTCTGCTTTTTACATAGAGGGTTGTATTCAAGCTTCAACTCTTTCTAATCTCTTGAGACACCGGCTTTAAAATCATATGATGCCTGTGCCGTGCAGGGGTCTCTTAGGTACATTGTTGTACTTGTAGATCCCATAGCATAGTGTTATTTTCTTACTCCAACTTTCCCATTCGCTCAGCCAAAGCCTGAGGTAACCCAGTCACATGTCCTCCATGTTTGCTGTTCAGCTCAGAATGTCTGCAGGCAAATACGTTGGGCTTTTACAGTCTGTGAAAGCATTTTATGAATGGTATTTACATTAGTCTCTTTAGGTATAAATTGTGATTTGTTGATCTTAAAGTGTTCTGTAGTCACCCTTTCTTAAAATATGAAAATGCCAGGTTTTAGTATAACTGTCTGTGATTAAAGCTCTTCCTTCTCTGTGGAAACAGGCGATGTCTGTTAACGTAGTGAAGTGACTTTAGACGATTACATGAGGAAGGGGGGAAACAGAAGCACCTGCCATGATACTACTCTCTAACAGAGGACATGTAGTGAAGGTGGCCATTTCAGAAAACATAAGGTGAAGCATCACATCCAGGAGAAACCCACTATGGTGGACAGGGCCTGATGTTGGAGCAACTGAGTCCCTCAGTTTTGTCTCCTGTATTGATGAATTGGCAGCTGTTACATTAGTTATAGGCAGACACAGATGAGTGATGAAGACAAGGGGAGTTATTTACAGGTATATTTAGTAAATTGACCTCTCAATTCGAAACTTTTTATAAGTTAAAAACAGCAAAACCTTGTTTTAATGTGTCAAGTCGCTGACATTTCAGTTAAAGAGAGAACACATGAAGTTTGAGTGAAATAATTTGGCATGAAGGAAGTGTGAGGGAGGGTAACTCAAGCGTACATACCTTGTTGTGGAGGAAAGCAAACGTCCACCTCGGTTCGCTTCGACTCTGGGTGAATACTCGCAGCTGTCCCCCGTATCACGGTGAAGTAGACTATCAACTAAAGTATTAAACCACTAAAAAGTCCTTTCCAGGTGGGTTTACGGCGCCAGCGGCGGACACACTTCTCTTCCGCCGGTGGGCGTCTTTCCTTCGTTTTTCCCTCGCTCACGGCTTCAGCAGCACCCGGATCTCGCCTGTGTGCTCACAGCTGACACAGTAGTTGGAGCTCCCTCTGTGTTAGAACTAATGCGTGAACACTGACGCAGCCGCTGGAGCTGATGAGGCTGTGCAGTCCACCAAGAGCGCGCACATGAACGCGCGGATAACACACTGTATCACCTTTTAACTTACTCTGTATACCACACCATGTAGGAAAACAATTAAAACAAAGGTACGTGACAGATTTGAACTCATCTTGGTTGTTTCATTTCATTTAACCCTGGAACACTATCGCTGAAATTAGTAACACCATCACTATCGCTGGGTGATTTTTACCTGAAATAATAAACCCAAGATAAATTAAATCAAAATATATCAAAATAGAACAATACATGACAAATTAAAGTCGTTTTCTTTCATTTTATTTTTAACTGTGCAATGTCCAAAGGGAGGGAAAAAAGTGCCATGAGGGGACCATAAAAAATGCAACAAAATAACTGAAATTAGGCATTCAAGAACAAAATATTTCTTATATATACATATATTCTCATTTTGACATTGATATGCACGCAAATACACGTGATTCATAAAATCAGACAAAAAATAGTCCATCATTAACCAACACAGGTAGCTGACACTGATGGGCTGCGTGCGTAAAACATAAAGTAAATATCCAGAACTTGCTGTTGTACTTGGCTGACTGTAGCCCTCAACAGCGTCATTATTTCAATCAAATCCAGCTATTAATGAAATTCTACTGCAACAGCAAAGTCCATGGGCCTATGTCCCCATAGGTCATGAAAATGATGTTGTAGCCCACAGACAGAGCACTAAGGTTGATAAAGGATGTTTTGAAGAGTCGAGGATCTCATTGTTGAATATTGAGTGAAAAGTTAGAGTGTTTATGGCGCATATGTTCTCAACAGACAGTTTTAAAATGGTGCTGCATTTCTGAATTAGAAAGAAGATAGAGCTGCTTCAGCACCCCAGACTCATAATTAATTTAATACACTGTATTACTGCAGGGCTGCTCTGCAGTATTATTGGGGTTCCTGTTTATGGTTTGCAGCAGCCTGTGCTCAGTTTGACTGACTCCTGCAGTGACTCTTAAATTCATTTCCTTGTTTGGGTCAAAAGGAACTGCAGACAGGACTCTTTATACACAAACTTTAAAAGTTTTATGTTGCTGTGAAAATTGTATTAAATTATTTACAACAGTTGTACACACTCATTTAATTGTTCTGGACAGACCTTGAGGAAACTACAGACACGTTTGCTTAAAATACAGTATCCTGAGATAGTTTACATTTCTATTATCAGTCCTGCATCTTTCTGTAGCATGTGGTACAAATTTGCATTTTAACAAGAATTTGTCTAGTCCTGTCATGACAAGATTAGTGGATGAACCTGCTCTGTCATTTGAAAAAAAAAGTTTATTTCCTGATGTGACAACGAGCAAGTGAACAGGTCAGTTTTAGATCCAGTACGTTGTCTGAATGAGAAGCTTATCTCTTTTCCTGATAGGAACTTCCTTGTTCATTTTTGTATTTCAAACTGAAAAAGCATAGCTAATTCTAATGGTTTATACACATCTTAAAATGCAAGAAATGAAGAGTCAGAAGTCATTAAAATCCTGATAACAGGTAGAGAAGAAATGCCTTTCAGGAAGCCAGCATTACAAAAACCTCATACTTTTAAGTCTCTGCTGAAATGTATGAGACGTTAATGTTATTCTTTAACGACCACTGTGTTCTTGTCAGGTTGGTCCTCATCAAACCTGATGTGTATCACAGGCATCTTAAATAAAACCTACTTAACCCACATCCAGAAATAGCCTGTTTGTTCTGGGGTTAATAATGTGTTAAAAAAAATTATCTCTAAAAAATGAAGGGCAGACAGGTGTGGTACATAACAGAATACAATTTAATTCTCCAATCACAGTGTTTTAGGAACAGCTTTAACAAGTTTCACACATTTCTATAAAATAATCACACAACACCTTACAAACAACAACAGCAGCACACTATGTGCAGTGATGGAGCTTTTATTTACCTGAATAAGCGTATGTCTAAACACTGCCCCCTGCTGGTCACATTGCTATACCAGCAGGTAAAGCTTGTGGATTTACTTCAGTGTTTCTAAACAATGTTCTGACAGAAAATGCACCCCGCCCTTGTTCACACCCCCTCACGCCAAACTAAAATTAAACATCATAAAGCCTATTTGCTCAAGTCAAATAATTTTTGAATACTTAAGCCAGTCAGTCATACAACAAACAATAAAGTTGCAATATATAATTGCCGAAAACCAGCACAAAGAACTCAAATAAACCCAAAACTGAGTTGGTGCAGCTTCTATATTCACATTTTTAGTGACTGCAAAGTTCACAAAGGCAAAACTACCAGGGGAAGAGGCACTTGTTTAATGCTAAACTCGTCAAAGTAAAACTCTTCTAGATCATCATAATTTTCAGTGACTAATACTAACACATGGTAAGAACAAATATTGCGAGAAATGCTAAATAAAAATGACACTTCGGCATCTCATGGAGGGCTTAGGCCCACTGCCTCTGTATTTATAGTCTACTGCTTCAAACTCTAGCTGCTAGCATATGAGAGCATGGGTATTTTAAGTTTTCCCTCAGAGCTTTAAATTCAATTTGCACAATTGACATATGGGAAAGCCACATCCAGGGGAATGTAGTATCTAAAGTGCATCCCAACACTGGACTTCGATAGGGACAAAGTTTAAAAATCTACTTTTGGATTTTTCGAACTGATGAAAAATTCTAGTAATAAACAATCAGGATTCATAGGTGAATCAATTTTCCCCCCACCCTGCGATAAAAGACTTCAAAGAGGCTGACATTTAACATAAAGAGAAACATATTCTTTCTAAATCGTTGATAAATTCATAGCTGTGTAGATTAAGTTCGTTGTGGTGCAGATAAACCCAATCAAATTGCAAAGATTAGACAGCCCATGATAGCGGCCAAATGTGCTCCTGTAAGCTTTATACTTGGGGTCCTGCTCCTTGAGTTTAGCATACGCCTCTCTTTGGCTGGTGAGGCCAACTTGATTCCCCAGGCCATGCTCCTTCTCCACCTCTTGCATTTGGAACATTATCTCAGTGGCTGCTGGGCCAAACCAGCGGGCGTTCAGACCGGCTGTGACCAACGCAACGAAGTACAGACCAATCTGGAAGACAGGAGAGGATACCTTAAAAGGCTGAAACATAACATGGTGATGACTTACATGCACATTTGGGGATAACATTAAGATTTTTAAATGGCTTTTGCACGAGTGATGTCTGACCTGCAAATTTTCATGCCAGTCCAGCAGCTCTCTGGGGTGGTACACAGCATACATAGCCAGACTGAAGCAACTGCTCCCCATCAGACAATGAAAATAAACAGGAAAAAGCTTGCTCTGCACCAGCCCAAAGGTGTGCAGGGTTACCTGCCGCACCAACGCAAAACCTGACAAAACAAATAATATGAAAATGGGACAAAACAGCATGCTGCACAGCTGAAACATGCATATGAGTTTGTGTATCAGTTAAGACTCCAATGTGTGTGTCATACCTGCTATGAAGGAAACCCAGACCTGCAGACCCCAGGAGAAAGAGAGTGCCAGAAGGTACAACACTTTGATCGTGTCTGTAGGCTCCCCTTCTGTTACCATGGTGTCACTCTGCTAAGTACATTTATATAGTCATGTTGAGCATGTGTGAAACTTACTGTGTTGAAATCTGGGGAAACACATAAACTTATTTGTCCAATTGTCCGTACAACTCTGAAAAGTATGTGCATTTCTGTTTGTGGTGTTAAACTCTGGAACAGCCTGGATGTGTCTTTAAAAATTTCCTATAACATAAAAATATTTAAATCAAACTATTGAGAAGTTTTAGGGGAATTAAATAAGTAAACTAACAAAAATGTGGTTATACTAGATATACCTGGTTACATAGAAGTAATATTAACTCTGAATATTATAACACTGGTTATTATTATTATATGCAAATAATTATAATAAAGAACCTATGTAGTGTATTTTTACAGATCTTTGTAATTTATACAAATAGATTTTTTTAATCTCTAATTTGCAAGGAAGGGGCAGGGCAAGATAAGCTCTTTGCTTCATTCTGTTCCTTCTTAAACTCTTTATTTTAACATATATATGTTGTGTAAATTTATCTTTGACATGTGCAGTTGTTTGGTGAACTTATGTATTATTTTGTTCTGTGTTTTTGTTTCTAGTTGTTTTGTTGTTGTTGTTCTTAAAGTTTTGGATAAATAAGAAGAAAGAAAGAAAGATGGTTAGCTGATGGGTCTTAAGTGTTTGGTTTTATAACTCTGCTGCATAAAATATGTGTTCTGTTTGTAGTAACCACTAACTGCATGTCTTCACATGTGCAGCTGACCTGATAGGCTGTATCCTCACGGTTCAGATAACAGCGCCAGTGAAGAGCAGTTGAGACCTACTCTCTTATTCCGTCACAATTCAACCTTTTAACGTTTAAAACAGATGGATGTTGACATTGTTACTGCAGGTAACTTGGTATTTTTAGCTTGTAACTAGCATGCTAGTCCCTTTTCCACAGAGCTCAGTTAAGTAACAGAAGTTATATGTCAACCGCGTTCAGGTTTTAACACGGGAATTTTAAGGCATAGCCGTCACAAAATCCTGTACTTACCTTGATGTTTTTGACTCCTGAATCTGAGAGAGAAAGTCACAAGCGAAATTTAACAGTGTGGTCGAAGCACCGAGTCTAAGGTCCAGCCGAGGTACTTCCTCAGCCATGTAGTGCTGTGTCGTTCGCGAACGATTCATTCAAAAGAACCGAGTCTTTTGAGTGAACTACTGAACCAAATCACTTCCTCGAGTGAGTTGTATACAACAACTTGCATACAATAGGACACAGCATGTATAGTAGTGCATAAAACCTGCAGCATCCTATCATTGCAGCGGTTTGTGAGGGAACGTTGTATGTTCAATGTGAATTCTTCTCAATGTATAGTGAACGAATCACTCACTGAGCCCAATTTACCGAGCAGTCCTGATAGATAGCATACCATGGGATTGTACACTTAAATCATCATGACTTACAAACAAGTTCATTTTTACAAACCTGTTTACCAGAGCAACACAGCCAAACACCCTCGTCTCCTGGTCCCAGAAGCTATGAATTGAACTGAATCCTGAACCGTTCAGCTGTGTATCAGTTCAGGAGGTCGGAGTTGTAGGCTCCTCTCGCCATGCGCTGAATGGTTCGATAAACGAATCTTTTGAACGAATCTTTTTAGTAAACTGATTCAAGTGGTTCAGTACATCTAAAAGAACTGCTGTGCCCATCACCACAGCCATGATACTCTGATAAGCCCCGCCCCTCGACGTGACGGGCTCGAGTTTGTACACAATTTGTGATTGTTGTATCATTTCCTGTGTGTTTATAGAGGTCAAAGTTTGCTGGAGTCAATTCCTTGTTTGTATAAACATACTTGACCTCTAAAGCTTCAATATCTTCAAATGACACTTTCTGATATATCCAATTAAAATGATCACGTGAGTCAGTACAACGTCGAAGTACTTGTACACAACAAGAGCAAAGATACCACGAATACTTTAATAAGCTGAATAGGATGGATCCCTCCAAAACAGTTCTATCTAGGCGTATTTCTACACTGAGGGCAAACTGTGACATCTACTTCAGGCTGCTCTCTGCTCTAAGGGGAATTTTTACCACATTTATTTCACACCCTGTCTTTCATGACAGGTGGTTGACAACATATATACAGTGCAAACAGACAATAAAGACAAGACAAAGTGACAAATACAGCAGGAACACATAACATTTAGATACATTTAGAAGGTGTTTCAAGGCTGTGTTTAGTTAAGTGTGGGTGGGTGGGTGGGTGTTTTCATGTGTTGTGAAGTGTGTGTGTTTGTGGGTTAGATTGTTGCCCCTTTATCCCCTTTTTTAAGATTGTGATGCTTGTTGAGAAAGAGTGAAAAATGAAAAATGAAGCATTATGACTTGACAAAAATTACAAAAATGATTACTATTATAATACTAGAGCAGAGAATAAATGAATAAATAAATAAAAACATAGATTAGAAAAAAGGATAAATAATAGTAGTAATTGAAATAATAAAAATAATAAGTAAATAATAAGATCATAAACAAGTAGTTAAACAAATAATAGAATAACACACACACACACACACACACAAAATAAATAAATAAATGTGGTTAGATATAGTAATGATAATTATAGAATAAATGATGCTATTCATTCGATACTTCATATTTCTTGTTTATTACTTTCTTCCAGGTATTTCACATCCTATCAGTACCTCTCTTGCATAAGCAGATTAACCTTTAATCGAATTAATCACTGATTTATTCTGGTTATTCATTAAATAGTTTAAATAAGTAGACTTGTGTAATATTCCGACTTAGGTTGAAGTCATACAGCCTGTAGTTTAAGTCTTCATGTTTTTAAAGAGTCACAACATCGACGAAGGCGGGCGTTTTAAGCAAGACTGATATACAATTGGTGGAAGAAGGCTGCCAGTCTTGATCATGTAGCCAATCACAAAGCAGAAAACGGTTTTCACAGACCAATCAGAAACGGCCCAGACCCAAGCGGTACCCGGATTTTGATGAACACTCAGCATCCATCGCAGCTAAACATCCCGTCGGTAAGTTGGCCAACACTAGTGCAAATACGCAAAAGATGCAGCCTTGAGAAAGAAGAACGTGTGTTGTACTCACATTTACATACAACTATGTAATGAAATATATGTATTTAACCTAATACGGGCTTTTGGCACCAGGCTAGCATTGTTGGCAAGTTAGCTTTGTAGCAAGCAGCGGTGGCTCTGTTTGGCGCCCCACTGCAAATGTTTTTGTTTTTTATTTGCGTATTGTGGACATTGATGTTATAAAACATCTATTAAAATTAATATAAATTACGAAAATCCGAGGCAGCTCTTGTTTTAAGAACGTGGACATGTGCTATTTCACGAAGCAAGATAATAATGGTCAAAATGGAATGATAGAAGACTCCATAAAGATGACTATGTTCGGTGTTAAACAGTCTTTGAATTGTGTAGGGATGAATGCAAGCTGGTGCAGTGTCGACTTTATTACTTGAACGAGTGCATATGTGAGTTCAGCGAAGATGACTGTGATTTAAAGCAATTTACTACACTATAGTATGATTTTTCCCCATTTTCTGCAGCTAAAGAGGTATAAAAATGGGGCGCAGAAAGTCTAAGAGAAAGCCACCTCCTAAGAAAAAAATGACTGGTAACCTGGACACCCAGTTCACCTGTCCATTCTGTAACCATGAGAAATCCTGTGATGTCAAGATGTAAGTACATGAAAATGCTTTAGAAACTCAAAGAAATACATCATGATTCAAAAGCGATGTAATAATAATCACTGTTTTTCAGGGAACGAACCCGCAACACAGGGATTATATCATGCAGCGTGTGCTTGGAGGAGTTCCAGACTCCAATAACATGTATCCTTTAAACCAACAAATATCATGAAGAATGAAGAAATTATGAAGAAAATGATGGTATAAAAACGAAGGATTAAAGGAAATAAGTTTAAAACATAAAAAAGTTAATTTATTTAAATTCTTATTTTAAAGGGATGTTCCAGCGTAAAATTAATTTAGGGTCAAACACACCGTAACACTGAGTTAGACACCCCCTCGAGAGATGAATGTTGTCGACCACTTGCTTCTCTAGTTATACCAACTTTAGTAACGACCGCAGGATAGAAATACACAGCGGTCTGAGGAGCCATAAACAAACTTCAACCAGAACGCCACTCTATAGTCACAAATAATGCTCAGAACTTTTTGGCTGTTTTGGTAATCTTTCATGAAAAACTGCACATGAAAGAAAGAAATTATATTTCAAAAACCAATAGCAGCCACACTCTTTATGTGTACTGTAATGCTGCTAAAAGTCCACATGTGAATGAAAAAGTAAAAAGACTTTACAGTTGTAAAAAAAGAATTTAAAGTTGATTTACTCTAAGCGGGGGTTGGTTTTGTGGGCGTACGTCAATTCCTGTCTTTATTTAAGGTATGCCTTAACTGTATTTCAACAGATTTATCCGAGCCAGTGGATGTTTACAGTGATTGGATCGATGCCTGTGAAGCAGCTAATCAATAGCCAGGTTCTCCTGACTGTTTTTTTCTCCCTTGTGATCCTTAAGTTGAAGTTTGGTCCATAAAATCACATCCTGTTAAATCATCATGTTGTAGTTACATTTTAACAATCAGTGGAGTCATTTTATCGTTACTAATAATGTTTGACATGCTTAGTTTGAACTCGGCACAATGTGGCATGCTGAGCGTGACATGTTCTCTGGCTGGACCAGGGAGTTGCCGTGTTGTGTCTGAGTCACCTATTTTTATTTACCAGCAGTAGGCTATGTATTATTTTTTTTTTTTTGTAAGAAAATATGTTTCTTCTTTTCTCCTTTAATCATTTTCTGAAGTTGTAAATGTTTCCTGACTGATATACCCACACACTTTAAATATTCCATGTTCTTCATTCATTCATTCATTTCTGAAGTTGTAAATGTTTCCTGACTGATATACCCACACACTATAAATATTCCATGTTCTTCGTTAGTATTTGTCAGTATAAAGGGAATCCAATCCTGTTTGAGTCATTAAGGTCAGTTGCATTTCAAAGAGTTTGACTCTTGAATTTACGTTTTGCTGTCTAATCATGTCTTCAGCGCACTGAAACATTTGTTGGTAAATGAAAATCTATTCCTGTTTTTTTATCCATGTGTACTTTAGTGTATTTTAGAATTTGAAGTTAGAATTTTAGATCACACTTGTGTTTTTATTAAACTACTCCTGTGTACTCAAGGTAGTAACAGCTATGAAAAATGAAATCTGCTCGTTTTTTAAGTGTTTTATTGCACAAATGTCATGTTTAGTAAAAGGCAAATAGGGGAAGAGGGGAGGGGGGGGTCAAGAAGTCGAGCTTGAACACTGCTAAAACAAATCTAACACATCAAGGTGAAATGTTACCATACAGTTTCTCATCATTGTAGCCATTTTGTAAATTAAAGGGAAAATCATAAATAAAAAAAACTTTCAAAAATACATTTTTATATTTAAGAGAATAAAAACTTCAGATGCTTGACAAAAGAGTAAATGTACATGCATGATGTCCTCACTAGATGGCGCACTGCTACAAGCCCCCGAGACTCATCTGGACCCCTCTTAATAGTTATTTCTGCCTCTTAAAAACGAACCCTGTACAGCTGATAAGGCCATTTTTATCTACAATAACATTACATTCAAGACTTCTGGTGGGTTAACAACACAAGTCAACATTTCAAAACAAGAATCTCACCTTCGTATTTGATATATTATTTATCAGTGAACAAGTCTAACCTAATATTGCCAGTGGTGAATATATTTGAAGTAAGAAACGACTAACTTTTCCGTTGTTGCACTTAAATATTAGCTAAACTACTGACAAATATTAAAAGCAGTTATATTTGAAGTAATTGGGCAGGATCAGGAGATGCTTAATACCTTCTGAACAGCAAAGAAAACCCACAGATTTCTGAGCACAATATCTGAGTAAATGTACCTGGTTACATTCCACCACTGTTTACCACACAATAGGGAGACATGTTGAGTGAAGCAACAGTACAAAGGCAAATTTCACCGACAAGGAAAGGTTAGACATTTCCAAAAGGATCACACAGGATTTAAACTAAGACAGGGCTGAGTTAAACAGATATTCAGACCAGTTGACTTTACACCAACATTTTGATTTGTAAAAGCGCTTCCATCTACTTTTTCTGAATACTACGCCCAAAATAGGAGCTGTGCAGCTGTAAAGCAGCCCGGTAGAGTGATGAGTGATCGGACAGGCCTGTGAATATGACACATTTGTCAGCACGAGTGCTCACAAAACAAAGCGCTGTCTGCACAAAGCTGGAAGTCCTGTAAGGTTTGCTGAGGACCAGAAACTTCTGTAAAATCGTAGGGCCTTTGGAGCTTCGATGTTGGCATGGACTTTGTTCCAACTGGGCCAAAGTTCAATATCACCAAACTGCTCTTGTCTCCATTTAAGGAACTTTCAAATTCTGTTTCAAACTGGACTGGAAGGGCAGGAAAGTGGCGCTTAGGGTTTGAACAGTGACAAAACTCTGTTACACTGCTGTTGAACAAGGCACAGAAAAAGCTATACATAGTAACTCTATATTGGAGAGTTAAGCTATTTTTAGCGGCTAGAATAGTAAAAAAAAAATGCTTTGCAGAAATCAACCACAGCGTGAAATCTCTGAGGCACCGTCAAACATTTTTTTCTTGTCCTTGTGGAAAGAAACATTTCTTGGGAGTGATAGCGCTTTGAGAAAACTGGGGAAAGAAGATGTCAGTGACCTCAGTCGGCGTTAAATAACAGTCTGGAAGGTTTGCATGTTGAAAGAAGAGTGGGTGGCTGTCTCAAGGCAATCCGTGTTTTCTTAGTCAGAGTATTGGTTGTAGCCATCAAACTCCACCTCACTGCCGTTGTCAAAGTAGGTCTCAGTGGGGTTGGCGCAGTACTTGTTATCAAAGACCTGGCGAGGCAGGCCGTAGGTGGTCATGCCCTGCTGGGAGGCCACTTTATTGGTGCCCATCTGCAGAGAGATGGTGGTGGTGTCACAGTTCTCCAGCTCCAGCTTCTTGTCGAAAATGTGCCTCCTAGTTCCTGGAGCTGTCATGCCAGCCTGGATCACAGGAAGTGGAATAAAAGTGTTATGAGAGTGTGACGAACAACGTTGACTTCAGTTTATGTGTTGAATTTATATTAAGGAAAAGGCTATCAACAAATTCCATTAACATTTAAGGTCCTTTCACACCGGAACCCGTATCCTGTCAATACAAGCGTTCGCATCAGCGACGTTTTCCCGTCTCGCGATATTGCAGCATTTATTTTTTCAGATCATGGTCGATTTTTCTAAAGTTTGGCATACTGTGTGTCCACTTCTGACCAATCAGATTGCGTGTTCTTGTGACGTCAGATTCACCGGTATATCCAACATGGCCATCCGGCTGATTGTTTACGTGTCAGAGAACTGAGTGCTTTTTGATAAAAGACACAAACATTACAAAGATAACGGCCTGAAGGATGTTTTGTGTGCTTTAACAGTTTGCTTAACGTCTTTGTTTTAACTTTCATCTGTGCTAAGTAACTTTAGCTTGTAAGCTAACCTGTTCAGATACAACATACCATATGTATTTTCACTGTCTCAAACTCAATCGCATTGGTGTCACAGCACCATTAGGTCTCGGTTGTTACCTTACGTTTATGGATTATAGTTTAATGTTCTTATCTGGTACTGGCCCTGACTCAGTACATGCTATCATGACTGACAGACATCTCAACACTAGTGTCTAATCAGAACTGATAAACAGTCAGTCTGCCGTTGTGTCAGTCTTCTCGCAAAAGTCTCAAAATCACATTGGGCTTGATGTGTATAGTCAGGCGCGTCAAAATTCACCTCAGACTATTTCGTAATTTCGCATCCGATATTTGCGTCGGTCCCAGCGTGTAAGGACCTTTAGAGGCAACAATAAAATGGCCCTATGAGAAAGCCCAGGTTAGCCGAGGGACTTCATTTATAAAAACGTGTGATGCATCTCGAGATCTGTAGTTTTATCCAGTTTGTGGATGGTTCTGAAAGAGAAGTACCCCCTCACCTGGCTGGCTCCCTTGTTGGTGCCCATTTGTAGGCTGATAGTAGACTGGTCTGGTGGGGTATCCGTGGCGGTCTTGGCATCATACAAATGCCGTCGTGTGCCGTAGGAGGTCATGCCTTTTTGGCTGGCAAGCTTATTCGTGCCCATCTAAAGATAGAGTGGATAAAAATAAGAAAAGTTTACATCATAGATACAAGTTCAAGAGGAAACCGTTTATCTGATTTTGTTTTTATCATGAAGTATATCTTCCTAATGATAGCAAAGTTGTAAAGTAAGTAGTGGGTGAAAGAGGATTGTATTTGTGCAGTCTGACCTGAAGGCCTATGATGTTACGTCCTTCCCTGAGCTTCTCTGGAGCAAAGCGGCGCTGCTGTTTCTCAGCGTACTTCACGCCTAAATCGTACTTGGAGTGGAATCCTTTGGACTTGGCCTGAGGGGAGGGAAGGAAAAATGACGGTAATATGATGGTAAAAGAGTCTCTTTCATACCCGAACCCTTTATTTTAAACAAAATACTTGAGTTGCCAAATGTGGTGGCAGTTTAGAGAACTTGAGTAGTTGAGCTTATGGCTGCAACATGTGATTTATAAACATAGTAAAGTGATCAACATCATTGTTGGTGCTTGTGGTATTTTTATTTGTCCGCTTACCATCCCAGCCAGGGCAATGAGTGTGGACTGGACTTGAGTGTGGTTGACGTTCTCAAACAGATCATTGGCCTCGAAGATGTCATGTGGCTTCAGGCCGTACTCTGTGATGGCACGAACAAAATTACCGATGTTTTCCAGCTGAGGGGAGAAGTAGACAGAAAGGAACAATATCAATACAGCAGCTATTTTATAGACTGTAAATCAGCTCTGTGGTGTCAATTACAAAACAGACATGCGAAGTTTAACATGCTCTAGGAATTAGCCAGCAGGACAAAGCTGCCTCATTACCTGGTGCCAGTTTTGAGTGGAGTTATTGATCTTTCTCACAGAGCCAGGCTGGAGAACATTAATAAGTCTACAAGGAAACAGACAAGAAATTCAAGAGTTTTCGTTTTATTTTTTAGCAAGGATATAAAAAAAAAATGTTGATACAAAATTCCTCTCAGTGTTGATCCACTCACTCGCACAACACTACTCCATCCTTCAGACTCTCCATGAACCTGTCCCCGATCCTTTTCCCGGTCACGTCCTCGATCCACAGCCTGAGCTCTTCTTCTTTCTGGGGATCGTACTTCCCTGCAAGCTGATGAGGGGTCAGAGAGGTCAATGTACTCTTTCTTTAGCTGATCAAAGTGAAATGACCAAGTCAGGTTTATTGAGGAAATTTATGGTTGATAGGAAAATAAATCTTCAGAGTGACAAACTTTGATAGTGAGAACAAACTGAAACAGTAATTTGAGAGGTAACTCTTCCAAATGTCAAAAAAGGTAATCAAGGCAACTAAGGCTACGTTCATACTGCAGGTTATGATGCACAATCCAGATTTTTTTGTTAAATCTGATCTTTTTGTGTGGTGGTTCACATTACAACAACGAATGCGGCATCTAATGTGAACGGGATGCGTCCATGAAGTGACCCGCATGCGCACAAAGCACAATTGCTTCCCGCGCCTGTTTGTGTTGTCGAACAATGGTGACGTTTGTCGCATATTGATGACGTATAGGTCGGATGAACGCGACCTGAGCGTCCACACTGCAGTCACATCGGATACATATCGGATTTATATCCACATACAAAAGAGGCCTGGGTCGGATTTGTAAAAATCAGATTTGCACTGTTCGCACTTACATGAAAAAATCAGATATGTGTCACATATGGTTAAAAAATCGGAATTGACCTGCAGTGTGAACATAGCCTAAAATAAGTTCAAGGAGTGATACTGTTTTGATTAACAGATGGTTGTGTTTGCTAATTTTGGTCATGAGACTAAGCATTTTAATGTCTGTCTGTACCAAAACCAGCTTTAACCTCCTCACAATCAATCAATCTTTATTTATTTAGCGCAAATTCACAAGTATTATTCCAAGACACTTGACAAAAAGATAGTCTAGACATAACTCTATTTACAAGAACCAACATGAAGTTGGGGTAAGATTGAGCCCCACTCCCATCCCATCTTCAACCACAGAAGTTTGCACTGTGCAGCATTAGTTAAATCACAGTAGAGAGGAAAAGCTTCCTTTGACAGGCAGAAACCTTGAGCAGAACCAGACTCATGATAGACAGTCATCTGCCGCCATTGCATCTCTGAATCTTTGTAGATTCCCCTGACTGAAACATGTTAGCTGGTTCTGACTGCAGGGGAAAGTTGATATTCCTGAAAGACAAAGCCCGACTTAAACCAAAGTAAATATTTATTAACTTGGATTCATATGATGTTCCCCCATATTTGTTTCGCAATACAAATGCACCTGACCTACATAGCCAAAATAACACTCCACGTAACAGTAAGAAGATGCTGACTTGGACTGAAGAACTGAAAGTGAGCCAAAATATTTACACATTTACTCTGTTATTCTCAAGGGATTACCCCCTTAGGCAATATATAAACATAGTCCATCCATTTAGGTAATAAGTACCAGTATACAAACTATATTTCATACAATATACACGTCTGTACTTTATTTTGATCCTATTCTGTCCTGCCTAAACTGAGGTCATCAGTTACACCAATAACCTTGAATTCGCTGCTTCTTTTTTTCATAACCGTTCGGTCTTAGAAAGTCTTCCTGTACAATAAAAAAAAAGAATTTAGATGAGGGCTATGAGAAGCACAGGAAGAGCATTTGAAATCAAAAAAGCCCATTGACATTCCTGCATGCAGAAATACACTTGGCCTCTCTCTTCTCTTCATGTATTTCCTTATTGGCACAAACACATTGCCCCTAATACTTTGAATTCCGGCATGGGGTTTAAGGCTGCTCCCCCCTTCCCCTGCTCACATACACACACACACACACACACCCAACCCTTTTTCCTGAATGTTCTACAGATAAGTCTTCACAGTCTAGGATCAGCAGCCAATACAAACACGTATTTCAAAGCAGCAGGGATAGCGTAGCTCCCAGTCCATCACACCAAACTTGGGAGAAACAGCTCTCAAAGACACTCCTCCCTCTGTCTGCCCTGCTCCCCTTCATTCATTGGTCTGGCTCATATTTCTTACTTACTCTCTTTGCCCCTCTTCCTCTGATTTTCCAGAATCTGCCCTTTTACAGCGAGTAGACAACTCAGGCAAAACTTGTCTGATAAAGACAGGCCAAGATCGGCAGGTCCTGCTCTCAGTCGACGTAGTTAAGCTCAGAGGTGAAGAGTTATGTTCATTTTTTTCACTGCAGAGCTCAGAGCTACAGTCTGAGCTCATCATATACCGAGCTCGTGAAGGAAGAGTTGATCTTTTATGAAGAATGAAGGTTAAAGTGTCAGTAAGACTTTTCGAAACGGTGTGAAATGGGCAGCGATGAAGGAAAAATTTAGTACGTACTTAATCAAAATTTAGGGTATGTAACAGTCACTGTGTCCACAACTGGTATCAAATGTCAATAAGCTCCAATTAATGGGCCAAAATGAGCTGTTATTATCCACCTGCAGCTGCTGGTTATTGTGGACATGAAACGACTACCGTAGAAAAACTCTTGAGTGGGCTGACTCATAGCACAGTTTACTACTAGAACACAGAAATGTTAGTGTTATTTCTTCTTTGAATGGTTACATAACAGAAGTATCAGGGGACACTTTTCGTTAAATGGCAGGATATCTGCAAATGGTGAAAGCCCATGACTGATGTCTTGTCAGATATCTCATTCTCATACTGATGAATCAACATGAGCAGCACGTCAGATGAAGTTGGAGCTTCATCTCGCTGAGTGGCAACGATAAAGAATATAAAAACACTTTATTTGTGACACAAACCCATTATGGTTTGGCCTTTTCTAAATGATCACAGCTTAGTGTTAGGCTAAAACATTGAATTATTTCACCTACTTTGGCCTCCAGTTAAAAGAAAACCATCAATATAAAAAGTTTGAGTTATTTTTAAAAGGGCTGTTTCCATTTAAGGAAAACCTTTTGTCATAAACCTGTTTATTTTGTTTACTTAGTCTATGAATCATTGATTATGTACTCTATTTCTGCTCATCAGGAAGTCAGGAAAATTAACCCTGAGCGAGTGGGCACATGTGACTGAACCACTTTTCTGCTTCCCAGTTTGTTTTAATTCAGAGAAACTGTCAATATGTCCAATTACACGTTCTATTAATAAAGAGGAAAAATCAGTCATCACAGTGTTGTAGTCTGCTCTGTCTCATCTTGCAGATATTTAAACATTGCACAGTTTTGTCTACTAAGTGTCCTCTTTACATCATGTCCTGTCTCCTGGGAACACCCACCCTCCACCACCACCCAAAGAAACTGGCTGAAATCTAGCAACAGTCTCAGGATAGAGCTAACAGAGTGTGACAGCAGCATAAGTGGAGAAGTCAAGCTTCAACTGACCAAGTAAAATCATTAAATGTTAGACAGAAACAGTTGTGTAATCTACATGTCAGACCAGACTAAGAGTGGCAATGTCATTACATGTCATCTCAGTTTCCTATCGAGCATTGTGGTCCATAATCAATAAAAATTGATTGATTGCCAGAATTGTTTCGTACTAAAACAAAGAAAACTTTTTTAAGTGTCTTCATTGAGGATGACGTACAACTACTATGTGAGCTGCAGGCTCGGCTTTGTCTGCGCCATCCATCTTCCCCTCCACCTGTGTTCCCTCAGGACTCTGTTTTATCCTCTGTGACTCTGATGTAAACTGTTTAGAGCGAGGACACTTTCTCAAATTCTAACTCAGAGCCTGCTCCCCCCTTAAAAGGCCATTGGACAATGCTCTCATACCTGTCAGTCTATGAGCTGCATCTCTGCTGCTGGAACATAACCACGAAGCCCTTTGGCTCAAATGAAAAATCTTATTTTTACTCCACAGGAAATATACGCTGCTCTTGTATACATAATCGACAATGAAAAGCTCCAGGAATGGCAGAAAAATAACAGCCTGACTACACTGATCACTTCAACCTTTAGTAGAGCTCCAGCTGACTGCTGAGTGGTAGCAATGGCAGGAATGTAGGTGTCATGGACTGCAGTGCACCTCAGTGTGAGATCAGAAGCAGCATCCCTCTAGGACCATGATGATGATGATGATGATGATGATCTGGGAACAATCACAGCCTGACCTTTCTGACTGTCAGCAGCTCTGACTCATCCCACTACACACTGTCACTACTGTCATGAGAAAAGAGGGGAAAAAACCATGGCCTAAACTCTTTTCACAACTACTGTAACAACACATCCTAACAGGACGGTGACAACCTAAATGCTTGGAAATACCAAGTCACAACAAATCACTTGGTTCACTAATCACTGTCTTGCACCATGCTGTGAAATGTCGCTGTGTACAGTGACTTTTTTATGCATCTGTACTTTAATGTACTCAATCTATTAATAGTAAAAGTAGCATTACAGTAGGACCCTATAGCTCTTCACTGGAGGTTATTTCTGCAGATGAACTAATCATCCAAATATTTATAGTGGAATATCAAGTAGGTGAGGGCCAACTCGACTCCTGCCAACACTGAAAATAGTTCACAGATCATTATGTCCTAAATTTTAATTAACCAAAACTAACAAAGACAATAAAAACAGGAAAAGTATTTCTCAAAGTTAATTTTTTTCACTGATCTAAACCTTCGAAATCACTTGTGACTCTTATTGACATCAATTCTGAATCACGACTTCTGTATTGTTGGACATCATTAAAGTTAGAATGAGTTGATATTTACAAAAAACATCTGTTTTAGATTTAAGTGAATCAGGTATTAGTCATTTTAATTTTACATGAGCAAAAGAAATACATCATTACTATAAATAAATGTTTATTGAGCGATTTTTGTTCATTCCTTCATCCTTTAACATTTTAAACTGCATGAAATCTACAAAGACAAACACAGTATATGCAGTAGTACTGAAATTTGGCATCAGACAGACTCAATTTCAACTTTATTCAGGTACCAACCAGCATGACCAAGTTTTTTTTTCTTCCCAGCAAGACCCCAAACTTTATCCATAAAAGGAAATATATGTAACATTTCAACAACTGTTGACTGTGGCACCAACTAAAAAGGATCCCGTTCAAAGGAAGTTATTTGTTTTGATTATAAAGTAGTTAAAATATTCCCAGAGGACCAAGTGGGTGTGTTTACAGCACATGACAGGACGCTAGCTATCCTGCTGTGACCCTTGACCTCCCGTAAGGAATCAATACTGCAGCTACAGATTCACCTCAAACATCATGCATTTGTCAACATACCTTACTTTTGACCTCGGCAGACAGTCCGAAGGCCGGGCCGCTCCTGAAATGCGTTGACATCCTGCTGTTGAGTCAGTTTGCAGAGGTGCTGAGGAGGGCTTTAAAGAAGGAGAAGGAGATTACAGCTCGAGGCAGGGGGGAAATACAATAAAGGTTCCCGGCAAGTCCGCGGGTGAATTTCTGTCAACTAGTCTCAGTCGCACTCAGAGCTGATAGTTGGGTTTTCAGACAGCCTCCCAACACTAGTCTGAATCTTTTTTAAACTCTTCCCATGTGTGTGCGCTCTGATTGGCCGGAGCCGCTGTCCAATCAGGGAGCAGCCTCTCGGTGAAGCGGAGTGATGTCATCGCTCGGGTATTAGATTTAATCAGTGTCACTTTTTCCACATTCAGGCAAGTCCGAGTTTTTTTTTTTCTCTACAGTTATGTCATTGTCATGTTCAGCTGAATTTAGATTATCAGTCATGGTCTCGAAACAGAGACCCATGTCTAATCTGAACACTAAAAAATACCTACTGTAATAAAACAGCTGAAAATAAAATTCAAATTTAACTTTTATTTGTGTGGCACTTTTCAGTAAAAAGATGTAGTTCAAAGTGCCTCACACACACCCACACATAGACACACAAGCACACACAATGTGAGAATTTAAGATATATTGTGAACCTTCCTCTTGTGCTAGCTTTTACTACACTCTCATCATGTGAAGGGTCAGTTTTGACCCATGTCTTACATCATCTGTAAATTACACTAAATTCACAATTAATAAAAGAATTACACAATTCTCTATCATCCAATTTGGTTCTCATCTTTAGGTTACCTTATTAGGCTTCATTATCCATGAAAATATAATATAATAATAATTGCTTATAATATTTTTTAGTGTTGTGTCCTTCGCGAACGATTCCTTCAAAAGAACCAAATCTTTTTAGTGAACGTACTGAACAGATCACTTCCTCGAGTAGGTAACAGCATTGCCAGGCCAGCAGCCGGCGAACGAGGGACCACATGCACCGACGCCTGAATCACTTGGTGAACGAATCACACATTGAACTACACTCTCTGGAATCATTTTTTGTTTTTTGTCCAACATTTTTTGTTGGACAAAACTTTTTTTCTTTTTTTTTACTGCTTAATTGCCACCACAACAACTTGCTTACAATAGGACACAGAATATAACAAGTAGTGCATTAAACCCGCAGCATCCTATCATTGCAGCGGTTTGCGAGGGAACGGTGCATGTTCAGTGTGAATTCTTCTGCGGGCAAATGAACATTTGCAATAAGAGAAATATAAAAAGGCAATTATTGAAAAGCCTGGTTAAAAAGGGGAGTTTTGAGCCTCCTCTTAAAAACATCAACAGTCTAAAATACTTTAATCGTTAGTTTTATTGCTATTATTATTAATATTTCTATAAAAAGTAGTAGTAGGGTTAGATAGATGCAATTTTTTTTTTAACCTTTTGACTGTAAAAACTTTAAATACCAAGTGCAGTATTTTACCGTAAAAGCCATACAGACCATCAACTTAGTATTATTATTTTTTTAATAACTATGAAATAATTATGTTGAATTAGTTTTAATTCAGAAACACAACAGAGACATTTTCAGTGAATACACACTGTGGTGTGACTAATACATCAAATCTGACATAACTGACAAGTGTAGCCCATCAAAAGCACTTGTCATCCCTGTGGGATTCACATGATTTCCCTGGTTTACTCCAGTGTGTTACTTCACTTTCCTCCCAAGGGCAGGCAGACGACAGAGAGAGGAATGCAGCAAATTCATGGAGCCTGTGTGCAGCAACAGTCAGAGGGGGACAGAGAAGGCAGCTCTCTGGACAATACACATAACTCATCCCCTGCCCCCTCTTTATGTGTGTGAGTGTGTGTGTGTGTACCAGATATATGTTAGGCATGCTAATGGAGAGGAACATCCTGGAAAGGCCGGGGATGGATGAAAGGAACTGTGGTGTGCGGCTGGTGGTGAGACACAATGAAAGAGTGCACATAAGCTCTGGATATACACTGTTAATGTGGGGCGGTATAATGAGCTCAGGACAGTCAGTGAAGTATTTATACACACAAAGCTGAAAGTAATTAGTCTACAGAAATGGTCTGTATGAGGGACCACAAAATCATGCAGAACATTGCTGTGATGTTTTACCGGCAAAGGCCTAAACATAAATCACTTTCAGCAAAATTATGAAAAGTTCAAAAACAAAAAACAACTTAGTCTGTCAGGAAATCACTGAGGTTATACTTGAACACAGGGTGATGATTATCAGGGGCATAAAGACACCAAGGTTGTATCGCTATATTCAACAAAATCTGAATTTCTTTCTGAATTTGTAGGGTTCACATCTTATTTAGTCTTCAGCACAGACAAGATCAATATTATAGATGGCTTTGATATCTATGTGGATGATAAAAAAAATAATAGTCTCAGCGTAGTTTTTACATCCTTGTTGAACAGTAGTCCCTCTCAGGTTGATCAAATCATCGAGGATGCTTCTGATAATTCTGATTCAAACAAAAGACGTAGATGTCAGATGGTATAATGCTGAAACCTGTGCGCTAAAACAAACATCTGGAAAACTTAAAAGGATATGGTGCTCCACTACATCAACTGCAGCTAATTTACTCTGGAAATTATCATGGAAACATCCGCAAAGCCTAATGTTTACTTACATTGTTTTTTACAGACCTCCCTGAAGTGAACTCAACTGTTTCAAACCTCCAATTTGTCTCTTAGACCCAATTCCTACCAAAACTGCTGAAAGATATCCCCCTTAATCAGCTCTTCTTTACTCAGCATGATCAATAAGTCTTTAGTGACAGGATATGTCCCACAGTCTCTTAAACCTCTTTTAAAAAAACCTAACCTAGCTTCAGGCGCTTCGGCTAACAACAGGCCGATATCAAACCTTCACTTTATTTCGGAATTACTTGACAGAGTAGTCGCTAATCAGCTCTGTGACTTCCTCAATAGCAACAGTTTATTAAAGGTTTTAAGTCAGGATTTATAGTCCACCATAACACTGACACTGCACTACTGAAGGGGACTAATGACCTACTGATGGCCGTGGACAGTGGTCTTCTGTCAGGACTTGCTTCATCAGATCTTAGATAATCAGATCCTGTTCCAGAGGCTTGAATAACAAATGTGTATTACTTGAACTGCTGTAGCTTTATTTTGATCATATTTCTCAGATTTGTATCAGTTTGTGTAAATTAATGAAAATTCTTCAGTGCATACCAAGGTCAGTCATGGGGTTCCACAGGGTTCAGTGCTAGGACCAATTCTTTTCACCCTATCAGGAAGCACTACATATATTCCCCCCACAATGCTGATGACACTCACTTATACCTACAATTGAAGCAAGGAGAAACCAATAGATTCACTCACTTTGAGCATGTTTGAAAGACTTAAAGACCTGGATGACCAGAAACTATACCTACTCAATAAAGAGAGCACATTTCCCCCTGTGCTAGCTCCTCTACACTGGAGTGGCTCCCATTAAATCAAGAGTAGAATTGAAAATACTTCTTCTCTCCTACAAAGCTCTTCATGGTCAGGCATCATCATATCATAAGAGCTCATAGTTCCCTATTACCCCAAGAGAGCATTGCAGTCCCATTATGCAGGCCTGCTCATCATACAAAGTCTCTAGAAGTGGTCTGGGTGGAAGAGATTTCAGTAATCAGGCCCCTCTCTGGAATCATGAGGTCTGGGGGCAAACATCCTCTTTACCTTTAGGAGTAGGCTTAAAACTTTCCTCTTGATAAAGCTTGTAGATACTGCTGGTTGATGCTTAGGCCAGCTCTTAGTTATGCTAGGCTGCTGAGTATATGAGCAGATTGAGCACCTTTCTCTATTTCTCCACCTTCTTTCTGTCTGTATAATCAGCTTTGAATCATTAGTCCTATTGGAGTCACTAACACACAGTCTTTTCTGGGAGTCCCTGAGCTCCACCATGCCATAGGTTTGTCTGGATCACTGTCTGCTCTTTAGCTGCTTCAACCACATGCACCAGTCTCACCTCTGTCCATCTCTCTCTTTCTGCATTTCCCTCTATTCCCCTCTCTAAACCCAGCGCGGTCTCAACAGATGACAGTCTGACATCTGTCTGGTTCTGCTCAAAGCTTCTTAAACATCATTTTCAGTCTGCAAATGGACATTGAACCAGCATACAACCAGAGTAAAAGGCTAAATCCAACTTGAAATTAAAATGAGAATATTGTCATAGATAGTAGAAACGAACATTACATCCATTAAATATTAAGATTTAACTTTTTAAAGACCTAAAAAGACGAACACATTGTTTGTTTGTTCGCTGTTTTGCTGCATTTTGACTCACGGCTCCTTTATTTCTGACAGTGGTCCTGATGAGCTCATCGGATAACTTCATGGACAAATTCAAACAATAATAAAGAACACAGAGACATCATAACACACATTAAATTTGCACTTTCCTTCTCTCTCTCTCTCTCTGCCTCCCCCCCAAACACACACACAAAGTGTGGGTCTTATAAACATTTCACAGAGAGACACATGGAATTTGGACACTTTATTTGGGCATGATGCGAAAAGGGAAGGGCTGGAGGCGACCGGGAGAAGGAAAGAGATGTAATGTCTTCAGAAAGAGGAATCCCTCACTCTAAAAATAACAGACTACAGTCAGATATTTACAGTGCAGCGAGCTGTGATGCTCTCGTTGGCTCGTGTTCGTATGACATTTCAACTAACGGGCGGCTTCTGAGCGCATTTATTGTTTCATGTGAAAGGAAGCTGACGAGATTCCTCATCGAAGGCGTCATGAAATTTAGCACAGTATTGATGATAAATCGAGGTGTGAGTTTCTTTAATACATATCAGCATAAAACTAAAAAAGGATCTTTATAATAGATATCAGTTATTAATATATTTGCTGCTTTTCAACATACCTTTACTCTGCATTTTATTGTGAGAGGGCTTTATGGAGTTGGAGCAGAAACCGTTTTGTGTGCCAACACTGAGGGAGAAAGTCTGAATGAATGAGCTCTCTAATTGCAATATTTTAACTCTAAATAGCTCTCGGTGTGTATGTTTCAGGAGGAGTTCAGATGGCACTATCATTATGAATCCATTAATACAAACAAAAGCGCTATTAACGATTTGATGGGGCTGAAAAATACAGTTTCCACAAAGTAGTGAAGGGTATATATCAGCTTGAAAGAAATCCCGGATGGCAGGAGAGCTTCTGGGTGAATATAGAGACTTGTGTTGCCTCTGAGGTATAAGGGCTCAAGAAAGTCCTGAGTCATAAAATTTGACAGTGTGCAGACAGACTGTTTCAAGACTTAAACCCTTAAGGAAGAAAGATGCAAAGAGACAGAGAGCAAAAAAAGGAGAGGCGATGGGGAGTGAGATTAGTAAAGTTTTAGAAACTCTGAAGGACATTTCTACATTAAGCTGTCTCTCCTTCCACACACTGACCTCGCTCTCTCCCTCTCTCTCCACTCTGCTTGGCTATTTATGGTAGAAGTCCTCGAGATCCTACGCAGCCCAGACAGGAGTTCTTAAGGCTGAGTTCATGGCATTATAATTCCAACCTGCAGCTTCAGTGGGACAGGAAGCTTCAAACAAACCTGGATTTATTGAACAAAACACAAGCTTCAGTGCAGGCGTGTTCAATCAACAGTTGGTGCGTTTGCCTTTCAATCGATCGATCAAGCTTTTTTTTGTGTGTGTAGCACCTCTCATACAAATCTTTACTTCTCTTTGAGGTCCAAACTTATCCAGAGTTTCAGAGAGGATATTTCTTCAAACTGAATTAATACACAGTTGTAGCTCCTGTGAGTCCATTTTGCCACCCGTGTCTTTCCTCGTTTTGTCTTTGACGTGGTTAAAGCTCTTACAGACAGCGATAGTTCCAGGTATTAAAGATTTCAATATAAAAATCTTGTTTCTGATGTTCTTTGTTTTCTTGTAAAAACCATAAAAAGGAATCAATCTGAATTTAAGTCTATTTCCTAAATGTCAAAAACTCCTCACAGGAACTTCAATTTCAAGTTCTCATCACTTCGTCTTTCACTGACTCTACTTTTGCTTTTATTTGTTGCATTTCAGTTCAAAACTTTTTGTGAGTAAGCTGAACGCTCAACAAATTCTCTACTATACACTTCAGTATTTTAAAACAACATAAAGTGTTCTTACCACTTACACATGAACTCGTAATCTGGGCAATGCTTCAACTTTGATTGACACTTGAAGTTTTCTTAGATCTCAGGTCGAAGGTTGAACCACTTTTCCCTCTGGGCGTACTTCAGCAAACGTTGTTTTTCACTTTATACCATTTGACCGTTGATGATTTGCTCTCAAGACCTCTACTTCTGATCCTTCAGCTCAGTCAGACACTTGGATTTTGAGTGACATTTCTTAGCTTTTCAGGGCTGAAACTTAAACTGATATTTCAACTTTACTCAGCGATACAACACAAACCAAAACTTCATCTTTTGAGTTTCTTCCCATTTGAATGCATTGTAATATTTTAACTCTAACATTTTTTTAGAAAGCACGTTTTATTTTTTCTTATAAGGGCTGATTCAAAAGTGTTAAATTAACCTTATCTTACTCCCTTCTGCCTCTGAACGGTGGAAATACACCTTTAAATGGGAAGTGTGAATACTTAGGTTCTGTTGACATATCTTAATCTTGGCCCTGACTCACAGATTTAGACAGGTTCATGACATTTTTGAGTGAGGTAGGTGTTTAAGGTCAGTAGCACTTGATGACAAGCCAGTTAAAAGTTATTTCAACCAATGGAGATAGTCTACATAGTAAAATCAGCTCCGTATATAGCCTCAAAGAAGTCTGGAATGATTATTTTACATTGTGTGTTTCTTTCCCAAAGGCTGGGAAGGGTCCTCAGCACAGATTCCTCCAAAAATATGTCCATCTTTTTTAATTATTAGAAGTCAATGCAGGGACATGCTTGTGCTTACAAGGAATAAACCAACAATTCAGTGTCAGAGGTTTTGACGTATATCCAGACGTGGATTCATCACTGACTGAAAGTTAACACTTGTGGGGGATGTTTTTTTCAGCAGAAGCACTGGTGTGTCCGGTACTTTTCTTTTACAGTCACTGTGTTGAGTGACGACAGATGACGTGTTATTGTAACATGCAGGTGTGTTTCTGTGTGTGTGTGGACGACATGCAGGTGATGATGTTCATCCTGTGCCTGAGTGAAGTTGGAACAGCAAGTCCGCTCTACGACTGTGTGCTGCAGTAGCAGGAGAAGAAAATTTTCATTGAGTCTCTGTTACGTGACCATGTTTGGTAAAGCTCTACAGGCACAGTCTCTGACCAAGCCCCTTGACCGATTGTTGTAACTAACACGCACACACACAGACATACACACACATACAGGTTTTAAAACAGACCTTCACCCCCCCCTACCCCAACCCCCAGTTTAGTCTTTCACTCCACTCCCCTCCCTCATATTTCTCTTTCATCTATTTCTCCTTCTATTGGGGGAAACCTTGATAATTTACAGGCCATTTCAGGATGTTAACAACCAGTAGCTGGTCTTGGCTTACCCTCGTGGTACCATCATCGAACAGATGTTTGGATCAGTTCCGTTTGGTTCCGTTTCTGTGTTTGACACATATTTCTGAAGATAATTTCCATGCTGACATCTAGGGCTGCACACAGAGAGTTGAATCAGATTTGGCTGACACTCTGGACTCCAGACTAAATTACCTCATTAATCTTTTGTCTTATTTTCAAGGCGTGTGTCAGATGTCTGTCAGGTAGAAATCCATTTCCTGCCAGACACTTTGAAAGTGTGTATTAAGTCACATCACGGATCCTTCTGATTTTCTATGGATGCCTGTTTTCAACATGAAACTGCTTCATTTTGTGTTTTCAAGAAACTTACAGCAATTGAGGAGAGTTAGGTGACATTATTTTGAACCCTAAAGAGCTATTATGCTTAACTCATGGTTTCTGTGTCTTCCCCAGCCATGTGGCGTACCTCAAGGTTCTATTCTTGGGCCCATACTGTTTGCACTTGACCTTCCTCCCCTGGGTTTGATTTTTAAAAACATAATGTCTTGTACTACCTATATGCAGAAAACACACAAATCTACCTAAACCCTGATTGGATCAGTTTTTGGATTTTTAATGAAAATGAGACAGAGATCATTGTGCCTGGACCTGGTGCTTCCTGCAAAGTCATGTCAAACGCACAGTTACTAATCTTGGTTTTTTAATGGACAAACAAGCGCTTCATGTTGGTGTTAGTCAGGCCTCACTGTCACAGCTACAATTAGTCCAAAACTTAAGCCGCTCATCTCTTAACTGGAACGAAAAGGCAAGAGCGCAGCGCCCATATCCTTGCTTAACTCCTCTGGCTTCCCGTTTGTTTTCAGATTAATTTTAAGATTTTATTGTTTGTTTGGAAATCTTAAAATCTACACTCCCTCCAGGTCTCTGCTTTACTTTTGTTCCTTCAACCCAGCATGAGCGTTTTGTGGTCTTTATGGTTTCATGTTGGATTTGTCTTATTGTACATGTTAAACAGGCTTTTTGTGTTTTGTGTTTTTTTATTTTATTATTTCAGCTTTTTATTTTACTGTGCAGCACTTTGGTAAACATTATTGTTTGTTAAAATGTGCCATATAAATAAAGTAGATTGGACTGGATCGGATATATAAAGTCTACTGTGTGCCATGCTGGTCCTAAATTGCTGTGTGCAATGGTACTGCTTAAAGAAGACAAATTTTGGAGTCAGCTAATGGTCACTTGAGTTCAGAAGCAAATGAATGTGTTAAGTGTACAAACACATAAAAAGAAGAAGAAAATATTTCTCAATTTAGTAAAATAAAAAAAGAAAGACTCAATCATTTTTCATGTCTTCAATTTTTATTGAAGAGCAACGCTTTCAAGTAAGTCTCAGCTTTCTGCACTACAATTACATGATCATTAGTAGTGGTCATCGTTGACAACAACAATCCAAGTCACAAGGTAACGCTCAGACGAGGATCCTAAAGCCTGTGTGTAGTGTAGGCTGTTTCACATTAAAATCTCCAGGAACAAAGATAGATCAGAACAAGAAATTGCATTGCATTAAAAGACAAATAAAAGTAGAAAAAAAAAGGAGGGATGAACGAAAGCCAAACTGGCAAGCCATTCAAAGTAAAGAGAAAAGAGCTGGCAAGGTATCTGATTATCAGCCTGTCTCCAATTATTCCAGTAATTCTTTAACATTGTACAAATGTTCAATCCGTTTTTCATCGTACAACTAGGATTAAACTTGAAATCAAGTATTTGAGAGGAACAAAACATCAGGTGGCTAAGAACCCCGTGTAACCTTGAGAAATCATGCACGATATATACTCGAGTACCACACTCTGGTGCAGCTTTGTTCCAATGTACCTAAGAAAGAAGACATCCCAAGATCCGAATCAAGCACGATCAAAACTGAAGGTAATTAGCCCAGTGCACATCAGTTTTAACACTTGATTACAGATAAATATAAACCTGTAAATACCTTTGTGATATATATTAAAATATCTTCATTATCTAACATAATGAACATTGGCCACCCCAAAGACAAAGGCAATGTGGTTGTTCCTACCTGATTCAATACAGGTCATGGCCTTACGATAGCAGCCTTAGTAGGTTCCTCAATCATCAATTCATTCTGTCCATTTGATTTTCAAACAGCCACAGCGTGCAAGATTCTGCACAAAAATCAGGTCTTGAAATAAATTCTGTAGAAAACCCTGACAGATACAAAATCTTTCAGCTCTTCAAATCCACCGACAACCGCGCAACATAACCTCAAATCTCCTCCGAGAGCAGAGGTTGTTGCTACAGCGAGTGTACCAGCATCTCCGCTCAGACGATCTCACACAGTGCATCCTACGGGTAATCACAGAGTCATCATAACTGAACTACATGAACGCTTTTTCCAGCAAACTATTCACAGCTTCGCAAGAGAGAAATGAGATACTAGCCTTCCCATCGACTACCTGTGTGCCTTCAAAGGGCTGATATCAAAAGTAGAGTTTGATTTCTTTTCTGATCACCTTTGACACCTTTGTGAGCTCATCTTAATGCCACTTAATATCCCATCATAACATTCATAGAGACATACCCCTGTATTCATTCAGGAGAGCACAAAATTCAACACAAAATAGGCTCCCCAAGAGGGATTAGCTTTGGATTATAATACTTGGCCGGATCAATTATTGTGCAGGCAAATTAGAAAAATATATACAGAGTATACATGTAGAATACAGGAGATAATCACTGGATATTACATTATAAAGATCATGCTTATCCAAAATCTGGCTGAATCACATCCACTATTTGTGTAAAGGCACAAGATATGTAGCCCCTCCTCTGTGGTGACAGACAGAAATACAGGAGATCGCTGAGTTATTGCTCCACAGGGAGTGTGCTTTAGAGTTCCACAGTGAAAACACCACCAGACTTTCTCAGGCTATTATAACCGGCTATACAACGACAGTTAACAAAGACCGGGAGGAGACCTGTACTGATATTTACATGACCATCAAACATCTCGGAAGTTGCTGCATGTGTAAAAAGGTTGTAAAAGTCAGGCCCTTCCTCCAGCTCAGAAAGGAGCTGTGTGACCTGTGGGTAAACCCCCCACCCGGACACTGCAGCTGAGTGTGAAGAGTTTCAGAGGAACATTTCAGGTTGTAGAGCTAGAGTTGCTACATTAGCTGATACCAGTGTAACACACTCTGTTATCAACTGAACGGTCAGGAGTTGGATCATGAGTAGGTAATGTAAGATGTAAAAAATAAAGCCAAAAGCCTTTAGTGTGTTTCCATCTGAGGAGAAGAATTTGAGCTTGGATTAAAGCTACAGTGGGCAATTTTAGTGGGCATCTGCCATATTACCTGCCTGTCGACCTACATAACTGAGGCGATGTGTTTGTGGAGTCGGCTTTAAGCAAATAAAAGTAATATTTCATTCAACAGACGCTAGAGTGTTTAAATACGAACTCTTCACATTGACATGGATGGAAACTTTGATTGCGATGTTGTAGGATTATAACGCTAAACCTTCGAACTAAGTTAGCTCCTTCTTTCTACATTTCTTGTTTGACAGACGCCAAAACCTGAAACGTCATCTTGTATCTCTGTCTGTCAGGATATCTGCCGAGTGTTTGCTGACAGTGTACCGACCCACTGGATGAACTTGCGTGAAATTTGCGTAACTGTGTAATGTCAACCGGCGGACGAGTGGATGTAGTAATGTTAAGCGAGTTCTCCGTACTGTGTGTGTGTGCAGAGGGCGTCTGCGTAGCTACTGTATGTAAATATACTGTACAGACATGCAGAGAGAGAGGAGAAAGAAATAAAGACATGCACTCAGTAAGCTCTGAGAGGAAACAAAAACTAACTGCTTTGGAAGACTAATCCCCGTTAAGCATTACATTAATGCAATAAGTATTTAGATGCCATTCATCTAATTTTACTATTCACAGAAGTGTCAATCATAACATGCTCTTTGTGATAGTATAGATCATAAAGAAACTTAAAACATGCAGACTGCCACATTGCTTTTGACAGTGAGAGCCTTTCCTTCTCACGTGTCGGTACATCCAAATTCAGTTCTTGGTTACAAACGTCGTATTGCTAGCACTCCTATTGCTGTCATTCTGCAAAAAGAAGAGCACCGTGTTGGGGGTTTAAGAAAGGGCACCAAATCATAAAGTTGGAGAGTTCGTGAGGAAAAGGGAGCAGAAGATGTTCATGCAGATAGAGTTTGCGTTAACTTTGTAATACTCCATTACCCGATTAGTTCGCAGGAGCCGGTGATGAAAGAGGAGCTAGTATCAACTGTGAAAGCCTGCAGGGTCGTCGTACTCAGTGAGAGAAATGAAGCGGCTCTGATTCGCTGCCTGTGAAATCGCACAGGAGAATGTTTTGAAGGCTAAAACAAATCTTTACAGAAAAAAAAACAACAACGATTTCTCAAGAATGGACTGAGAGAGAGAGTCTGCGTAAGACGGTGGAGAGGTAGAACAAAATTCAGGCTGAACGGCGGTACCCGACTCAGTGAGGCAGAGGGTTACCGTGAATCTGATCGAAATGGTACAGAGTTTGTGGATTCTTGGAGCTGTGTGAAAACAAGATGACAAAGAAAAGAAAAATACAGCACAGTGACGCGAACACAATGAATACTGAAAAGGCAAAAAAGTGTCTCGTGAGAAGCTAAGGATGTTGGAGAGTGTCCCTCTTCCTCCTGCATGCATACTCTTTTTTTTTTTTGATAATCCAGATAGGAAGGAGGTTGGAGGGGCATGGCTGGTGATCTAGGCAGGTGCCACTTGTTACAAGGAGGCCACAGCAGGTGATATTGTCAAAGAGGCATTGAGGTGTTTTTTTGTCTCTTATGTGAGGTCCGATGAGTTAAGACAAGAGCCCTATAGATTCTCAAACACTGTCTGATGAGAAAGTTCTTCACTCCGTCTCCTCAAGTTTGGACGGACAATTAACAAGAGAAGAAGAGACGCCTCCAGTGGTTCAGAAGGGGAATCGGGTGTGGGGGGTGGGGTGGTGAGCTCTGATAGACTTTGTGATCCTGTTCCTCCACAATTATTGCCTCTCTGTCTTTCACAGGCACTTCAGAGGGTTGGGCTTTGGCTGAAGTTGAGCATAAGAGCAGATGAGCAAGAAATGGTGGAAAGGAAGAGAGGCGGTGACACACGGGTGGGGGTGGGGGGGGTTAAAGTGTGCTTCTGAGCTCTGCCTTGTCGTCCACAACCAAAAGCTATCGCCCATTAGATTACTTAGTCCATCAGTGAAAACACTGGCTGCAAAAGCTGGTGCTTCGGTGAGTTAAAGAGCAGTGTCCTTGTCCTGTATTTGGGCTCAGAACCCAGGGACTCCCGGCCTGGTCCACTGGTTGACACAGGGATCAAGGAGGTCTGGGTAGGGGGTTTGAAGGTCGAGGTGGAAATGCTGAGGCTACAGCAAAAGAAAGAGGGCTGTGTAATTCCTGGATGTCCTTCCTCCCTCCCTTCTTATGCCTGTGTTTACATGTCTTCTGCTTTGCACCTCTTCAGTCTGTGTGATTGTTGACATGCTTCTTGTCAGAGACGGATGCCGCCTCCGCTCTTCCTTTGCTCTTACCTCCACTCCCAGTCAGGACTTTGTAGCACCCGCGGGTTATTTTATACATCCAGACAGTGTTTAAGATATCCAGGGCAATGCAGGAGGTGATCCATGCCACCTGGGCACCCAAGCCCAGCCGCTCGAAATCGGAGGTGCCAAATGTGGCGAACACGCTGACCCAGTAAGACGGCATGACAGCGATGCGAACCAGGAAGAACACCACCGCCATTGCGACGCCGTTTAACACCACCAGCCGGTGCGAACGAGGATACTTTAATGCCTCAAAGAACCACCTTGAGGCAGAGGGAGATTAAGAAAAGTTAGAAGGATGCTGAAATCCTCCAAAAAACAAATAAGTGTAGTATCCTGACACAACAGAGATGTTTCACTTGAATTAAAGAAAAATATGAAGAAAACCATGAGACCCAAAATTATTCTTGAATGACTTTCTCAAAATGTGCAGGACGATGTTAAAGCCATATAACCCGGAACTCGCAAAGAAAATGAGCATTTTAAGCTCAGAATAAGTCATCCTAAATAGGGGAGCTTGTTACAGAAATAAAATCAGCTTTAAATTAAGAATAATCAGTCTCAAAGGGTACAAATTTCTTTGCAAAACTTGTGTGAAAGACGCTGCTGTCTTCAGGATATAACAAAACTACAACCAAATGACAAGAGTCAAAGTTACTCCAAATAATTATTGATGTAAACACTAAAATGAAACTGTAAAAACATGGTTTTTAATACAGTTGTGTAAGATGAAAGAAGAAATCAGGTTTAAGATCGTATTGATTTTTCCTGTTAAGCTGTGATCAGATTAGCTCACCTTTGGTTCACAAATGGTGTGGACAACTCTGAAATGAGACGAAAGTTGGCAAAGTAAGGAAGCACACCACGTGTCTGCAAAGACGAAACACAGAAACACATTAAAACATCAACGTAAGAGAACATCAATTATTTGGTACTGCATTTTTGAGTGATTTTAAAAAAGGTACAGTTCATATTAATAATGACACTGGAAAAAAAACATTAAAAAAAAACAAAAATGTTGTTTTTAGCAGAAGTTCCTGGCAAAAGTATCAAAAAAATTCTACTTAAAATAAAAAAGGGAAGTTTATGTCAGCAGCTCATCAACAATTAAAAGGTAGCTTACTGTACATCATTAATAATTTTGCCATTAAAAGAAAATAAAATATAAAAGCTCATACTCACCAGCACATATCCGTATGCATAGAGCGCCGCCAAGTGGTGACATACGAAAAAGCTATCCCCCATGGTGCTCCAATTACATGCAAGCAGCACAAGGTCTAGAGGACAGGGGGACAGGCTGGTCAGAGATCCGGCAAACTGATACGCCTGTTAAACAGCTAGGACAGTTATGTACACAAGTGCCTTTGAAAGCAAAGAGCAGCAAACACAGCAGCACTCAAACACTCTGAGGATATTTGCAGAGGCCAGTTCGGGGTCATTTTAAAGCTGTAATCATGAACTTCGAGAGTTTCCAAAGTTTCCAAACTACAACAGTCTAGGTTAAACGTACAGAGCAGACAATAAACTGTTCAAATGTTGATCACATGTTAAAATGCAGATTGACTGTATAGTTGAATGGAAAGCTTGTCAACTGCACTCTGACTTTGATTCAGACGACAGGGTGTTTGTGTTTACACTGTAAACATTGGCTCAAAGCCCTCATGGCCCGTGTACTAGACCAACATTTCAGGAGGATTAGAAACAAACATAGAGCTTACCATAAAGTAGATAACCACAGGTTATGGCTACATTTAGTTTGACCAGATTGGGGTCACCCCTGTGGAAAGCAAAAAAAAAACAAACACACACTTTAGAAAATATGATGGCAAGAGTTTTGATTTTTAAAAGCCTCTGAGAATAAAAGTCTTTTCTTTTTCAGGTGACCATTAGGATTCCCTGCAAACACCATCTGTTTAAAGTTAAAGTGAGGGTGTCCCGACTTCAATCAGCAGCTAACCCTGGTATCAGTTACTAGTATTGTATGGCTTACAACTGACTGACTCCTGCTGCTGTAACATAACACTCCAACACACACAGGCCATACAACCTACACAACACAATCACACATTGACTCTACGGTGACCCGCCTTTTAACCAGATGATACTCGGCTACCTAGAGTCAAATTTTTCCGTTAACCTTTGGTGTCGGCATGTCGAGAAATGAGTTACGAAAACTCAAAAATAAAACACAAATTAACACAATTTATTGCTTTTATTACTAGGGGTGGAAGAAAAAAATTGATTCAATTTTTGTTTTACAATTTTCAAATCGATTTTTATGTAAAAAAAAAAAAAAAAAAAAATATATATATATATATATATATATTTTTTTTTTTTCTTTCTTTCTTTTTTTTTTTTTTTTCAAATTTAAGAATAAATCTTAAAAACTGATTAACATGTGATTGGTATTTTTTGGGGAAATATGGTTCATAAGGTAAATAATGCAGACTTAAAAATCGAGAAAATCTGCAATATCGTAGAAATGCAATCGGTATCCAAAAAAATCGTAGAAGAATCCAATTGGGAGAAAAGCTTATCGTCTCCGCCCTATTTATTACCTCGTTAGTGCATCCTCCTTTAACTTAAAAGGTAAAAATGCAGGCGTAAGGTCTGTTTTCTGTTTAGTATATGTTTGCCAGCCTCCAGTCGAAGGTCCCTCGCCACTACACCTTAAAAGCTTTCCTGAGAGAACCCCTCTCACTTGCTTTTGTCTTCTTCAAAACAAAAGCTTTGAAAGCAATAAAACACATGAAGCAGTTCCAGTTTAGAAACCAGCGTCTCTCTCTTCAGCTCTCGGAGGACTTCAGGTGTGGCCACGAGCCCAGTTGCAGATACCATTAGCCCAGTGTATTTGTAGATTCTCAGTTTATCCTTCACTACGACAGCGAACACATCACATCTCTGCAGGGTTAATTACAAGCAGTGAATAATAATAATGAGTATTTTATCCATGTGTGACAATACTGTATCTTTTCTGATATCAATGATGGCGAAAATACTTCCTCTCTGATGATGTATCTGCACCACGAGCTCTGCGTCTGTGAATTGATCGGCAGGATCACTTTACCAGTGCAGAGACAGAGAGGAAGAAAGCGAATGCGAGCCTGGATAACATCACTTCACTGATAGACTGACAGTCAGACAGAGTCCACAAGCTTCTTGATAATTTCATCAGAGTGATCCTGCTCCAAGTTAATTACCCTACCGTGAACCCATGCTTATAACTCAATGTACAGTCATATGACTGGAATTTGGCCGAGCTAGAGATACAAAGTTTTCCCCTTTAAAGTCATTTGTTCTTAAGTGTCACCAACTTAGTTAGAGGCACTAGATCTTTTCACACTTGTAGATTTAGGATTTTAGTTTGAGGATTTGCTGTTTAAACATCTTGTGAAGTTTGATCCATGATGCTAAACTTTATCATACGTTCATCTATTACACAACCTGACATGCTACTAGTATTTTGTTGTCCAACGCAGGACTGGACCAAGGTTATTTTGAGCCTGTAGTGCATCAAACAGACTAAATCAGAGTCATTGCACGGTCTAAAGACGAGCGCTGGAGCCAACGCACTTGGTGTCGATGCCCTCTTCTTCATTTCTGTTGCACTACGGCTCTGTCAAGTCGAGTGACGTCAAAGCTTATTTTTACAGCACATTTGAAAAACAGCAGTTGAGCCAAAGTGCTGTACAAGCTTAAAAAAAGACACTAAAAACATAATAAATGATTCAATAAAAACACAATTAAAAAAGCTCATTAAAAATGTCTAAAATTGACCTTAAAGTGAACTCAAAAAGAGGTGTTTTAAGCAATTATTTAAAACTTTCAAAAGGACAGAGCAGTGATGAAAAGTTGCTGACTGTACAAATGTTGTGTATCAAGTCCTTTCACATGATCTCTAACGCCACAAAATCTATAAATGCAGATTTCTGATGGCAGAGTTTAAAGCTGTGCGGTGTGAAGCTTCAAGCTCTTGGGCAACACGATGTTCGTAAATGGAGCGATACATACTCGAACATGCAATCACCTCATGTGCTTTGGATCATTGACAAATGTACATTCATGATTTCTGCTTAGTAAATCCTTCCTGGAATGCTCTGACAGAAAAGCTTTGCAAAAACGAATAAAAGAATAAACCTTGTGTCAAGAATAATAATAAAAAAAAAACAAGGTTACAGGACGGGTTGAATAGTTTCTCCAAAAACAGGTTGACCTGAACTCAACAGGACTCTGAAACTGTACTCCTCTCTGTCCTTGGATGGCTCTCCGCACATGATAAGTTCAGGTCGAGATAAGCCAATCGAGAAACGTAACGGCAGAGGCAAGGGGCAGGGGCAGGGGCGGTTGTTCACGGTGCTTGTTAACTGAATAGATTATGATAACAGCCTGAGCCGAGCTGCCAAACAGAGTGAAACGCTGAAAGAGCCCAAGCAGGAGCTGAAAACAATGCTGGCTTCTCGCTGCACGGCTCTGGCAACTCGAGCACCGCATTGAGAGCGGCGGTGGGAACAATGCTGCTGTGTGACGGCTCTTAATCATACTGTAATACAATCAGATTGAGCGGTGAATGTATGCTTACACCAGCCTGCTGTTGCAATGACACAGGCTTTGAGGCGTTAAGCTGCGGATTGGTTAGCTGAATGAAACCAAGGTGAATAAACAAGGTGAAGGGAAATTAACCAAAATCACCAACGTTAAGTTTTCTTTCACACACGTGGATAGCAGGACAGTTGTGAAGAACATGCGACAGATCAAGATTCGTCGTAGGAGAAGAAGCCTCGTCTTTTGTCCCCCGCTCAATCTCCTCCCACTTTCCCCTACTTTCTCTTTTCTCACCCTTTTTGCAACATCAGCACTCCCTGTCAGGGCAGACACACAGACAATGAGGGTGAGGGAGGTGTGCTGCATTGATTTGACAGGCTGGGATGCGGGGTACAACACACAGTCAGGGACAGAAGGAGGGTCACGGGGGGCTGGTAGCTGGGGGGAGGACTCAAGAGAGGGGAGCTGAGGACCAGGGCTGCTGTTGTTTACGATGAAAAGAAGCCTTGTTCGCGGAGCTCTTGTCCGTCTGCAAAATGCGCCGCCGAGGGAAGCGAGGTGGAAAAGAAAAAGTGAAAGAGGAAGAGAGGAAGGAAGGAGGAAGGTCGGAGTGTTGTAAGAACAAAAGGGAGAAGTGAGAGACGGACAAAACGGGGAGAAATATTTTAAAAAGGCTGATAGAGATGTTTGATGAAAGAGCTTAACGGGAAGAGAAATTAACATCTTTCTACTTCGGTATTTATTGATGAAAAAAACACAGTCAGCAGGAGCAGGGAGGAAGTGGGGCTGAGACAGAGACAAGCCGGTGAAGACAGTAATCAAAGGCAAAATCCACTGAATCAAAAACTCTCTAGAGACTCGGCTGACATGTCGGATCCACCCTCTCCCCTTCTTCCCTCTCACGGTGATCCATCCAACGAAGGAACTACCAACCTTGATGATTCCTCAGTGCCACCTTCCTCCCATCCTCAACCTCTCATCTAATCCTCTCTCCCCCTTCTGAGCCATACACGGCTGCCAGTGTGAAAAAGGGCAGATGTGACATGACAGGTTTCTGCCTTTTCACGACTGCATCGCTGCTTTTGTGTTTATGGGAATTTACAGGCGGGTTTTCAAATCCACGTCCCACACTCCTCTGCTTTTTGTGCGTTGTTGATTTAAGCTCAGAGCTCCCCTGCAGAGGATTTCTCGTTTCTGCTATAAAACAGATGTCTGTAAGTGGTAGGATGATTAAATATACAGGATTTACGTTTAATTTACTTACCAGACGGGGTTGGCATTCACAGCATCATCATATTGCAGGATATACAAACAGAAAGATCCCACAATCAACGCGTGCACAGTCGACACCAACCTGAAAGAGTAAAGGACACACATGCAGACACATAAGTCCAAAATAGTTACACCTGAAGAAGTCTCTGCGTGTAATCAAATTTTCATTATTCCTGTTCCCGTTTGATAGTGGATTTTTTTTTAATTGGGGCTATAAGAGTACCTTTGACCTCTAAAGTTGTTATCTGGGTGCCAGAGAGATATTGCAGAGGTCCCAGTGGCCCTTATCTCTCCTCCACCAGACCCACAGTGGATCCGCTGTCACTATGCAGGCTCTTGGGTGGAACAGTCACAGTCCATAGGCTGCAGCCGCTGACCTGAACCATAGTCATGACGACTCGAAATTCAAGAGCCGCTATCTAGTGATTATTTCTGTATCGTTTTGAATTAAAACGGGAGCGAAACGGTTTAAGAGAAAACGGATAAATGAAGAGGGAAAGAGACTGATGATACACGAATAATACAACTCTGCTCCTTCTTTGGGAATGCTTTCTTCCTCCTCTCTTAGCACTTAAGTCATAGTTACATAAACAACACACTTGACACACTGAGAGCTGACTGTTACGCAACCACGGGCCACTCTTAAGTGAACCATCAGTGTCTGTCTGGTCTGTAATGTTTCGGACTTTCCTTTGTCTGTCGGTGGCGCACCCATTTGTTAGAAAAACTGACAGGAACCGGTATGTAAAGAAAACCAAGAGAAAGAACGAGAGCGTGTGATAACAGGAGAGCCAGCGAAAGACATTATAGAATCATAAATTATTACAGCATGAACTTCACCCCTGGGGTTTTTGTTTGAAACTTAAAACCACTCTGAGCTCTACCAGACTTTCACATTACAGCTGTAGCTATGCCAATGATGACAAGTTGGCCTAAGGCATTAAGGTCAGACCTCAAGGCACTGAAAAGATCAGCTGTTGGTTTGATAGAGGTCAATTTGATGTCTGTGTAACTGAGCCAAAGATACAACCACAATAACAGAGTACGACTTCAATGTTGGTGACTGTGCCTCCACTCTTTTAAAACACAGTGACAAAGTGTGCTCTCATTTTACCCCGGAGCTCAAACAGGAGGATCCAAAAAGAGTAAGAGTGAACAGATCATCAGAGATCCTTAGATTTTAATATTTAAGTCTCAAAGTATTACAAAACAAGCATAACAAGAAAAGGGAGGCTGGGAGATACAGCTCGAAATTTCCTTTAAATATCAAACTTTACTATTTCATACGTTTCCAAAATGTAAAACCTTGACAATATAGTACTAAATGTGGTCAAACTTCAGCACTGGTCTTGTCAAGAACCATCACAAAACTTGTTAATATATTGTGGCCCTTTATTCTCTTTAAAAGTTGACTGACATCTCCACCTAAAGAGGAGCCAAAGTGACCACTGTTGCATGATATTTTTTTTGTTTGTTCATATTTTTGATGAATGAAACTAAAAAATGTCAGAAAAGGTTAAAATAGTTTTTGGAAATCATGGATGTGGAGTCCTCCGGGCTAAAGAGAAGAAGGACCATCCAGACTGTTATCAGGTTAAAGTTCAAATCCAGCATCTGTGGTGGTATGGGGGTGTGTTAGCGCTCATAGTCATGGGTATCTGTCTCATCGGTGAAGGCAACATTAATGCTGAAAGGTCCATACAGGTTTTAGAGCAACATTTGCTGCCATCTAAGCCTTGTCTTTTTCAGGGACGTCCCTGTTTCTTTCAGAAAGACAACGCCAAGACACATTCAGCACGTGTTACAACAGTGTAGCTTCAAAGTAAAAGAGTGTGGGTACTAGACTGGCCTGCCTGCAGTCCAGACCTGTCCCCCATTGAAATTTGTGTAGCATTATGAAGCTCAAAGAGACCCTGGACTGTTGAGCAACTGAAGTGGTACATCAAACAAAACAGGGGAAGAATTTCACCTCCAAAACTTCAACAGTGAGTGTCCTCAGTTACCAAACACTTACTGAGTGTTAAAAGGAAAGATGATGTGACACAGAGAGAAACACGACCCTGAACCAGCTTTTTAGGAACATGTCCCCGGCATGAAATTCAAATGAGTGAAAATTTGCACAAAAAAAATCATCAGTTTGAACTCTGAATATCTTGTTTTTGTAGTTTGTGTTTTTGCAAATCACTGTCTTCTGTTTTTATTCAGGTTTAACCCAGCAGCCTAACTTCACTGGATTTCAGGTTTTTACTTTTTAATCTGAATTTTAAAATGCGCTTTATGAACTGTGATCATTTTATCGTCAAAAGATAATAAAAGCTGCAGCCTTCATCAATATTTCTCTCAATCTGACTTCTTTCCTCACAGTAAACATCAAACTCATGTGTAGCTAACAGCTGGACAGAGGGTTGACTAGTCGACGGTGCACGTCCTACAACTGAAAAGTAAGTGTTTTCCTGTTGATTGTAAATTTATTACAGTAGCTCAGTGATACTTGGCTAGTAAGGGTTCCTGTCTTCATTTTAATGCAACTTTTTGTCTTAATAGCGAAATAGAAAAAAGTCAGAAAGGAAGTGAGTGAATCCCATTTTTACTTCCACATGTTACCATGATGAAGTTCTCAGAACATGCACAGCAGGAGACTGAACCAGGTCCCTGTTACACACCTGGAGTTCCACTCAGTGAGCTTGGTGGGAGGTAGGCGTCCATAACCTGGCGCGGCGGCGGAGGAGAGCAGCGGGCTGGCCACCGAGAAGAGAACCTGGAAACCCACGAAGCTGGCAGCTACCACGGTCAACTCCCTCGTCTCCATCACTCACCTAAACACACGCAGGAGGTAGGGAGAGAGGAGGGGACCGGAAGAAGGGGACAGGATAGAGACAGGGTGATACACTTGGAAAGATTCAATCGATGACTATCAGTCATCCTCGGCAGAGTGAGGGGAGCAAGTGAAGTGGTGGTGGATGAGGGATTGAAGCAGAACCTTGTTTGGTTCATTCTCCGAGGGAAGAATAGAGGAAAAAACAGAAGGGGGGAAAATAAACGGAAAAGACTTGGGTTCTCTAATACGAGTGACATGAGGGCTTTAGACAAGAGAGGGGCATATGAGAGGCACCAGAGTTACATTACAAATAGAAGACAAAGTCTTTCAATGTTGTTAAAGCTGAACAGCAATTACATTAAGAATAAAAGATTTCCTTATTATGCATATTTTACAAGGAGACTACTGTGAAGTGTGGGGCACAAATCCCCGGGAAGTAAATAAAAACCGAGAGAGAGAAAAAAGCGCTTCAGCTCATAAGACAGAGGCTGAGGGAGACAAATTATCAAATTCTTGACAACTGATAAATAAAGTGTGGCAAATGAACTGTCTTATTTTTAAAATCAAATTTGTCACCTTTAACAAGCACAATTCGCTGTATAAGGTGCTGTGGGGGAAAAAAGGGAAACAAAAGGTGTCACAAAGTGCACAAGGAGAAACCTAGAGGCTTAAGTGCACCTTAATAATAACCTCTTATTTCCTCTTTAAAAAGGCCAACTATTTCAACATAGTGTGTCCACGCTGGTCTGGACTCTGGCCTGATAATGCACTGGAATTCTGATTAAACCCCTGAAATGATGCAAGCCATTTAAAACCTCTCATTACTGTTGACGTGCAGATTAGGGCTGTGCAAAGTACAGATTACACAATTGGTTAAGAGCAATTCAGGCAAATATTGTTTAGTATTTTCTGTGCAAAGAAACATTTGTAAGTTCGCCCCCGGGAATCACATGACACTTCAGGCATGTAGCCTACATTATGGTCTATTTTTACTCTTTAAATGTCCAGTGTCACGCGTGTCATGCGTCCAAAAAATTCACCGTAACAAAAAAAGGGGAGGTGAACCTGAGAGGCCAAAGTGTTTTAGGCGGTTTAAGAGAATAGTGTGGTCTACTATTTCGAAGGCATCACCAAGACTGTCTCCTTTTCCTAATCTGAATGATTTTAAAAGCAAACTGAAAACGCACCTTTTTAGTCTTGCTTTTAACCACATATTATATCATTAACTTTAAGGGTTTTATCATTTATCTATTCTAGTTTTAATCACAGGATCGTCTCTTATTTTAGCATCTTTTACTGTTGTTTTTATTTCATTTTATGCTACTTTGTTTTTAGATTTTAACCTAAACCTCCAGTGTTTCCTTATCTTGAGTTTTAAAATGACGCCCTTTTAAAGTTTATGCATTTTAATACTGTTCCTGTTGTGTTTAGACCGTGGGATGGGAATGAGGGGTTGGGCTGGGGTAGATTTGGGCATTCTTTGGGCTACATGTTGTGTATGAAAAGTGCGATATAAATAAAGACTGACTGATTTATTTTGTGCGTCATAATTTAATCTAATGCTGTTTAAAATCTTTACCAAGGCAGTGTCGGTGCTGTGGTTCACCCTAAAACCAGACTGACACTTTTTAAGAATATTACGATTGTCTAGAAATTCTTTAAGTTGGATAAAAACAAGTTTGACACTGGCCTGTAATTGTTCAAATCATTAAAATCTAGATTTCTCTTCTTCATTAGGGGCCTCACCACCGTCTGAAGAGAGCTATTCATCGTGTTTCTAAAAGAATCATAAAATAACTTAAAAAATGAGGTTGTGATAGGATCTAAAAGACACACGGTGGGCCTCGCTGAGGAGAAAACCTTATCCAGCATCTAAAGACGTGTTAAAAACTGTAGTTTCACTCGATAAAATATCACAACTGATCGAACATCTACAGAATTAACTCCAGAAAACGCAACGGATAACAACTTCATAAAAACTGCACTATACGAAAGGAGGACGCTGAAGCTGTTGGTATGTCTCCACCATACTGAGAGCGTCTTATTGTCCCCAGAAGCAGCTCTGCACATTCCCAGGCCACGTTGATCATATGCAGCATGTGCCTGAATAATTCATTGGCATTCTTCACCTGGCAGGCTGGTTCATTGGCCCATGGGAGGAGGTGGAAGCAGCAGCACACAGCCTTCCTCACTGCGGTTGACAGACAGACAGACAAGCCGGCCGGGGGACAGAAGAGGTCCACGTTTGACCTTGTTCCTGCTCGAGTATCCTGCTACTGTCAGCAAACCATGACCCCGTGACATATCGACCAAACATAAATAATAGCAGTTCAATTCCCCCCCTCTCCTCTCCTCCTCCTCCCCTCCTCCTGTTCCTTTGGAAATCTAAACCGGCTCCAGTCTACCGCATTGCTACACAAGACCAGGAGGGTTTGACTGGCTGTGTGAGTGAGGCACAAACCTTGGACAGACACATCTCTGCAGGCAGGTTGGGTCATGACATGAATAGTGATAAATAAATGCTCAGTTTTCATGTTGTGCTGATCAGACTGCTTGCATTTAGCTTCAAGACGATACCAGTCTCATAAAAAAAACCCACTCGGCGTGTTGTGCACCACGCATGTAAGCAAACAGCGTGTGCAATTTTGTGTAAAAGGTATCCATTACATACATAAGAATCTGCTTCCTCCCTGTAATAAGCCTATTGACACTTTGGCTTGGTGGGTGCATGAGCAATGTAAAGCACTGCGGACTGTTAGGAATGGCGTGTCAGATACTACGAAGAAAATACCTTAAAAAACAGATTACAACAAAACAAACAAAGGTGTCGTAACAGATATGTGAGTATACTCGATTTTAAGGGGAAAGTTAAAGGCTAAAAGTGAGCAGTGCTATGTATGCTGCGAGCATGCAAGAAAGGCTGTTGCAGTCTCAAGATGTGTTCGCTACAAACATGGATATGGCGTTTTTTTGTGTGTTTTTTTAGCACGACATGTATTGTTTTAAGTTAATGAAGCAGCACCGAGGGTTCATTTACCTGCTATCCGTCGCATAGGTCTGTGTAGGCGGATAAGCTCCCGCTTTCGCAGCCGTCTTCTTCTCCCACTTTCTCACAACTTGACGATAGCAGCTAGCAAGTCGGCTAAAGTGAAACAGCCTGCTGCTCTGGTTTGTGTGAGCGGAGACCCCAGTGAAGAAAAGAGGGAGAAATTAAGCTACTCAGCTACGCAAACGACGCCGTGACCCGACAACCATTACAATCCGGAAAGAAACGGCCTCTCCTTACACCCTCGCTTCCTCAGGGCCATATGTTTGGACGACGTGTGAGTCCTGGTTGAAAAGTTTTTTTACTCGTTTTATTTTGGCGTTGACAGCGAGGACCAACCGGTGACGTCGACACGTACCCACCCCCTCGTGCACACTCCCCCCACTCGGAGAAGGCTACACCCACGAGGAACAAAGGATCCACAGCAGTGTTTGTTGATAAGGGATTGATTATGAAAGAAAGTGGGTTTACACCTGACCTTATCGATTATCAGCTTTAAATGACCAATTTCCACTTTTTAAAAGCTGAAGTGAAAACCACTTCATGACCTGAAGGCTGTAATTACATGAAATCAAAGACATACGGTGGCCGAGAACTGCCACTGCTGCAAATAAAACAAGAATGCAAACTAGAATATAAATATAAAAATATTAAATATAAATAACCATTGAATTCAGTTTTTAAAATTGTGTTGTCTTTATTGTTTATGTTTGACACATTTGTCTTTTACCTCCATCTCTTTTCGGCTTTACTCTCTTTTTAGTTTTTGTTATACTCGTACTCTTTTCTTAATTAACTTTTTAGGCCTTTTATTGTTTTAGCTCATGCTCATTTCTGTTGCTCTATAATATTATTACTATTATTATCAGTATTACCTGTTATTATTTTATTATCATTGTTCATATTGCCTTTTATATTTACTATCCTGTTTCCACCTTCGTCCTCCCTTTTAACTGCATTTTCCCTTTTTCTTAACTATTGTATGTTTTTATTTTGGTCTTCATGGTCTCATTTTATGTTGCATGGTTCTTGTATTGTCTGGGTTATTTACGACATGAAAATGGCCTTCAATTCAGTTTTTACTGAGCTTTTTGTTTTTATTTGTCTTTTTCCATGTGCTCTACGACTACATGTCAAAGCACTTTGTAAACATCTGTTTTTTTAAAAAGTGCTATACAAATAAAGTTATCATTATTATTATAATTATTGTTATAAATGCTTCAGTTTTACTTTTTTGCATAACATAAAATAGTGATGTGCATGGCAGTTCCTTTAGATGTACTGAATCACTAGAATCAGTTCACTAAAAAGATTTGTTCAAAAGATTCGTTCACTGAATCATCAAATCATTCACCACTTGGCAGGAGGAGCCTGCGACTCCGACCTCCTAAACTGATACACAGCTGAACTTTTCAGGATTCAGTTCAATTCAAAGCTTCTGGGACCAGGAGACGAAAGTGTTTGGCTGTGTTGCCTTGACAAACAGGTTTGTAAAAATGATATATTGGGTTTTAGTGATTGATTCGTTCACTGAACGTTTGGAAGAATTCACACTGAGCATGCTCCGTTCCCCCGCGAACGGCTACAATGATAGGATGTTGCGGGTTTAATGCACTACTTATTACATGCTGTGTACTATTGTATGCAAGTTGTTGTGGTGGCAGTGAAAAGTGAAAAAAAGGTAGTTTTGTCCGACAAAAATAATTCTAGAGAGTGTAGTTCAATATGTGATTGATCCTCCTATCTGGTTTTGGGTTGTCTGACATCTGAGTGTCAGACTAGGATGACTTGTGTAAAGTGGTGCAGTGGTAAGTAGAGTAAGGGGTTTCTGGTTCAAAGTCCCGGCCTTTCTCTGTGGAGTTTACATGGTCTCACCTGTACATGCATGGATCATTTCCATCACCCCAGCCTCCAGTCCAAAGACATGCTCGTTAGGTCAGCTGGTGACTCTAAATTCCTGGTAGTTATCTTTATACAGAATGTTAGCCCTGTGATAGACTGGCGACCGGTGCAGGGTGCTCCCCGCCTCAGGGAACACCCTGGGATCGGTGCCTTCACCCATGACCTCAAGTTGACATATAGGAAAAGAGGTACAAAGTCTCTTGGATTATTACTCACCATTGTAACCAAGTATGAATTAACATACCAAATAGACACGTCGTCAGGTTTCCAGAAGAATGCTGTGTGGGAGGAAACAGCCCCACCTGGAAAAACACACAAATACAGAAGAAACCTTCACACAGTGGCAACAGACCAATCATCTGCCGATCTTTGAATGCGACACTTGTAGTAGTACAAGTTGATTGGGTCATTACAACTTCGTCTAATGACTGTTTCTATTCCTGTGTAGGACGTTCTCAGTCATGTCTGACCTCTTTGTTCTCTTGTCTCTGAGTCACTCAGAACAGCGATATATTGAGTCAAGGTTGTCTGTCTGGTTCCACCACACACTCAAAAGACCTGTTTTCTCACACTGAATCTGGCATGGATATAAATCTCTTTGTGTTATTATTCATTTTCTGTTTCTGGGGGGTTAGGGTAAGCTTGTGTGTGGCCTGTCCAAGGTCAAGACAAATCAGTCGAGAAGACTACTGAAAGTAAGATATGAAAGTCGTGGATTTATTGAATTGCAAAGTGAGTCGTGTCTTCCATTAAACAGAGTCAGGAATAAACACCAGACAGGGCATATTTTGGAAAGGGGTGTTTGTTGACTTAAAATGATGAGCACTACCTTAGAGGTCAGTAAGAAATGAACATGTTGCAGGAGACATGCTGGCCATTACAGCTTTATTATGACCAGATGGCACATTCAAATTTAGATTGTAATGTGATCCCATACTAAATTTAAGAACCGGATTTTGACGTGGTAGTTCAAACTCGCTCATGGAGTTCCCCCCTTGTGTCTGCAGTAAAAGGCATGTCACGATCACTGTCAGATTTTGTAGTTCGATTTCTATGTTTGTGCGAACCTGCACAGCTGATCAGTGCGCTGCAGGTGTGAATATTGCAAAACTAATGGGCTTCCTGGGGGGCAAAGTAGAGCACTGAAATGTCTTTTTTTTATGAGAGCATATATTTACTCTGATGTTACAATTACAAACTTTTAGAAATTAACCACACTCACCGGCCACTTTATTAGGTACACCTTACTAGTACTGGGTTGGACCTCTTTTTGCCTTCAGAACTGCCTTAGTTCTTTACAGCAGACTTTAAACAAGGTGTCAGAAACATTCCTCAGAGATTTTTGTCCATATTCGCCAGCTGCTCCTCCATGATGCGAATCTCCTGTTCCATCACATCCCAAAGTTTTACCATTGGATTGAGATCTGGTGACTGTGGATCACACTGGAGTACAGTGAACTCACTATCATGTACAAGAAACCAGTTTGAGATGATTTGAGCATTGTAGCATTGTGCATTACCCTGCTTGAAGTAGCCATAAGAAGATGGATTGTGGTCATAAAGAGATAGATATGGTCAGCAGCAATATCCAGGTAGGCTGTGGTATTTAAACGATGCTCAATTGGTACTATAAGGAGTCCAAAGTGTGCCAAGAAAATACCAGCAGCCTGAACCATTGATACAAGGCAGGATGGATACCAAACAGGTTTAAAACTTAAATGGCAGAAAAGCGACTTTTTTCCTCTTTTTTTTTGTCGAACCAGATGAGCAAGTGGACCTGACTGGAACAAAAGGAGTGTAGGGCCAGCAGTGAAATTTGTGCACAACAATGAGGAGAATGGCTTTGAAGTGCTGCGTGGTCAGACTCGTTTGTGCCAAAAACAGCTGAAATTTGGTTCATTCATCACATAATAAAGGTGTTGGACAAACACCTGCAAATGAGAGTGTCTTAAAATCAGGAACAAACACAAGAATGGTATTAAGATTGTCATCTTTTAGCATATTTTTCTCTAAAAATGTCAAACTGTCCATTGGAGTTCATTACATTGCAGGAATTTAACATGTTGATTTCATATTTTTCCAGGTGTGCCCCTTAAAAATGCTTCAATTTGGAAACTCATGACTGTATTTGAAATGGACTGAAATTAAACTATAGTTTTAAAGGGAATCAGGCTAAAAAGTATAACAAACAGAACAGCAAAGTCTCTCCTTTAATCAAATTATAAAACTGGAGCATCTGAAAAACTTTTGCCGCCCGGCCTCTTTAATTAATTTGGTCCGACTCTCTTAACAAATCCTTAATTTACATAGTTAAGCATGAAAATTCCATGTCTGTCCCCAATGACTTACACTAATTAACCTGTAATGATGATGATAATGAGAACAACAATGACACTGTTCATTACATTAGGGGGGTAATTCAGTACATCGAGGTACTTAATCTCACTGCAGGCCAGAGGGCCTCTCTCATCAAGGTGCAGGGCAAGCTACAAGGCAAGCCAATGCAGGACAGGAGCAAAATTCTGCAGGCTGACTTAGTCTTTGGGTCGGTGCCATCTCTGTTTGTTCTGTTTAGATGAAGCATAAAGTCTGTGTGAAGTGGATTTTTTTTCTTTTTTCAACCTTGAGGACATCGGCTGGAAGGAGTAAAGTGTTTGGCTTGTAGCCCAGAACAAAAAGGTAGTTGGTTTACAGTAGCCCTGTGGTTTTTGTCCATATGTTGTGCAGAGAATTAAGTATAGCGTTGTGATCTTCGTCTGTGGTGGTAAAACACTTGATAGAGTGATGTGGAAACGTCCTTCAGAGGTGTTATGTTGTTAAAGGTGTCTCTTTTTTTATGGAAAATTAAGTTATCAGGGCCAAAAGACACTCAAAGACACCGTAATTTAAGGGCCTAAAACCTAAAGATCAGTAAAATTCACATTTCTATTCAGCTACTGACACCATGCTTCGATATCCAAAGTCTTTGCCTTATAACGCCCAAACAGGAAGTCTGCAGACATACTGTAGATGCAGTCATAAGACAAAGTTCCAGATGCACATGAAATGTCACGGCCCTGCCCCCGGGTCTGAGGCTTTTCGAACCTTGATTGAATCATTTATCAGATAATCTATAAAACACTATCAGGCACCAGGAGACGGCCACACAAGACAATCAAATTATTTAGATAGCTCTTATATGATAGCAGTCAAAAGAAGAGAAGTGATGAGGATTTACTGAGAGATATGACAGACATGGATAACTGCTCTAAAAATAAAGAAGTACTAAACCATCTGGTCTCGGAAGATCAGATTGTGATACAGGATATACTAAGCAGACAACTTCTTACTGTTTGAACCTAAATTTAGATATCTTTCATATAGTTTGAAAAGTCTTTGCCAATTGGATGTGTGGCCGGTCATTCTCAGTATGCAGGAGTTATCGGACAAATACACATTTACAGTGAATCACATGGACATTTCAAGTCTGTGCAGTAACCTACAGGCCTCCTCATCAGTGTTTAGTCGCAATTCATATTCATCTATTGTATATTAATCCTATTTTATTCCCTGCTCTACATTTTATAAGGAGCTTTCTGCAATAACAGTTGTAATCCCAAGAAAACACTTGGCAGAATACATTATTATGCTGCTGTCTTTAGTCAATTACAGTAATTATTAACCTCCCCTGGGCCCTGTGAGTAATGTCTGAACTAACCGAGGCTCAAAATATTTCATTATCTCAGGAGGAGACCATTAAGTACTGTATTTCAGGTAGTGAGTCGAACTCAACTATCATTCAAACAAATCAACAGGCAATTTAAATGTGTCGAAGGTTTAATTGTTGTGTTCTGCGCTTTATAACGCTCTGTCTATAACAGTAAATTCAGTGTATTTCAACTGAGTAGTCCACCAAAATGTCTTTGTTTAAAGCCTTTTAAACCAGGAGGTGTATTTTCTGGGTGGATGTGTGTGATTACCGCCAGAGCGTGCATTAAAAAGCTATTTGACACAAGCAGGTTGCTCTAATTTCATTGATAGATTTGCAGATTAGCTCAAGGAACACACCGCTTTTATTAAAAATATATTTTAGTTTGAAGTTTTAGCCTCTGCTGATACTACACTATTAATGATAATGAACCCATAAAAGCAGATTGGATTAATAAATATCAAGGAAACAAAAATGTTTGACTCAATTGATTCGTTAATGTTTTTGCAATACCTCAAGTAAAACTGCGGCGCAAAATTGCAGAGCGCCATAACTGTGTAAATCCTGGAGCAGGTGATATTACAGTGAAACATATCAGCAGGGACAGCTTTGA